GGTAAAAAAGGGGCAGGGGTTAAGACGGTGTTGTGCTTGTACAAACACCGCAGAACACATGTGCAATGATTAATAATAAACAAGTTGATGTGGTGTTTAATGGCAATAAAATGGAACGTTAGTAAGAGAGAAAAGAGAAAATATGGAGAAATGGGAGGTTTAAGAGCGGTAGTATAAGCCGGTAGTATAAGCCGGTAGTATAAGCACACCAAGGGAAATGCCCCCTTTTTTCCGGTGGAAGCAGAGTCTCCGAGTCCGAGGTCCGGGGTAGTTCAACTTTTCAAGGTTGGAAAACCAGACGTTCATCACTCATTATCTGTTCGCATTTATTTACAGTCGTCCTCAGTCCCCCGTCTCACAGCAAAGGCCGTTTCACTCAAATATGCCACATGCAGCCTTTGCACCTCGGTGTCCTGTCCAGTGCCGTCTGCCATCTGCCATCTTGGACATTGGGTCTATTCACGGTTGATTCATGCCTCCTCAATGCATCCTTCACCTGATATAATACCAGGTATATCGCTATTATCTGGCCGTTCTCCACGGCGCTACAGGTTTTGACAAAAAGACCGGGGGATTCACCCAAAATCGACCTCGATACTACCTCACCACCCTACCAGCCAAACCCCCTCTTCTTCCGCCCCATCGTCGTCGTCTTTATTTTGTCCGAGTCGAAGCACATTGGTGGATTTGTTCCATTCCTTTTCATTTTGCCGTACCACGGTATGTCACTCCATGGTGTCCAACTGCCGCACTTCGAACGAGCTTGCTTTCCCCCTGGCGGACCCGTCACCCGTCACCCGTCAGCCTCCCCGGGCTCGCACCGTTATGTTCGTTGTCTTAGCATTCTACCGGTTTGGCTGCCCCGGGCTCTCATCGACTATCGTATCCGCATCGCCCAATGCTTGTGGCTTGTGGCTTGTACGTTGTAGTGTAGTCTCGCTCCATTCGTCCGTCACCTCAGCTCCAGCCTCCCCGATTGACTGCCCCTTGGGCCCTTGGATATCATGTCATGGACTCATGGTAGAGGTGCAGATGCTGTACCAAGTAAGCAAAAGAGGAATGCCACGCTACCTCCACCCCTTTCGGCATCCTGTCCATCGACTCCATCCTGCTTCGTCCACAACAGTCCCTCGACTTCCCCTTTGGTCGCTACGGAGCCTTGTCTCCCTTGACATGCCTGCAGTTCCATCGTAGATCGCGGTGGATGGTGGGTTACGCCCCCATTCTCCCAAAACCCCAACTGGAATGGCCCATGACGCAGTGCCGACCTGGAGCCCCTGATTCTTGAACGGGCCCTTGGAAATGGCAATGGGCAATGGTGCTCATAAACATGCCCTGTCCCGGTCTGGCTCCCGCCTCCCGCTTGCCGCCTCCCATCCTCCACCCCTCTCTTCGTCGCCGTTGCGTTGTTGCCCCTAGTTAGTAGTCCGTCCGCAGTAGACTCTTGTCGGCATCCGCATCATGCACTGGTCAACTGCTCTTCTCGGTGCCGTGGCCCTGGCAGGCTCTGGTATGTTTCCTCCGGTTTTACTTCCCCCCTTCTGTCAAAACGTGCATGTGAATCGTGAGACCAAGTTGCTGACTAGTCAACTTCGTACTATCATCGCCTCAGCCGCTGCCCAGGACACCTACACTTACACCGATGGCGAGGGGAGAACCTTCCTCGGCTACACCAACACCGCCGGCATCCGCTACGGCATCGCCATCGCCGAGGGTGCCATCGAGGGCGCTTATGATGCCATGATCCAGATCACAGCCCCCAACAGCATCGGCTGGGCTGGTCTATCATGGGGTGGCAGTATGACCTACAGCCCCTTGGCCGTCGTCTGGCCCAACGGTGACGACGTTCAGGTTTCTTCCCGCATAGCCTTGTAAGATGATGGGACCTCGTGCTTTCTTTCTTGCTTTCTTGCTTTTTTTTTCTTTTTTCCCCACCGCCGCCCCTTTCCCCTATTTACATGTACTTTCTGCTAACAAAGAACAGTGGTTACTCGTTGCCTTCCCTCTACTACGACGCCACCTACTTCTTCCTCCCGGGCTCCGGCACCAACGAAACCCACTTCACTGCCACCGCCCTGTGCATGGGCTGTACCTCTTGGACCCCGCCCGGCGCCGGCCCCATCGACCTCGACCCGAACGGCGAGAACACTCTCGCCTTCGCCTACTCCACCAGCCCCGTCACCGACCCCGACGACATCGACACCACCTTCGGCCGCCATGACGCCCACGGACGCTGGTCTCCCGACTTCTCCCAGGCCCAGCATCCCGACTTTTACGACTGGTTCGAAGACATCGAGTTCCCCTGCCCCACCGTACCCCCTCCCACCAGCTCGGTCCCGGCATCGACCAGCTCCATCCCCATCCCGACCCCGTCCGACGACCCGGCGGACCCGGACCCCCTCCCGGTCCCCAGCTCCTGCCCCGGCGTGAGCAGTTTCCGCTCCGGCTTCGGCGTCGCCAACGGCTGGAGGGCCGTCAAGCTCGCCGGCAACCTCCGCACCCCGCGCGGCATCGTCCTCGACACCAGGGGCAACCTCCTCGTCGTGGAGTCCGGCCTCGGCGTCACCGTGCACACCTTTGGCCCCGACGGCTGCTTCGCCTCGAGCAAGACCCTCATCTCCAACGCGGCCCTGAACCACGGCATCGGCCTGACCGCCGACGGCAGGACCCTGTACGTCACCTCCATGACCACCGCCTTCGAGTACAGCTACGACCCCGTCGCCCAGACCGTCAGCAGCGAGCGCATTGTCGTCACGGGTATGATTCAGGGTGGTCACCCCACGCGCGCCCTCATTATCCCGCCTGCGTACCCTCACCTTCTCGTCATCTCCCTCGGCTCGTATGACAACATCGACCATCCTACCATTGATCCTTCGGTCGGTCGCGCTATTGTGAAGGTCTTCGACATGCGCGACGTGCCTCAGGGCGGGTACCGGTATAATACCCAGGGATACCTTCTCGGGTACGGTCTTCGGAATGGTGTGGCCCTGGCGGCTGATGGTAATAGCCAGTACGTACAAGATGCGTTACTCTCGTTCTCTCCTTCTTGCTGTCCCCTTCTGGTTGTCCCCTTTTCTCTGTCCCCTTCTTTCCAATACGACCGTTGACAAACGACCCTGTAGCATCTGGGAGGTCGAAAATGGAGCCGATCAGTTCCAGCGCACCGTCAACGGTCAATCTTATGACATTCACGCCGACAACCCGGCCGAAGAACTCAACTATCGTATGTTATGTGCTTACCCCTCGAGTTGAGGACATCGACATTTTGCCACGTACTAACGTCGTTCACTCTTCTTCCCCACCAGTCGGAGACCCCTCAGTCGAGAACCCAAACTGGTACGGCTACCCGACCTGCCACACCATCTTCGGCGCCGAACAGCTGACGGACGCCCAATTCCAAACGGGCGACCAATTCGTCCTCGCCCCGAACGCGACCTTCAGCGACGCCGACTGCGTCCGCCGCGGCTCCGTGCCCGCCCGGCTGAGCTTCCAAGCCCACACGGCCCCGATGGACGCCGCCTTCGACCGCGACTTCGAGAACCTCTTCATCACCTTCCACGGCTCCTGGAACCGGCCCCAGGCCACGGGATACAAGGTCGTCCAGGTGCCCTACACCCGCAACGGCCAGGGCCTGTACGAGCCCGTCGACCCGCCCAACAGCCGCACCGCCGCGAGGGATATCTTCTGGAGCGAGAACGAGTCGAGCTGCTCCAGCTTTACGTGTTTCCGGCCTTGCGGGATTGTCTTTGACCGGGCTTACTCGCGGTTGTTTGTTGCGAGCGATCGGCCTGCCGAGGGTGAGCTGTTCATGCTTGCGCGGGTTTGATGGAACCAGACTGGTCCTTTTGTGTAGTGGACTGCGGGAGAGAGAAGAGAAACGAAGTCGGAGAAAGGGAATGAGTTGTGAGAGAGGTGGATGAGAGACGAGAGAGTGGCGAATAGCGATGGGTGTATTTTGAACACTATGAGCTGTCCGAGGAATTACAGTCTGTATATTTCTGAGATGCTACATAGCGCCTTGCTATATCCGAGAAAAAAGAAGAAAAAAAAGGCCGGGCATCCATTGACGGAGTTCACGCCTTCTCGTTGACGATGGTCTGTCAAAGTTCGTGTCTTGGTGACGAGCTTATTATTAGTTGTTTGACCTACGGCAAGCCGTAGAGGCAAGTATCTTATCAGAACACAACTAAAGTACGGAAAGTTAGGCCCTGTTCGATAACGCTCACAAGCTGGCGGAAAAACTCCTAAGGATTTTATAAAAGATATGAACGTAGCCAAGACGCTATTTTAACGCTAGTCCGTGCCCTCGATATATCTTTTTATATAATGAGTAAAATATCCCTCGGGGGAATATCGAACCGATTCTATAGAATACGGGGTAAAGTCTTATAGATAAAAAAAAACTTTCTTTTTACGGTTAGAGAATATCGTATTAACTACTATCTATATTAATATATCGGGACTAGATTATATTAGTGTCGAATAGGTTATAAAAGGGTCCTTAGATAATATACCGGATCCGGATAGCGTCGACACCCTATCCATTGATTTCACGCCTATATAGGATATACCGGCCACGGATTTCACGCCTACGCAGGATACGCCGGCTATACAGGACACGCTCACCGATAATATCTTTAGCGATAATAAGGTATCCGAAAGTAGTACAAATAGTCGGAATCTTAATACCCGGAGCCGCCCTATACCCTAGGCTAATACCTTATTATCGAAATAGTCCTCACGTATAATATAGAAGGATAACCTTAAGCGTAAACTATATACGTAGATAGTTATTACTTATTGCGATAATACTGTATTCGCGACAAATAATAAGAAGTTAGCGAAATAGGCTACCCTAGCGGGTATCTTACTATATATACAGGAGATATTCCCCGGGGTTAACCTAATAGTTAGATCGATATTAGCGAAGCTCGAATACACCGAAAAAAAGCTACGAGCGGCCCTAACGCTTATCGGTAAGTCTAAAGTAAATAACTACGACGATAAGACCGGTATAATCGATATAAAAAAGGAGTAGTAGGACGTATTCGGTGCTAAGTTCGGCAATATCGATAGCCGTATCCGAAAGCGCCGAGGGCTATAGTAGATTAAGAGTCTTTTAAAGCTTATATAGCCTAATACTGCTATAATAGGCTACGATATCGCGGATGTTTATAAGCTGGATTAATAACGTAAGCGTTAGTAAGTAGTATTAATGCCGCAGCTAGCTAAGAAAAAGCGCCTTCGGCCTAGTTAATAATAGGATTCTAATAGTAGTAGTATAAGGATATACTCCCCCGTACCTCGTAACGATCTACTTAATAATATATCTATGCGGCGGCACCGTAGAAAGGAGGATAACTTACCTACTAAAGCTATAATAGCCGGGTTAGTTATATTATTAGCTCGTTAAAACACGATACTTATCTCTAATACTATTATTACTTATTAGAATGCCTTTCGCGACGAATTAGACGGTGTTATAAGTATAGTTGAGGTAAGCTAATACTTTACTTAAGAGCCTAATACCATAACTATATTTAAAACATTAGATAAAGAGGGAAAAAAGGAACTATTAAAGTAGCTTAGTTTTATAAAAAAAACGGTTATTAAAGATAATAGTGATAATAGTAGTAGTAACGACGATAATAGTAGATAAGGTAGGCATAGCCTTATAAAGCTAGATTCTAATTAAGTAGTTCTAATTAGCTAGTTTTAGTTACCGCCTGCCTGAAAAGGACTAGTACGGGGTATAGCTTTATCTTATCCGCTACTTCTATAGATATAGCGGTTAGTATAGTACTTAATATATCGATATATTAAACCCTTTTTCCCTTAATAATAACCTCTATTTTACTACCACTACTACTCTATTATCTTAGATATTTAGTATCGTATCTCTAATCTACCCTTTCTGCTAATACTACGATCAGCACACTCAGTGGCCAGCTATAGCAGCCGCTCTTCCTCTTCCTTAGTAAGTCCACTAACAGGAATAGTTATAGTACGTATAGATCTAACGAAGTTCTAGATCCCTGTTACCGTATATATAATCTTAATCTGCTTTCTAAGGCTATACTTAGGTGTCTTCCTATCGATAATACGAAAAGACCTCATTCATACCCTAAAACCCCGTTTAATAGCGCTTCGGTAGCCTACGTGGAAGCGATTAAACCGCTTCTTTAAGAATAGCTATCTCTATTCTATTTTAGAGAAATCCTAGAGGTAGTACCTTTTACCGTCGAACGGGGTAACAATACCTCGAATATTATTACTAAACCCGTTATCTATAAGGTAGAACCTCCTATTAGGTACGTGAAAGGTACCCCTAGAAAAAGCCTCTCAAAGTAATAAAGAGTCGTTTATACTACCCTTAGCACCGGCTAGGATATATATAAATAAGAGGTTAAAATCGACTACGGCGAGAATATTTTATATTAGTTACCCTTTCCAGTTATAAAACCGCCGTTACGACCTAGGTAGTATAAACACTACGATATACGTGCTATCGATTACTCTGATATAACTGTTGGACTAATTATTACGTGGCGATAGTTTAATATATCGTGATACGTATCCTAATAGAGGATATTTAACGTATTCGATATAAAGCTAACATATCGCGCCTAGGACCTTATTAAAGATACGCGATCCCGTATTTAACGATATCTTAAACCGGTAGTATATATTACGCAGGGATACGCTATAACCGATAATATATAAGAAGAATAGAATCTTCTACGAAGACGTATAGTACTTAGTCTCTTTAATTATACGGTTTAATATTACCTATTCTATTAGGTAATAAAACTCGCGCTAACTAAGTCTAAATAGGTCCTAGAAGACTATACCAGATCCGATTAATAAGTCGCCCATTATCCCTAATATAATAGCAGGATTATTACCGTGCTATCATCAAGGGGTATTTCTACACCTATTTAGCGGGTATACGATTAGGATATAATACAGAGCTATCACTAATACTATTATACCGGGTGCCGGGATAATATCGTCGTCTTAGAGGAGGATATCGTTATCGTGGTAACGAATAGCTTTAACATTAGCCTCGCTGTCACCTATAGCGCGGCTAATCATAGACCCTATCTTAATAGGTTTTTCTCTACTTATTACCATCTTTTAGGTGCTACTAAGGTTTTACGTGTAAAATGCTCTTATCTTGGTAAAAAAAACTACTATAGAATGCTAAAAGACACCCCTGCCTAGCGTGGTACCTCGAGGATAGAGGAAAGTATAAAAAATACAGTTATACTAAAAATATCATATAAAACGGGCGCTTATATCATTAGCTTAGCATTTTTATATATGTTTATAACTCCTTAGGAGTTTTCTGCTAGCTTATAAGCATTATTAAACGGGGCCTTATATATATATTTATCTACCTAAGTAAAGTTCGTGGTACTTTACGGGGATACCTAACTATTAGGAAAAACTAGGGGAGATAAGTATAGATATATAGGATCGAGGTACATATCTCTTCGTGCGATTTATACCTTAGTCAGCACGCAACCGAAACGGATATCCGTTGTACCGAAGGTACTTCGACTTTACCCTAGGTACTTCGTATTTCGTACTCCGTAGTATTCCGATCGATTTCCCATCTTCATCTCCATCTCTGCATCCTCCCCCCTCCCCCTCCCTTCCCTTTTACTTCCTCGCCATGGCCGGTAGGAAATCCAAATCATCTGGTCTATTACCTCCCACCAGAACCCTCGTCCTCGATAACGGCGGCTACACTCTCAAAGCCGGATTCGTGACCGACGACGACGACGGCGACGTCACCACGGACCAGAACCCGCGCGTCATCCCCAATTGCATCGCCCGAGATCGCCTCAAGAAGCTCTACGTCGCCTCGGATCTCGACTCGTGTGCCGACTTTGGCGAGACCCAGTTCCGCCGTCCCGTCGAGAAGGGCTACATCGTCAATTGGGAGGCCCAGAAGGAAATCTGGGACCATGAATTCATCCGCGAGAACGCCCCGCAGAAATGCGACCCTTCAGAGACGAGGCTGCTCCTCGCCGAGCAGCCCAACTCTCTCCCTGTGCTGCAGACCAATTGCGACCAGATAGTCTTTGAGGAGTATGGCTTTGCTAGCTACTGCCGTGCAATAGGTTCTGCCCCCCTTCCCCCTGCCTCTTTATCCAATCCCTTTCTGTCCCCAAGAGTCTCGAACTCTCGACTAACAAACACATACTCCCCTTGTCCAGGCTCCACATTTAATGCCTACCATGACATCCAAGGCCTCCTTCAGACCCCCCGAGATCCCGACACCGACACTACCCCCAAGGTCCCCGCAGAGATCGTTCTCGTCATCGATTCTGGCTACTCCCAGACCACCGTCATGCCGCTCCTCCACGGCCGCCCCCTCCACTCCGCCGTCCGCCGCCTCGAAGTCGGCGGCAAGCTCATGACCAACTACCTTACCCGTCTGCTGTCCCTCCGACACTACGACATGCGCAACGACGTCTACATCGTCAACGAGATCAAAGAGAAGGCGTGCTACGTCTCCCTCGACTTCGCCAGCGATCTCGAGCAGACCTGGAAAGGCACGCGCGGCGAACAGCGGGAAGCCTACCGGACCGGCGGCGGCATCGCCAAAGACTACGTCCTGCCCGACTTCCACACCCGCTCCCAAGGCATCGTCCGGGACTACGACCCCGCCGCCCATAAAAAGTCGAGAAAACTGGGACCGCACTCGGCTGCCGCCCACCCTGTCTACTCCGCCGCCGCCGCCGCCGCCGCCGAGGCCCACCACGAGGACCTCCTCACGCTACGCAACGAGCGCTTCACCGTGCCCGAGCTCCTCTTCAACCCCTTTGACATTGGTCTCCGCCAGCCGGGCCTCGCCGACCTCGTCATGCAGTCCCTCGACGAGCTGCCCATCGGCCTGTGGCCGGGCTTGCTGGCCAACATTGTCGTCGTGGGCGGCAACGCCTCCTTCCAGGGCTTCATCGAACGGCTGGAGAAGGAACTGGTGAAGAGGGTTCCCGACGATTGCATTGTTCGCGTCGCGCGCCCTGCTGATCCCGTCACGAGCACCTGGCTGGGGGGCGCCAAGCTCGCCCGGCACCCTGACCTTGACCGGCAGTGTGTGACCAAGCAGGAGTACGACGAGTATGGAGCACACTGGGTCGCACACAAGTTTGCGTCCGGTCTCCCCATCGAATGAACGGCGAGCAGAAGCAAGGAAAACAATGATCAAGACGAGTCAAATCAAGGCGAGCGACGAATTCTTGAGCGACCAATGGTCGACTTGATTCAACGGCATGCATAACACCCAGCGCCGGACACCCAAATGATTTGTGAATACGAATAATCTCTAATATGGGGTATTGTGCGTCGGGTGTATCTCTATTCCACCCCGGAAAAAAATCGTCTTTGCCAAATCCATTGTGCGGAACAACTCAGGGGCACCGTGAGTATCTCCAGGGAGAGGCGAAACAAAATTCTGAGAGGAGTTGGCTGTTCCAACGCAAGAGGAGAGGGAAAAAAAGAAAAAAAAAGGGAAGGGAAGGAAATATGTCGATATTGATGTTGGGCATGAAAAAAAGCAATGGCCACATCACCTTTCGGTCTCTGAGTTTCAAACATGCTAATCTCGACGGAAGGGGGTATCTCTTCAGAATCACAGGTGGCGGAGGAACCGTCCGCGGCATGAGCACCCTACAAAAGAGGTCAGTTCAGACAAGAAGAAAACTTAAGAGTTGTTCACGCTTAAGCTGGGAAAAGGGGTGCCGTACAATCACACTGCGAAACCAGTCAGCGACAGCAGTCCGAAATTTGCTACACGACACCAAGGGACGGAGAACAGCGACAGGGACTCACGAAAGTGGCAGTTGATCCTTCGTTGTGGATGATGCAGTATCCTCCGCAGCAGCCCCGGCAGAGCCGTTGCGTCTTTTCAATGCAATCATGGCACTGGGATCCATCCATCAGCAGCAGTTCCGACGATGCCGAGGTGACGATGACGAGGGGAGACGCAAAAACTCACATTGCTGCCGCATTCCCAGCAACTCTTGAGCATCCGCGCCTGAAAAAGAAGTATTCTCATCAGCATGTTGCCGAGACGGAGGGTTCGGATGGGGGGGGGGGGAAGAAAAAAAAAAAGGGGGGCAGCAAAAAGAGCAGATGACAGCCGTTTGGGCGCGTGCACTCGCTGGGGACACCAACGTTCGAGCGCCTACAAAAGTCTCTTCGCAAGACAAAGAAAGCACGCCGAGCTTTGCCACCTTACGAAGCCCGGACAGGCCCGGCTGCCACGGTCGAGGGACAGGACGGATAGCAGAGGCCGTTTCGTACCTTGGGTTTAGCGCGAGCAGCCGCCGCTCGGGACTCTTCTTCGTGCTGCTGCACCCAGGCGTCGCCTTGCGGGTTGACGACGACGACGTCCGAGGGCGCCAGCGAGAGTGCGGTGGTGGGATGGGACGGTTCCGTGGGCGGGGCGTAGCAGTCCTCGCACCACCAGGAAGAGCAACTGAAACAGTACCGGTCGCGGATGCAGTCGCTGCAACGGGCCACGAATGACGATGACGCGCCGCCGCCGCTGCTGCTGCTGCACGGCGTGTTGGGGGTCGCCGCGGCTTGGAGCGAAGATGCGAACAGGGGCGGCGGGGAGAGGAGGGGCAGTTCGGCCCTCGGGGTCCTCGTCGCGGTTATGAGACCCTCCGGGGCGGCGCCGCAGCCTGCACAGCCGGGTAGGGCGTAGCTGGCGACCGCCCATTGGGGGGTCCGCGCCCCGGACGACGACGACGACGGCGGCGGCGGCGGCGGGGCGGCGTGAAGGTGCGGCACCTTGCCGTAGGCGGGCGAGTTGATGTGGCGCGGGCCCTGGCAGGGCAGGGTGTCGAACGCAATGATGCCGTGGCAGTCGACCAGGGCGTCTGCCCATTCGGCGCCGATGGGCCGGGTGATGATCTTGCCCTTCTTTTGGTACCACTCTTCCTGCGTGTCCTCCGGGTGTAGAGCGGGTTGCGAGGACCCGAAGACGTACAGCGCCTTTAGGCGAGGGGTGTTCTTGGGCCGCGAAGGACGGCAGGCATATTGCAAGGTCCGGCAGAGCTTACGTTCGTTGAGGTTCTTTGTATCGCGAAGCGAGAGGACGCGGATGTTGTATTTCGGATCGAGGATAAGCTCGTGGCAGAGCTCGGAGGTCACGGAGAGGCCATCGAGGATGAGGGTTTGGACGTCGGCGAGGAGGTTACTGCGTTGGAGGCTGGCAAAGATTCCTCTCAAGGGGCCAGAGTAGAAGCTGTTGTGGGCGAGGGGAGAGGAGAGGGTTAGCTTGTATATCCGAGGTATGGAAGTGGTAGATCACCGTAAGAAAAAGAAAAGAAAAAAAAAACATACTCATCTTCGGTCAAAAAGTCATTGAGCTGGGCGTTGCGCCAGGTCTCGTTGCCGTGATCGACACTGTCAACGTCGCAGCGGGCAGCGCGGACGTGTGTGAGGTCGAGATGGCGGAATACGCCGGGGCTATCGAGGATAAGGTGGCGGAAAGAGCGGTTCGTTGCGGCGAGATTCAAGCGGTCGTAGGCAAATAAATGAGGAACAGTGCGGCAGAGGACGACATGGTTTGACAGGAAGTCTAGGAGGGAGATGGGAGCAGCAGCATCGGGACAGAGATCAGGAGTATCGAGGAACTTTGTGTTTTCGACATGCGACGCGTTCGGGAGGTTGTCGACGGCCTGGTGCATGTTACGGCGACGTGACGGGCGACGTGACGGGGGATGGGGGATGAGGGATGAGGGATTGATGGCGCGTCGGGACTTGGCGATCAGATAAAGGTCTAAGAGCTACAGGCAGGCTGATGACAAGTCGACGACGATGTCGGTATTTCTTCGTCGTTGTAATGGAGAGATGATCAATATTGGCTAGCTAAAGTCGTTGTATGTCAGCGACGGCGGACGAGCATTAGAAAGGGTTGGTTGGCTGTGGCGACGTGTATAGGAGTGTTGAAGGTCGTGGGATGGGACAAGGTAGCATTACGGTCGCGGATGGGACAGAGCTGGATTTTGAATGCAGGACATATCACATACCTACTGTAGGGGACAAGAGGACGGAAGATGGATGGGTGATGCTGAATGGGAAGCTGCAGGCCACGCAGAGTAGAAGAACCCTTAAAAGCAAATGGTGGTGTGGTGGTGTGCTGATGGTGATGGGGGTGCGTGGGATGGCGATGGGAGTTTCGGAGAATGGATGCGCTGGCCGCTGGCTGGGATACCTAGGACGAGACTCGCAATCATGTCAGGTATTCGACCTCTTATTATCCGTACCTACTTTTATGCTATGCGTGCTTGTCCTTCCTCTGGCCTCTCCAATAGAGGCCCGCTTGGAGATAATCGTTACATGACCATATTAGCCGCCGATTCCGTGGACACCATTCCCTGCATGGCATGGCATGGGCATCGGGCATCCCGCACGGCGACAAGTTGTCTAGACTTTACCTGGAAGGGGCAAGTCACAGTTAGCGTCGGGTCGCCGTTCCTTAATTTCCAGGTTGATCCGGCAGGGCTTGGCCGGGCTTTTGGTGGTTTGTTGTCGTGTTTGACCGCTTGGTCCTCGGCGAGTGGGTTGTTTGACTCCGGGGATTTAGGGGCGGTTGTTGTACACTACGAGTACGGACCTGGATGAGAAGCGAGGCAGACAGTGGGGGAAGCTTAAGGTACTGACTAAGGTACTGACTACCGTAATGTACTCCGCATCGACAGTGAACCAGGTACTTACTTGCACGGAATATATAAGGTAGAGTACTTTGTGTAAGGTACCTTAAGGTAAGGTATCACAGGTAGTACGAATGTGGGGGCTGACTATCGCAGAAGTGGGAGGTCTTTGTCTCGGGGACTCGTAGTCCGCTGAGCCATAGGGTCAAGCTCATTTGAAGTACATATGTGCTCCGTACAAGAGGCTATTTCGCGTATTCGGACGTGCTGATCCGGAGCGTATTGACACGTTAGCACATATTAGATCTGTAAGATGAAAGAGATCATAACCGAAAAGCTAGCAGCAGTGCCGATGCTCCAGTCTGTTGGAGAGTAATTACCTGTAGGTAGTCTCTTCGCATCCGTACGGGTACCTTAAGGTAGGTACCTTATACAGCATCTCCAACGACTAAGGTACAGAGTTTGAACCTCTAAGTACCTTCTTCGTACACAATCCCACTGCGCCATCCCACGTGCAAACGCAAATGCAGCTGCAGCCTGTTCCACCCATCCCACTATGTGGCGCTAGCTTATTAAACCCAGGCTCTATCATTGGTTGTTCGTTCTCCCTCCTCGTTCGCCAGTGGCTACCGTTTCGTGGCTTGAAAACGGTCCTTCTGACTAATCTAGGTACTCAACGGGAAGATGACCCCTCTACGGATACGTCATGTCAGACCATAGAAGGAAGCCGAAGCACCTAGCAGGCATCACCAAGCTGATTCATCCTCCCTCGATTTCTTCTCCTCTTAACCAACTCACTTAAACCCCCCAACCATGCGACCATGCGACCATGCAACCACGATAGCCTTCTGACGCCGCTTAGATTTCGCAGCTTCTCCCGTCCATATTTCTTCCTACGTTCCTACTATTTTTACGACGCCTCTGGTCATGTCGAACCTCGAGAGACGACCCCTCCATCGTCCATAAACTCCTTGCCCGCCCCGCGTCGTCTCCTTCGCCATTCCTCCCCCGGTCGTTCTGCATAAGCTATACATAGGACATCCCGAGTCTCCAGTCGTCTGACACAGGGGAATACTCCGTACATATCCTGACCATGCATGATACCGAATCTCAACTCCAGTGGTCCTCCCACTTCGCCGTCGTCCCCCCGGAACAAGTCGCATCAAGAGACCTGCGTGGCGACAAGATCCTCCTCCCTCAGTCTGCCCTGGAACAGCTCCTCGCTTCATCTTCGACCCCTTCCGTCTCCCATACGCATGCGACCTTTACCTCCCATGACCCCTTCAATCCTTACGCTTCCCAGAGTCAGGCCTCTTACCGGGAGACGGCCCAGCTACCGAACCCTTTGATGTTCCGACTGGTCAACCAAGCAAATGGCAACGTCGTGCACGCCGGTATCCGCGAATTCTCGGCCGACGAGGGCGGGGTGGCTTTGTCCCCTTATCTGTTGGAAGCTTTGGGCATTTCGCCGTCCGACTTTGTCTCCGAGACCGAATCCCAGACCGAATCCCAGACCGATTCCGAGACACGGGATGGCAAGCCCCAACAACGCGACCCGTCTCCGCCCCGCGTCATCGTCCACGCGAAACAGCTCGCAAAGGGTACCTACGTTCGTCTACGGCCCCTTGAGGCCGGCTATAACCCGGACGACTGGAAGTCGCTCCTCGAGCGTCAGCTTCGGGAGAGCTTCACGACATTATCCAAAGACGCCGTCCTCTCCGTCCGTGGTGTCAAGGGCGAGCTGTTCAAGTTCCTTGTCGACAAGTTCTTACCCGAAGGCGACGGGATCTGCGTCGTAGACACCGACCTCGAGGTCGACATCGAAGCCCTCAATGAAGAGCAGGCGCGTGAGACGCTCCGCCAGATCATGGCCAAGTCGCAACCCGGTTCGGCCCATGGTAGTAGTAATAGTAGCTCAAGAGGCGGGGAGATTGACATCTGGAAACCGGTCGAGGGGCAGGTGGTGCCCGGTGAATACGTGGACTACGAGCTGCCCTCGTGGAACCGGTCCACTCCCTTGACCATCGAGCTCTCTGGCGTTGACCCCCCAGAATCGCTGGATCTGTTGGTCAGCCCGTGGTCGACACGACAGCGCAGTCTTCCTCGCATTTCAGAACACGTCTTTGGAAACTTTTCGCTCGCCCGAGGCGGGACCAAATCCGTCGTCATCCAGCCGACGAACGTCGAACTCGAGGGCGCCGAAAAGCTCTTCATCTCCGTTCACGCCTACTCGCCTCCGAACCAATCGAACGACGCAACTGCCATGCCTTACTCCCTACGCGTGCATTCCGGGCCTGTTCCCCCTTCCGACGTTCCACCTTCCGACAACACACATAAAATTGCTGCGGAAGCCGAAGGAGAACACTCGCCCGACGAAGAGCAATGCAAAAACTGCTTGAAGTGGGTTCCAAAGCGCACCATGGTCCTGCACCAAAACTTCTGCCTCCGCAACAATGTCGTTTGCCCTCGGTGTCGATCCGTTTTCCACAAGGCGTCACCCGAATGGGAAGCGCACTGGCACTGCCCTCTCGACGACGAATTCGGCGATTCACCGTCCAGCAAGGCCAAACACTCCGATGTGCGTCACACGGAGAAGCAATGCCCGTCGTGCGACGTGAAGACTCCTTCGCTCATCGAACTGGCGCTCCACAGGACGAGCGTCTGTCCCGGCAAGCCGATCCTGTGCCAGTTCTGCCACCTCGAGGTGCCCCAGGAGGGCGACCCGCTCCACCCGTCCGCCGAAGTGCTCCTGTCCGGGCTCACGGCCCACGAGGTCGCCGACGGCGCCCGCACCACCGACTGCCACCTCTGCGGGAAGATCATCCGGATGAGGGACATGGCGGCGCACCTAAAACACCACGACCTCGACAAGGCGTCTCGGCGCAAGCCGGAGATCTGCCGCAACACCAACTGCGGCCGCACGCTGCACGGCGTCGGCGCGCGCGGGGCGGTCGGCCAAGGCACGCGCATGGGACAGGGCCCCGGCAACGAGCTGGGGCTCTGCTCGCTGTGTTTCGGCCCGTTTTACGTCAGCATGCACGACCCCGAGGGCAAGGCGCTCCGCCGTCGCATCGAGCGCCGCTACCTCTCGCAGCTGATGACGGGTTGCGGGAGGAAGTGGTGCGGGAACGAGTGGTGTCGGACGGGGAGGGCCAACCGGGGGCTTGAGGCCAAGCCGACGGGTGCGCAGGCTGTGCTGCCGCTGGTCAAGCCGCTGGTCGAGAGCGTGCCGCGGAAGGAACGGCCGATGTACTTTTGCGTGGACGAGGGGAGCCAGCGGCGTCGCGGGTTGGCGGAGATGCTGGCGAGTGAGAATGTGTGGGATTTCGAGTGGTGCATTGCGGGTTGCGAGGCTGCGTCGGGCGACCTTGACAAGGCGCGGGAATGGTTGCAGAATTGGGCGCCTACGAAGGTGTCGTCTACGGGATTATGAGGGATGAGATTGATTGTATGTAGCGAGCATATAGATGGGGTGGAGTTGTTTTGATTTGATCATAGGATACCACTTTGTTCAGCAGTCACATCATCACATGCCGTGCTGAACATATTCTCTTTCTCCGTCATGGTCAGCTTTCTATACGCTCCTCTCCCACCTTTAGGCGTTTCTGCGAATATCGTCAAGGTTTGTTGTCCCCCAGCCCTCTCACCCTCACTTATTTTGTTATTTTATTTATATATATATATATATATATATTCCGAGGTAAAGGGTTCGAGTAACTTGATAATGTCGGGATAATTTCAGGCCGAGTGCCCAGCATCTCAGGCGAGTTGGAAGGTGTAAGACCTCCAACCTTTGCACTCTAGTTCCTTGTTATCTGGGAGATTACGAGACATACGTCGTAATCCTGAAGCAATCATGATGCCGTTGAGGTGCCCCCTCAAATACGTGGCGTAGTTATATAATTCCTTATACCTCATCCGTCAAGGTGTCATTGATGCTGGCATCTCCCTACACATTCCAACATCGAATACTCTTGCTCCCACCATACTGCCATAATATAACTTCCAAACCCCATACCGAGCGAAATCGATACCTTTTGAACAATATGGATCCTAATGCCAACTGCGGATGCACTTCCTGCTCTTGCAACAACTGGTGAGATCTGATCATTCTCGAGGCCATCCCCCCTGATTCTCTCCAATGTCAAGGCTAACTAGAATTCAGCCAAGGATGCTCTTGCTGTAGCTGCGTAAGTGCTGTTCCATGTTCGGGCGTTCCCGTTGGCGTAGGGGAGGTCAGCCTTCAGGGGTCGAGAAGCCTAGGAGTTGGGGTCGAGTGGTCAAGAGGTTGGCATATTCCAACACTGAACAATATAGGGCAAAGGCAAATAAACAGACGGTCAAGGGGTGTTGGGGCAATCGTTGGGAGATATGTTGTGGTGGAAGACGGGAATATTGGACTGGAATGGGGTGAGAAAGACGTGAAAGGAATGTATGAGTTGTTGTCGGTCTGTAGGACCGCTTCGTTCATTCGTGAGTATATTTTTGGTATCCATGATTCTCGAGCTGTGATTTCAATGTTTCCTGTAAAACGTGTACAGTATTAATATTATGTCTGATGCGCTGCCTGTAATCGTACTCATTTCTCACGAGTCTTAAAAGTAAACAAGGTAGCCCATGGCCCAGAGCTCAACTATGAGCTCTTGAATTCTTACACTCCACAGTCTTCCCCGACCCCGGCGACCGCTGCTACTGCTTCGCGCAGTCTTCGGCGGCAATATAAGCAAACGTCAAACCCGGCCCCAGCGTCGATCCCGCACCAGCGTACGTCCTCCCCATGACACTAGCCGATGAGTTGCCCACGGCGTACAGACCCTTGATCACCTCGTACTGCCCCTCGCCCGATTCCCTCACGGCACGGGCATGCTCATCCGTCAATATGCCGCCCTTGGTCCCCAGGTCACCAGGCCAGACCTTGACGGCGTAAAACGGACCCTTCTCGATCTTCCCCAGGTTCCGGTTCTTCCCGTACGCCGGATCTCCCAGGAACGCGTCGTAGGGGCTCTCCCCCCTCCGGAAGTCCTCATCCACGCCCTTGTCGACAAACCCGTTGAACCGCTCCACAGTCGCCTTGAGCCCCTCGGCTGGGATTCCCAGCTTGGACGCCAGTTCAGGCAGCGTGTCGGCCTTGGTGACGAAGCCGGAGTCGATGTCCTGCTGCGGGATCTCCTTGCCGGGCATGTAGCGGCCGGCGAAGACGTAGCGGTCGCGGTGGTTCGAGTCGAGGACAAGGTAGGACGGGATGGCTGGGTTCTCCCTGTGGCGGTTCCAGATGGCGGTGCCCAGGGCGTTGTAGTTCTGCGACTCGTTCACGTACCGCCGGCCCTCCTGGTCGACGATGACGGAGTGCGGGAGCCCGCGGTCGTACAGGCACCACATGCCCTGCTTGGTGGTCGGGTCCCACATCGAGGCGCCCCACCACGCCGAGTCCATCAGGGCCGTGGCCGCGCCGACCGGTTTCGCCGTGGCGGCCGTGATGGCGTCGCCCTGGTCGGTGGGGCAGGCGGAGGTCCAGTCGGCGGTGATGGGCGGTGCTTGGTACGCTTTCCGCATGGCGTCGTTCCGCGCGAACCCGCCCGCGGCGAGGATCACCCCCTTGGACGCCTCGACCGTGATCTGCTGCTGCTGCTGCTGGCCTTGCCTCTCGATGATGGCGCCCGTCACCCGTCCTTGCTCGTCCGTGGTGAGCTCCTTCAGCGCGGTTTCGGTCCAGATGGGCGTCCCCTGCTGCACGTTGAGGTAGATCAACTGGCCGATCATCGACACGCCCAGGCAGACGGGGTCGCTGCCCAGGAACCGGTTCGGGTACAGGCGGACCCCCCAGACCTTGAAGGCGGTCATCATGCCGTCCCAGGAGCACTTGGCGCGGACGATCTTGGACAGTTCGTACGTGTAGAGGGGCAGCGGGGCGCGGACGGGGTTAATGTTGAGCTTGTCCTTCCACGATCCGAGGAGGTTGGCGTCCCACATGGCCGCCTCAATCGTGCGCCCTCCCACCTGGCTGCCGGGCTGATGCGGGAAGTAGTCCGGGTACCCCGGGGTGACGGCCCATTTGTAACCGGCTTCCTCGAGCCACCTGACCATCTGGGGTCCTTTCTCGAGGAAGGCCAGCTTTCTCTCGCGCGAGGAGACAGGGCCGGCGTCTCCAACAATGGTCTCGAGGTAGGTCAACGCCTTTTCGGTGCTGTCCCGGGGATCGGCGTGGAGGTGGGTGTTGGGGATCCAAAGACCCGAGCCGGAGTAGCAGGTCGTGCCTCCGATCTTGGGGCTCTTCTCGATCACAAGGGGGTTGAGCCTGAGGGATTTGGCCCGTAGTGCGGCGGTGAGGCCCGCGCCACCGGAGCCGATGATGAGAACGTCGGTCTTGATGACACCGCCGTTGCTGCTGGGCAATGCCGGCTCTGGGGTTTCCTTGAGCTTTGCATTGTTCCGTGATACTCTGGATATCAGGCTGGCGCCAGCCGCCGCGGAGACCACCCCCAGGGTGATCCGGAGGCTTTTTCTTCGAAATGACGACATGGCTTCAGGTTATTGGCAAGAGAAAGGAACCTGGAGGAGCCATGAAAGCTCACATGAGATATGAACTTCAAAAGCATAAAGTCCTGATGATGATGTGGATCTAGACTCTAGTCATTGCAGCTTTGCCGCCCCGCAAAAGGTGTCGCGGGTATCGATATCCAAGGGTTAGCCGACATATTCGGAAGCATCACCTGCAACTTAATCTCTCTAATTGCTACGGAGCCCAAGGTAGAACTTTCCAGGTTTATCTCAACTTGTCCTTCGCCTTGTGCGGAAGTGGAAAGGTCTCCGGTGACGGGTTGTGCCGGTGTTAGTGGTCTCTCGGGGGCTGCTGTGCTCATGGATATCGTGAGGATGTGTCCCGGCGAGCAATATCCTCTCCACTGGGATGCCGCCTCTCTTATATCCGGGCAACTTCTTTCACCTAGCTACTCCACATCTTCCCCAGTTCCCCAGTTATCCCATTTCCAGATTCTTCACTGCAATATTTGTTGCTGCTTACACTCTATGACATGACAACCGGCCCGTGCCGACATTAGGGGTCATCAACTCCGGTCTCCGCGTAATTATGCGTAATTATTTCTCTATCTCTATTTTCTTCTAAGCTACAGACTTCCTCAGCACGTCCATAAACGTCCAAACGTCCTCAAAAGTACAGTACATAGGCACAGGGGCAACGCGGATCACGCCCGGTTTCCTCCTGTCACAGACAATTCCGGCTTCCTCCAACGCCCCACCAACCTGGTCCAACAAACCGTCTCTCAAAAGGACGCTGAGCTGGGTGCCTCGCTGCAATGGATCGCGCGGGGTGATGATCCTGAACACCGGCGCCTTGCCGTCGTCGGCCGGCTGGTCAGCGAATATGCCGTCGAGAAGGTGCTCCGCATAGGCCGTCAACACCAGCGCCTTGGACCGCAGGGCCGCCATGTCGGTCTTGTCGAACACGGATAGCGCGCCGGACAGGGCCGCCAGGTCGATGGCCGAGGGGTTGGACAGCTGGAAGCCCCCCGCGCCGGGGGTGGGCAGGAACTTGTTGTCCATGTTGAACCGCACCGACTTGTCGCCGCCGTACCAGCCTGTCAACCTGTGGCGGAATACAGGCCGGCCACATGCATCTTCCGCGCCGACCTCGACCTCGACCCGGCCGTGCCGCTCGTGCACGAAGGCGCCGGCGATGGCCCCCGGCCCGGCGTTTTGGTACTTGTACGTGCACCATGCGGCGAAGTCGACGTCCCAGTCGTGCAGCCGCAGTTCGACGTTGCCGGCCGCGTGGGCTAGGTCCCAGCCCACGACGACGCCTCGGTCTCGCGCGTACTTGGTGATGCGCTCCATGTCGAACAACTGGCCGGTGTAATACTGGATGCCTGGGAGAAGGAGGAGGGCCGTTTCTTCGGCGTGCTCGTCGATGGTCCACAAGATGGTATCGGTGGAGATGTAGAAGTCTTCGTCTGGCTGGATGGTCACCATTGACTTGGTCGGATCTAGCCCATGCCATTGAACCTGCGACTCGATTGCGTACTGATCAAATGGTAGGGAGTTAGAACCTGACGGGTGCACATTTGCCGGTGCAGATTGCAGTGCTGCCACTGCGTGGGGGCCAGGGGGAGGATGCGAGTTCTTTACTCACCCAGTCGCTGGGAAAAGGCCGCCATTCGAGGATGATCTTGTGCCTCTTCTCGGTGGGCCGGTAGAAGCTCGCCATGAGGAGATGCAGGTTCGCGGTGAGGGTGTTCATGATGACGACCTCGGAGGGTAGAGCGCCCACGATGGCGGCGCTTCGCCTGGCGCAGTCCTCGGCCATGTCCTGCCAGGGCACGAGGGGCGATCCGAGGGACTGGAAATGGCCGTTCACTCCGATGGATGCCCAGGTCTCGAGCTGGGCGTTGACGTAGCGCCGCACGGCCTTGGGCTGTACGCCGAGGGAGTTGCCGCAGAAGTAGATGCACGGCTTGTCGTCATCGTCGGCATGGCCGTTTGTGCCGTTTGTGCCATTTCCGCAACCATTTGTGTTGCTCTCAGCTTGAGCAGTTTGGTCGAGGCTGGCTACACGGGTGCCGTCTAAAGGACTTCTGTCAGCATCAACTTTCACTTGTAAGTTGTGACCGTATGGCAGTCCCGGAATTTCATAGAGTAGCATGGACCATAGGAGCATGAAGTCAGGGACCTACCTGGCAAGGTGCCGTTGAGATGTCTTTTCCTCAGAGAGCCCCTGGTGGGCAAAGTGTACTCCTCACGTAGGTGCTTAAGAGGGTCTTGTTCATCGAGTTTCCGTGCATATTCCAGAGAGTTGGCATGTGCTGGGAACTTGGCGCGGGCCCCGGATCGGAGCTGGCTGACAAAGTTGCTCGTCTCCATGGTGTGTAGTCACTGTGTGTGTGTGTGTGTGTGTGTGTGTGTGTGTGTGTGTGAAGACTGAAGTGCGAAATGTGAGGTGCAAAGTGTGGGCTATTAAATACTGGGCCGACCATACGAGTGTGGTGTGTTTTGTAAATAGAAGTGAGAACCGCCGATAGTCCTCGTGAAGCTGTTCGTGAATGTCCAGTAACTCCAATCTGTCATCAACACATAAATTTTAACCTCTCCCTCCTGGGAGGGGGGCTGTCCAGTGCCTTTGTACCCCGTCGTAAGCTCCGCTGCCGGAACGGGTAACGGGTAACGGGTTCGGCCACCGTCGGGCCATTATCCGAATTCCGACATCCGATTCCGAGCTTCCGCTCCGCGCCAAGCTTCCGATGATTTCCGGGTAACGCCGGCTTGCAGAGTCAAGTAAGGGGCGTAGAAACAAGCTTCCCACTTTCGAGGTGAAAGAACCTAGCATGACGGAACTCGGATATCTGAGATACGTAAGAGTTGAGTCTTTGTCTTCCTTCGAGGTCATTACTTCAAATAACATCGAGATAAATCCCAAGTTTGAATCTCTTTCCATGTTTCTGTGGCTTTTAACGGTCTAAAGTTTGACTTAATATTCTATTCTTCTTGGTCTGTCTCCAGTCTCTATTTTACAGTCACACTCGTCAAGTGGTTCCTCAACATCGTCATGTCTCCTCACGCTATACCCCCCACTAGAGATCATATCTCTCAGGAGAAAGCTTTTCTAGACAAGTTCGCCGTCACGAAGAATGGCTTTTTGCCAGCCGAAGCCCCCCTCCGGTTTCTACCCGATCCATATTATGCACCATGGGAAAAGATAGTTCACCACCTCCCCGAGTTGCTAAGTTCCGGCACGTTCCATGAGAAGGTGGACGGATTGCCCGTACTGGAAATAGATAGGCTTGCCAACGAGGCGGAATGGAGACGGGCCTATGTGATTCTCACTTTTTTAACCCACGCCTTTGTATGGGGAGGAGACAGAGCAAGGGAGGTATGTTCACCGTCTAGTCTAATCTACGTGCTCTCTTGTTCCTTGATCCGCTGGGCGATATTCTGGGTTCTCAGGCTTACATGCCCCTAGCGGCTGCCCCCTGCCATCTCGATTCCTCTCCTGCGCGTGTCCAGCCGCCTGGAATTACCTCCCGTGGCGACCTACGCGGCCCTGAACCTATGGAACTTTTCCAGCTCGAACCCCAACATGGACTTCACGGACCTCGGACGCCTCGAATCTCTCCACACGTTCACCGGCACTCGGGACGAGGCCTGGTTCTACCTTGTATCGGTGGCCATGGAAGCCGAAGGCGCCCATATCGTGTCATCCATGCTCGAAGCCCTCGAGGCCATCAAGTCCCGAGATTACGACACCATCATCGCGTCGCTCGAGGTATTGACGGGAAGCATTCGCAAGATCGGTGCCCTACTAGAGCGGATGTACGAGGGCTGCGACCCCATGGTGTTCTTCTACCAAATCCGGCCGTTCCTCGCAGGGAGCAAGAACATGGCGGCAGCTGGTTTGCCCAAGGGCGTGTTCTACGACGAAGGCGACGGACGGGGTTCTTGGCGACAACTCCGCGGCGGGAGCAACGGGCAGAGTTCCCTGATCCAGTTTCTCGATATTGTCCTCGGGGTCGAGCATGCGTCACATGGAAACGCCAACAACGCCAACAACGCCAACGACGCCGACGCGCCGGGGAACAACAGCACGAAGGTCACGGCCGGTCCAGGTCTGCAGAAGCCGACCGAGCCGACTTTTCATCAACAAGTGAGAGAATACATGCCCGGACCGCATCGCCGGTTCCTCGAACATGTCACCAGACTGGGGAGCATCCGGGAGCTTTCCATGCTACCGCACAAGACGCCGGAACAAGACAGACTCCGGGAGACCTACCAGGGAGCCATCCACGCCTTGACCGAGTTCAGGAATAAACACCTGCAAATCGTTACGCGGTATATCGTTCTGCCGTCTAAACGGGCCGCCTGCAATGGTGGGAAGAAGATGGAAGGGAAGGTAGACCTGGCCAGCGCGTCAGAATCATGCAGAGACTCGCAGCAGCTGACAGGGACGGGCGGGACGTCTCTGATGCCTTTTCTGAAGCAGACACGGGACGAGACATCACAGGCGGCGGAGTGGGATAGGGGGAGGTGCATATAGATAAGAGAAGAAAGAGTCAAGACAGGGCAAATAGAGAATAGAACATAAGCGATAGACCATGGTCCATGGGCCATATCATGCACGATATCTGTATCATATCACATCATTCAATGATTCAAGAAACTGCGAAATAATTTTGCTGATCCGCAGATATCTGCAGTGCGCCGAGTCATAGAACCGACGGTGATAGAAAGTGACGGACAAAATGTTATCTCTGTCGGATGCGGACCTGAAGTTGAAGGAGACACAGAGATGAACGAGATAGGGGCACTTTGGGGGGCAAGATAGGGGTTCGGGGAGCTCGGTCGGGACATGGATATAACGGAATCGGATCAGTTGTTACTCCGATGTAGTAATACATGTACACCCCGTCGTGTCATTGCCGCTAAGAACATCCAATGACGTAATGTGGAGCCTTCAGACAATACGTAATCAATCACTCATTTCCCATATTCCGAACTTCCGACTGTCCGACTTTCCGATTCCGATTCCGATTCCGATCCCGGTTCCTCGTCCCGCTTCCTCTCTTTCTATCCGCATCCGAATTGGACGTCACACGGCGCAATACATCATCATCATAACGACTCTCCGTCTTCTCCGGATGAAAAGGTCGTCTAGGTCGATGAACGAAGATGAAGCCGAACCACCGGTGCGGGCACGCGTTTCCAACGCCTGCGACACCTGCAAGGCGAGGAAAGGTGAGAGATCGAATATCCGAATATGAATAATGAACCCCTGACTGAGCTGGAGCCTGCATGTCACATGTGGACTCTGGAGCACCGCGAAATATTGGAAATATTGACGGTTCCAAGTGAAATGCGACGGCAACGTCCCCTGCGCTTACTGTGCCCGTCGCCAACGGGGCTCTTCTTGTCACTATTCCCCCCAGACCCGACGACGGACTACCGTCCCCCGAGCTACCGCCACGCCTGAATCTTCCGTGAGGACCAGGACACCTGATCGCCTCAGCCGTCGGGACCTTGATCTCTCCCCGGCGACGACGACTTTTCATCCCGGCCCAAGTGAACGTGAACCTCACCATCGTGTAGCTACGCCAGCGTCTTCTCAAGCTACTACCCACGTTCATACTCATGCGCGGGAGTCGCTGGGCGACGAGGAGACGGATGTGCCCCGGGAAGCCCGTCTGCTTCGGGACGGTCAGGGGAAGTTGAGTATGTAGCCAGTATCCCCTCAGAGGGCTGACAGCTTTCCCACGCCCCCCCTTTTTTTTTTCTTTTTCTGTTTTCTTTTTCTTTTTCTTTTCTTTGTCGACTGATGTATCATCTAGTTTTCATCGGCGACTGTGCCCCGTTGTCGTTCTTCCAAAGTGTACGGCAGCTTATTACCAGCAGGGTCGATCCCAACGCCTTTGCTCACCAGACCGGCCGCTTCTCCGGTCCAGACACCTCGTTGTCGAGACCACCCGCTGAGCCCTACACTTCTCCGCCTGCTCTCCACCATAACACCATCGCCTCTGCTGTGGCAAGCTATTCTGCTGTGGTTTGTTGGAAAACTCCGGGCCCGAACCTCCCAAACTCCAGTGCCCCTGAAAGTCGAGTTCTGAGAATAGCTCACGTGCATCATTGCTAACTTGAACTTCATGTTGGCAAAGACAAGCGGCATCGTCGACCTCTTCCCCCACCCTCGTCTCGTGGACGACATCTCCATCTGGTCCAGTCAGGCGCAGGCAGCCCGTCTCAGCGACATCTCATCGGCCGTCAATTACCTGGTCCTCTCCATTGGCTATCAGCCCACTCAAGAATCGCTTGCCTTTGCCTACTTCGACTACGCCAGGGGGAATGCCCTCGCCAACCTCAGCGGCAACCTCACCATTCCGACTATTCAGGCTTTTATTCTCATCACGCTCTACATGCTGGGGTCATGTCAGACCAACGGCGCCTTTGTCTTTTTCGGTATGAGCCGAACTCCCAAGTCTTTCACTTACCAGACACTGACTAATAATAATTCAATTTGCCTTGTCGTTTTAAAGGCATCGCTGTCAGAGCGGCTTACTCCATAGGCATACATCGGACAGAGATCAATGCCCGGTTCGGCTCGGAAACGCAACACCAACGGTACGTTCCATGTCATTGTCCCAGCATAGCAACTCAGCCTCCCACCTGACATGACACTTCTAGTGATCGTCTGTGGAAGAGCCTCCGAGTCTTGGACCTTTTCCTGAGCACCTCCATGGGCCGCCCCCCCGCCACCTCAGACGTCGACTGCACCGTTCCCTACGGAGCAGCCGACGAGAACGGGGTCGAGCATTTCGACACCCTCAACGCCTCGGTCCAGATCTTCCTCATCACCGAGGAGATCGTCGTCGAGGTATATTCGCGGAAGAAGATCTCGTACCAGCTCACCGAGGGCATCTCTCGTCGCCTACGTGAATGGGCCGTTCAGTGGCTGCCAAGACTGCGGAACGTCGTCGCCGTTGCACCCGCCGATGATAACCCTGGGAGCACGACGGGGGCTTGCCAGGTTATGTGCTCTTACTTTTATGGTCCGTAATTCGCTTCCCCTTCCCCCTTCCCCCTTTTCTTTTCATTTTCGTTTTTTTCTCTTAATAATCCCTTCTGCAGCCGTCATTCTGGTGTCGAGGCCCTTTCTGATGTTTGAGATGCACAAACGCCTGTCTGGGGACCTACCTCGACATGGACATCCCGCCAGCCATAATGACGGTGCACACTCCAGCGTCCGGTCGAAACTGGCCGATGCCTGCATTGATTCTGCGAGCTTCATGGTTGAGCATGTGGCCGATTTGATCGACAGAGGACATCTCCAGGGCCATATGCCTTTGATAGTGTGAGTATCTACAATACGACCCAAGCTTCCCCTTCCCTTTAGTTTTCTTTCTTCTTCTTCTTCCCCCTCCCCTAACCCTAGCAAGATCTTGGCTCTTTGCCGCTTCCCTAGTCCTAGGCATCGGCCTCCTCGGATCCTTCGGCCGAATATTAGAAAAATACACGCGCAAGTGCATCCAATCTCTCGAACACTTTTCCAAAAACGACACCAACGCCGCGCAGTACGCCCTCATCGCCAAGTCCCTCCTCGCCTCGGCCCTCGGCTTCCTGGAGAAGAGGGAACTCGACGAGAGGCAGCGGAGAACCGAGAGCTCCTCCCAGCTCTTCGGCCTCGTTCCCCGTGATGGCCAGGAATGCGGGCCCAGGCCCGTGTCGCAGTCCCCGTCGCAGTCCCAGTCACAATCGCAGCAGCAGTGGTCGAGGCATGATTCGCCCGCGGACCGACGCGCTTCGGTAGTTGGCAGGGCCGCTGCCGCCTCCTCTGGGACGGGGTACCTGGGCTTGGATACGCCTCCGTTTGGGGACATGATTACGGGGTTTCTGGGGCTGCCGAATTCGCTACCCCGAACCCCCAGTCTGTCTTCGTTTTCGATGGAGGGGAGGATGGATGGCGGAGGTGATGCTTCGTTTAATGACTTTAATCTGTTCCAATTGTTGGACGGGGGAGGTCACATTGATCTGGGTCCTTACATGTGATGGACTAGGGAGTGAAGATGGTTACTCTGCAAAAAGGGGTTCGTGAGGTAAAAGCGGCTGGGGGAAAAAAAAAAGGGGGTGGGGGACTGCTCAAAACGTTGAGGAATGTGCTTAGATATCCCATTCCTAAGCCATAGGGGCCAAGTCAGGAGCACACATGCACAGAACAGAGAACAGAATCACTGGCAACAGTTGAGGACATAAGTTGAGAGACGTGGGAATCCAGTAATAGGAAGGGATAAAGTGTTTGCTCGCTACCACGACGCCTAGCAACCTGACCTCTAAGACTGTATAAGATGAGACCGAGAACTGATTCAATTCCTCCTCCTGCCTCTCCCCAAACGTCAAGGTGACAGCAATCACGGACCCAAGGGCCGGGACTTCATCACAGCATATGACGATCCGTTTGCTTTGCTTCTCGTCATCTTTTCTTCCCCTTTGCTCCCGTCATCTCCGGGACCCGCATCCTCTTCATCAGACGTGTTGTCATCGTTGTTGGCGTCGTCGTCCTTCGGGTGGCTGGGCAGATCAAAGGAGATGGAGGTGCGAGGCCGGCGCTCCGTCGACATCTCCCTGCCGCTCACCGAGCGGTAACGCAGGTGGCGCGTGGTCCGGGCACGGCGTTTGCCTTTGGGGTCGTCTTCCTCGTCTTCGTCGTCGTCGTCGTCGTCGTGTTCGTCGTCGGACTCCCCGTCAGGACCTATACGTTCGGTCGTCATCATGGACGAGGCGTCTATTGAACGTGCCCGGGAATGGCTATGCGGCGAAAGACCATCATCGTCGTCGTCGTCGTCGTCGTCATCGTCGTCGTTATTATTGTTGTTGTTATCATCGCCGTCGCGGTTGGCAGTGGTGGTCCCCGACCCATCCGGAGAAGACGTATACGAAATATGCCGCTGCGTCTTTCGAGCCCGGGCCTTGCTGCCGGTGGTAGCGCTCGGGGAAGAGGCATGGCGCGACGACGACTCGCCCCCCTCGTCGACGACGAGATGAACGGCGCGGCGGCCGCGGCCGCGGCGCTTGAAATTGGCATTCAGCGCCGAGTCGACGGCGGTCTTGCCAGTGCAGGCGGCGACAATGTCGCGCTTGAGGCGCATGTGGCCCTCGACCTCGAGGTCCTCGGCGTGGTTGACGCAGACCTCGTCGACCCAGAGGACGGTGAAGGGGCGCTTGCGGGCGCGGTCGCGGATGGCGAGCAGGGCGTCGTACAGGCCGACGTGGACGCTGGCGCGCAGGCCGTTGAGGTGCATGGGGCGGAGGTCGTCGCCGGGTTCGTACTTGAGCATCTGGAAGGGCACCTCGTGCAGGTCGGCGTGGAAGAGGAGCGTCTCGAGGGGCTCGTCGGCGGACACGGCGGAGAAGACGAGGAGGAGGCGGATGAACTTGGGCCAGCGGATGTGGCCGTACCGGAAGGGAGGGGCGGCGGCGAGGGAGGCCGACGGGTTCGGGTCGAAGGCGTCCCCGATGGTGATGGCGAAGTCGCCGCCCAGGCGGAGGATGCAGTACTTCTCGAGGGTCGGGGGGAGGGAGGGGGTCGCCAACAGCGAGTCGGGAGGCTGCTGCGACGCGATCTTACCCGTCGTTGTGGCGTCCCCGTCCCCGTCCCCGTCCCCTTCGGCACCAGAGACCTTGATGATGGGGGTAGACGAAGCGCCGCCGTCGGGAGAGCTGGCACCGGAGCCATCCTTGTCTTTTCCATTCTCCTTGTGGTGGTGCTTCGATCGCAAGGCGGCGACTTTGTGTAACGTGTGGGAGATGCCGAGGCGCTTTTTCAGGAGGTTTAGCCCGTGGCCGTGGCCTTGAACTTGGGTGGCAGTAGATTGCGACATTGTCGATGTTGATAGGTTGATCTTTGACCTGACCTGACCTGACCTGACCTGACCTGACCGTTTGGGCTAAGACCTCTGTAGACTGCTAGGGGAGTGGCAATAGAAGCGGACAGTAGCCATTGAACGAGATGGGGAGCAGATGGAATGGAAGGGAGGTTGTAGAATGGGATGAATGACGTCGATCCAGGATGCTGGAGAAGCTTAGAGTGCCAGTTGGGGGGGTGCCAAGCACTCAGTGCTATTTGTAGGGGGCTGGAGAGCCTTGTCTTGTGATAGCAGTGCAGGGCCAAGAAAGACCAGAGGAAGAGGCAAAGAGGAGAAATGAGTCCGGAGCAAAAGAAGGGTACGCTGGCTGAACCAGAAGCCCAGGACCCAGACGAGCGGACTACTAATAAGCGGTCAGAGACCGTTTTGGACCCAAGAAGAAAGCCTGGGCAGAAGAAAGGGGGGTCCGAGGAGTGAAGCAAAGGGACGATAAATAACGAGGGGGAGAGAGAGAGAAAGAGAGGGTGATGGAATGCCCCCCTCCCTTCTTCCGTACCTATACTGGGCTATCAGAAAAAGGGCTTGATTACCCTCTCGCACGTAATCTGGTGACTAAAGGCTGCATGTGGATTCGACACTCAACTGGTCGGGGCAGGGGGAGTGGTGGGGGATCCATGGGGTGCACTACCTTGGCGTCCAAGAAAACATAAGAGCGTTCATCATCTTGACGATGGCGGTCTGACCACGTTATTCAAGGAATAAGGGGGCCGAAGTGGGCTTCGGAGGCTTGGCTACTTGGCTTTTCGCCTTGGCTGTTCCATACGGCCCAGAAAGGAAAGGAACAAGGGCAATCGAATTGATTAATAATCCCAAGGAAGAGTCAGTCCAGTCGTTATACGAAGAAGCTTTTCCAACCTTTAATCTACACGTAGGAGACGAGATGCAGATGAAGTCGAATTAAGGCCAAGAGTCAACATGAACGTTAGATGTATTTTCCGCGGGATAGCCGCCTCACCCAATGACTGATTGACTGACTGGTCAAGGTTCATGTTCCATTTAATCTTCAATGTTTTTATTGATCGCAGGTTCGAGAAGCTCGGAAAAGTTCGACTGCGCTGCCGCTGCCGTCCGTTCCGACCCGATCGACCGCTTTTGGACGGACTGCCCTCGGCTGACACCCCTGGCCAACCACGTGCATTATTAGCAGAAAAGTACACTAGCTAAACAACCAGTTGTTTGGGAATCATGTGACCCGGGTCTGGCCTCTTATCGCTTTACATTATGCGCTGTAGCGCTGGAGCTGGCAGACGGGAGAAGACGTGTCTGACTCGGTGTTAGTCCTCGTTGACACAGTTTGCAGCAAGGCGAATATTTCAAGTCTTAATTCTATTCGACAAAGCCAGGCCACGCATTTACGTAAATTTCGGATTCAATTACCTACTTTCTCTCTCTCTCTCTCTCTCTCTCTCTCTCTCTCTCTCTTTATACCCATACCTCGTATAGATATAGGTTACAGGTACATATATGCTTGGGGACTGGAGGTTTGACTCGAGGTCAAACCGGCATATTGCGTCTTTTAAGCCGGACAATTATAGACGACGTGATCTTATCTTCCAATGTTTACTACTTCGGACAGCAAGAGCCATAGAAGAAATGAAATGAAAATAAAACAAAATTCCCCAGGAAAACGAATCGGTAATTACATGCACACATCATCGACGTTGGGACATCCTGGAAGCGTCGTGAAAAAACATGAACGCATCAGATGGGATCACGATTCACGGATGGGTCAATTCAGGCGTCGAGGCGAGGCAAGGACTTTGTCTTTTCCATACCCTACCACTGGTTTCTTTTTGTTCTTACTCCTGGAGCAAAATTGCGGCGGCCATCTGCCATCAAATCGCAGTTGAGACCTACATGTACTCAGTTCCCACGGCTCATTCTATGTTGATTTCATCATTGATGTCTCCTGCCAGCTTCAACACGAATTCCTGCTTTACAGTCTCACTCTCAGAGTCCAGTCTAGATTCCGGCGAGAATCAAGATGAGTGAAGCCGCGCCATCACAAGTTGAGACGAAGAGGGCATGCGGGTCCGGGGCCCGGGGCCCCAATACCAGTTGAGGAAATTACAGGCAGAGGGGAGAATCGTGAATGAGGCGACTCACGATGACCGGCCCCTCTAGTCACCCGACAACAGGGCGTTTCGACTAGGCCATCAAACGAATGTCTGGATATGGATAATCTCAGCTGGCTCAGTGCTGTGAAATTGTCATGTCAGGTGTCTCTTAGTATGCAGCTTCGATGTTCCGTGTCTCGCTTCTCTCGGATCGTGAAGATTTGATAGCTATCATGGTCTCACTTATTCCTTACTTGCCTTGCCTATTTTGAATCTCATACATCTTCTTCTGAAGAAGAACTAATGGCTGGGCAGTTCGACGTAACTAATAAGTTACAACTTGAACTTATAACAGTACAGATAGTTAATGCTCGAGATAGTTAACGCTCGAATCCTCCCTCTACTCTCCTCTATCCCTTGAAGCCTCCTTCTAGCTAACCGGCGAACTCCTTATACTAGAACGCCGTATACTATACTGGCTCCTAGTAGCCCGATCTAGCCACGGAGACTTCGCTAAGTACCACAACTAATTTAACCACAAAGACGTATATACGACTTGCTTATATAGTAAAAATAAAACCCTAGCTTACCCCCTATTCTATAGGAAAGTCCGTGGACGGATAATTCTATAGATAGGCTACTACTAATACGTGGCGTAATAACTCGGATTAGAATAGCCCTCCTTTATCTAACTAGTAATAACGACGAATTTCTATAATCGGATATATACCCGGTTCCCCCTTTATATCAAGGGAACCACGTAAAAAGATATCTCCCCTCCTGTAGATATCTGCGATAGCGACCTTATTACCTGAAATTAAGGCTAGTAGGTATTTAACGCCTCGCGGCCCCGTATACCACACTCTCTCTTATACTCCCTAATCACCCTACCTCTTATTCTATATACCGCACGACCACCTTATAGAGTATATATTTTCTGGTTTTATATCTTCTTAGTCTATTCTTAGTCTATATTTCGCTCTATTATACTATAGGCACACTATATCTAGCGTATAGAAATAATAGGTAGTAGTATTAGGCGTCCTTTACTCTTTCCAGAGATATCCAGATATTAAAGAATACTACTACTACTACTCCCTCCACTCTCCGAGATATCTGGTGGAATACTTAGTCTTCTTTAGTTTAGAAATTACTATCTCAGTCTTATAAAGCGTGACCGTAGACTAGAACTGACAGGCAAATGCCGTCGTCAACCTTTTGGTCAGTCTCAGTCTCAATGAACTATGGAGCGGCTCTTCCTCGGCGGGACCGCACGCAACCACATTCCTGGGACTTGGAAGTCTTCCATCTATGCCGACGTAAGAACCCAACCACTTAGACCTGTGAAGATAGAGTCTTCTACCACGCTCTGCGCTATGAATCTTCCTAATATTATCTGTGCTGTCACTCCTGCTGGTTAAGAGTCAATCTCACTTACAAAGTCTAATATCCAGCATATTACCTTGCCCCTTGACTTCATGTTTGCACTGCTTCATGCATATTGAGCGAGGCTGACGGCGTAAAACGACTCTGGTGTGCCGTGAAGCTCAGTTCTCTCCCCTCTGAATTCACGTTACCTCATCCTCAACCTCATCTTTGCTAAGAATGTGGATTTGACTCTCACATGCATATTATTGCGCTCCTTAGAGCATCGTGACACCCAAAACAACTCGTCAAGTCTCACGAGTAGAGCTAACGAACCATCTTAGCATGGGCTGGCCATGTTCCGTCTTTCCCTCACATGCAACCATTGTGATCAAACTCGACGTAGAACGGACTTGCCACCCCAAGGGGCCCAGCCACCTCGAAACCCGCGATCCTAACCTAACAAGTGGATATCCGTGAATTCCAAAGCCGATGCGGCAGACAGCCACACAATTCGGACCAGCTTTATAGCACGGTGTCTCAGGACGGCCCATTGGCCGCCTTTTGACCTCGCCGTCATGTGTGAGAGAAGTCGGACTGCAGGGAGACGAGGAAGGTCCATTCTCGTCATTCCACGCTGGGTCTCTGGCCAGTGATAATTCATGTTACGAAAGAAACACGAGGCTGGAGTACGCGACGAGGACCCAATACCCCTGGATGTTCCTCCTCGCTGATCACATCATACATCTCACGATGCAAAACAACGATATATATGAGAACACCCGTTCCCCCTTTTTTTGTTGTCCCTCATGCGTAGTGTCGACTATCCCAAGGAACGCGGGCTTACAAGTTGAGGGATTCACGCCGCCATGATGACAGAACATCTAGACGAACGAGTAGAGCTCGCAAAGGAGATGCTCAAGCTCTACAAGCTACCTCCTTCAGACGTCAAACACAGCGAGAAGTTTCAAACATGGGCGAGAACATCGCGTGTCGAAAGAGCTTGTCTTTTGTCCTCCATCCCTTCACTTCCTGAACCCTCTACTCGTCCCCTTCATCTGCTATCTCTGCTCCTCGACCTTCCTGGTCCTTGGCCTCTCCTCCCCCTGATCCAATGTTATAACCGTTTGTCACGAAACCTACCACAAGAGAAGCACAGCCCAGCATTCGAACGGCTCGTCAGGGGTACCGAGGAGGCTGTCAAGCGCTCTTACACATCACTGGGCCAGTTGATCATATGCAGTGAAGATGACATGGACCGTCCTGCCTTGCGCTCCACACGACCAAACGACTTCATCTCACACCGTAACTTGAGTAACCTCGTCACCTCATTCGTCTTGCCCCTTGAACTTCAACCTGCCGCCGCGCCTAAGCCAATCGTCGCCATCGCTTTGCCAAACAGCCCCCTGAAGGCAGCTCTTACTATTGCTGTAGCCACCTACTACAAGGCTGTCCCCATCGACCCAACAGCACGGCCGGACGAGTTCCAAGCCGACATCATCCAAGTCGGCGCACATTACGTCTTGACCAGCGCCGAAGAGTTCGAGAGACTTCAGTTGGCAGACTACTACAAGACTCAGCAGGATACCGCCTCTCTTCTTCTCGTGGAGGCAGATGGTGCATCTGACTCCATAGTCTTGCGAGGCACAGATGGCCATACTTTCTCTCTAACAACCGGCTGGCAGCCTACTCCGAACCAAGCAGACGATGTCGCTATCATACATTTAAAAGGGGGCATCTGGGGAGCCAGAGAGTTAACACCATTCTCACTCCATACTCTCATCTCCCAAGCTGTTGAAGCTGTTCACGACTGGCAACTTACCCCTGACGATACCTGCCTTGGCATGACTGGTATTCACAGCCTGTACGTTTGTTCGCTCAACTCTTTCCCCCCCGTCTCCCTTCCCCTTACGCGTAATATGATCATGAATCGTCACTAAGTCTATCATCCCAGTGGAGGCTTGGTATGGAATGCTCTTGCCCCTGTCGTGTCCGGCGGATCGTCGATCTGCTGCCCATCTTTCGATGCAAACCTATTCTGGGATATGATCGAGGAGATCCAAATCCAACCCACCTGGTATCAAGCCTCGCCTTCTGCACATCACGTCATCCTTGAGAAAGGGCTGTTTCGCACCAAGTCTCTGCCGAGAAAGAAAATCCGACTGGCCTGCGTTACAGAGGGAGATGTGGCCCCCTCCTTGGAACGTCGACTACGGGCCACATTCCAATGCGTGGTGCTGCCGGGCCACGACGCCGAAAGGTGAGACCCAACTCAGTTGAGATCAAGATGTATCCCACCGCACCGGCTATCGTTCCTGACACTTCCACATATCAGACCCATTCCATCCCCTCCGACATCCCTGTTCGGAGATAAATGTGATGACCTGAAGCTTGACGGCCCTACTCCTTGCCAAGTCGACACTCCCGTCTTGTCAAAGCCGACTATCACCACTATGCCAGAATCAGATCACTCGCCGTACAACAAAGATGGCTTCATCAACGCGAGCCATCTCGATTATCTGGGCGATGAAGGGTACCTCTACGTTATGGGACGGGGCAAGGGCTTCATCAACCGAGGCAGTCAGCTCATCTCGCCATTCGAGATCGAGAAGGCCATCATGTCGGCCGCCACGTCGACAACCTCGCTCATCAGTGGCCGGGTGGCCGACGCGCTGGCCTTCTCCGTCGCCCACGACGTGCTGAACGAAGTCCCAGCCGTGATCCTTGTCCCTTCTTCTTCCCCTGATCGTCCGCGGGTAGATATCAAAACCTTGCACGGGGCTTTGCGTCACTGCCTCGCGCAGTCCAAGTGGCCAGCCTTGATCGTCTACACGAATGACCTCCCCAGGAGAAACGGCAAAGTCCTTCGCATCAAGCTGGAAGAACGCCTGGCGCTTCCCGTTTTGACGGATAAGACCCCTTACTTGGCTCGACACTGGGAAGCGACTTGTCCTCCCGCCGATGCTGGCCTGTCTACGAGCATTCCGGCTTCGCAGTGTGGCATCGACAAGACCGCAATCATCTCGACCATGAGGTCTGTCGTTCCGGGTGGCTTTCAAGCTTGTATCAGAGCGAACCAGCAAGACGGTTACGTAGAGGCTTTTGTCGCTCCCAAGACGTTCGGCACCCCACCCCTTACCCCTGACTGGGTCAAGCATATCCGACGGCTCATGTTCCAGTCGATACACAACTACATGGTGCCGAATAACGTGCATCTTCTATCCGAGCCATTCCCGGAAGACCCCCTTGGCACGGTAGACGAAGATCGTCTCCAGGAGATGATGGACAGACTGCATGACGCGCAAAAGAGCAGCCTGACCCTCTCCACGGAGGAACGGATCATCAACGCGTTTGCCCAGGTTCTGTCATGGGACCCGGGAAAGATCGACGCCGGAACAGATTTCTTTTCTCTCGGAGGCGACTCCGTCAAGGCAAACGAGCTACTGACTGCCCTGCGAGCCGACTTCAACATCCACCTGCCGGCCGGACTCGTTTTCAACCACGGCACGGTCAAAGCCATCTCGACGTACATCGACGCCACTCTTCCCTCCTCTCCCGACGGTTCCAGAAGCGACCCCTTGCCGCAAGGAGGCTGCACCGAGACCCGGAGTTCCACCAACAAGCTCCTCATGGCAGCCCAGCTCCTCCCGCTGGTGGTGTTCTATCCCATGCGCCGCGCCTTCCAGTGGACCGTCTTCCTGAGCTTCCTCAGCTACACGCGCTTCTGGCCCACGAACAACATAGTCTACGGCCGTTTCTTCAACCTCGTCCTGGCCATCACGCTGGCCTACATCGTCGTCCAGATCATCACCCCCTTCCTAGGCATCGCGGCCAAGTGGCTCATCATCGGCCGCTACCGACCCGGGCTCTACCCGATGTGGGGATCCTACCACACCCGCTGGTGGATGGTCCAGAAGATCACCACGCTCTGCGGCTCGGGCTTTTTCAACGCCACCGACCGGCTGAAAACGCTCTACTGCCGTCTCATGGGGGCGAAGGTCGGGAGGAACGTCAGGCTGGTCGGAGCTTCGCTGGGCGAGTGGGATCTCCTGGATATCGGGGACGGGGTGACACTGGGTACGGGGTCGGTGTGCCGGCCATTTGCTGCCGAGGCGAACACGTCCATGTACCTCGCAACCATCGTCGTCGGGGAGAACGTCGCGGTGGGGATCGGGTCGGTCATTGCGCCCGGCAGCGTCATCCCGCCCAACGTCTGCATAGGGCCGAATTCATCTAGTTGGGAACTTCGAGACGCAGATGAGTCGAACCGCGACCTCTTGCCATCTAGAGCGCCCGGTCAGCATTGGGCTCTCTGGTTCTTCCTCACCCTTCCGATTCTCGCCATCGGGTGGCTTTTCGCCCTGATTCCTTGGTTCTGCGGCTTGGCCGGTCTTATCATCGAGAAACCGCTTTACAGCAAAGTCCCTTTACGGGATATCCTCGTCTGGTTCCCCACAAGCCCAACTGTGGGATTCCATTATCTGGCCCTCGTTCTGCGATCCCTCTTCAGCCCTGTCTTCCTATTGGTTTTCACGGCCTGTGCCAAGAAAGTGCTGGACTTGTTGCTAGGTGAGCTACGGCCGGGACCATCTCAGGGGCGTCGCAATATCGACACATGGAGGATGGCTCTCATGAAAACTTTACTTCCCGAGTCCCGCCTTCGAGAGGCAACCGAGCTGTTTGGGCAACATCACGAGGTCACCTCGATCGCCCTGCGGATGCTAGGGGCTCGGATCGGACAAAGAGTGTATTGGCCGAGTATGGGCCCATCCATCGGCGACTACCACCTCCTCGATATTGGCAACGACGTTGTTCTCGGGCCCCAAATACGGTTCATAACATCCGATGGCTCCGGCTCGGAGAGGATCTGCATCCGGGATGGCGCCATGGTCGATGACCGGGTCTGCCTCCTACCTGGAGTCGAAATTGGGGAGAAGACAATGATGGGCACGGCAACACTCGCTCGAAGGGGCGGTGTATACCCTGAAGGGACGTATATTGGTTCGAGAGGAGGCGACTGCGTCAGTTGGCTCACGGGTTGGCAAACCGCGAAAAAGGGGAAGCCCCTATTTCCTTCACATGGGCAACAAATGTCCAATACCGACACGCTGGTGGCAAAAAAAGTGCTTCAGCATATGAACAGCAGTGATACACTCGTCGATGTCAAGAGACCTTCGAAGCAGTCGACCGTGGACAGCAACTTTGACGATATCGTTCCCGACCAGGGGCACCCCCGACGCGACTCGCCCTTCGACAAAGCGTTCTATGACAAGAAAGCACCCTACTACGTCTTCGGCCAAACGACCATATTCCTCTACTCGGCCTTCATGTCCGTCTTCACGGCATTCTACTGGAACGTCCCCGTCATCTGCTCGATCAAGCTGGTGGGCCGCATCGTCCACGACCACATCCAGGCCACAGAGACCGTCTTCCACGACAACGCGTATTTCGTTCTAGCCCTCTACGTCCTCTCCACCATCAGCATGTGTATCCTGACCACCATGCAGGCCATCCTGACAGTGGCGGTGGTCATCGGGGCGAAGTGGGCGCTCCTCGGCCGGACCGTGCCGGGGAACTACGACTGGGACAAGTCGCCCTACTGCCAGCGCCGCCAACTGTTCCTCATCATTGAAAGGCTAATTCACCGCTGCTACCGCATGAAGGGCATTCCGGGGCTGCTGACGGGTACGCATTGGCTGGTACTGTACTACCGCGCCTTGGGCGCCACCATCGGCGACGACTGCGCCCTGTTCGCCAACGGGAAGCCTAGCTTCATGTTCACCGAGCCGGACCTCATTATGCTGGGGGACAGGGTGGCTATGGACGATGTGAATCTGAGGGCGCACAGAGATATTCGGGGCAAGTTTGACTTGGAGAGGGTCGAGGTGGGTGATCGGTGCGTGCTGAGGACGGGGAGCAGCATGCTGAGCGGTGCCACGATGAAGAGCGATAGCTGTCTCCTTGAGCATACCCTTATCATGGGGGGCGATGTGGTGGAGAAGTCATGGACCATGCAAGGATGGCCTGCGGAGAGATTCAGCGGTAACAGGGTGAGTCTCGTGGACGATCTGAAGCCTGAGGTAGAGGGATCCCGTAGCAACTCGGATGCCACTTTAGTTTCACACTAGACAGAGGACTATGGGGCATGGGGGGAAGAGATACTCAGCACTCGGTTATCTCCTATGGGAACAGGGGTATTACTGCATAGCAGGCTCTAAACGACGTAGCTAAGAACGAATTGCTTGATGAGCATATGCTGGTTGTTAGCTGCTCGTTCACATTATGTCACTTTATCCTGAGCATCTCTTAAAGTCATGGTTCTCTAACTTCACTTCATGTCTTGTTATCCCACCGACCTGAGGAAAAGGCACTGGTAGATTGTGGCTTTGTCCATCTCTGACAATCGAATACCGCGCATGATGGTACATGTATATATTTATAGGTGAAGCCTTGAATAGGGATGGATGTCATGTACTCGGCATCTATGCTCTCAACTCTGAGCTCTCTCTCTCCTACAAGAAAGAAGGACCAATAAGTAAAAGACTGAGCCTCGGTTCTCCGAGCTCAAGTCTTCACGGCCTCAGTTCCTCAAATCCAAGACTCAAACAAGTTAAGACCTCACATGCAACTACAACTCACAACTCACAATGTCCAACTGACAACTGACAACTGACAACTGACAACTAACAACGGTCAACTCTCGCACCCCGTTCGTCATAAGAGCCATTGCATTGCATTGGAATGTGCAACTTACAAGTTACGGAACGTCCACGCCGTACACGTCAAGTCTTCACTTAGTTGCCACCCGGAGGTCCCAGCATCTCAACCTGGGCGCTGCCCCGGCTCTCGATCCAGCCCTCCACGGAAAGGAGCATCTGTTCGTGACGGTTGAGTCCCATGTCCTGAGACGCCCACGCGCTGAATATCTCCCCAGTATTGATGATCCCACTCGAGCGCTTCGTCTGGCGAACGGCCCAGTAAAGGCGGAACACGCCCTGGGGGTAGCCAAAACCAGTCCGGACCTCTAGGTAAAGTCGGTAGACGCCACTGGAGGTCGTGACTTCGCCCTTGTCCTGCCGTGGTAGCATGGCAACCCAGTTTTCGAACACGGGGCTGTAGTTGTCTGCGATCCAGTATTCGACAAGGGGGTTCAGCGCGAAGCCATGGACGCCAAAAAGCTATCGCATCAAACGAAGAGTCAGAGATAGTCAGCCGGAATGGAACGACCAAGAAAAGGCTGGGGGAAGAAACAGAAAAAAACTTACGGCGCCCCCTTCCTCAAGAGTCAAGTTGGCCTCGTACTCGATCGACCTGTAGTGACACGTATTAAAGAGTCAGAGGTGAGTTCAATTTCAACAAGCGAGCTGCCATGTTTTATTCCAACATGAAGACAGTTGAGGACGGGAGTTCCTTTTCTTTTTTCCCCCTTTTTCTTTTCCTCTTACTTGTGATAGTTGTGATTAGCCCCCGACCAACCTTTCCCAAACGTAAAGGTAAGGCCTGGAAAGGTGTCCCATTCCACGCCGAAACCACCGCCTGGGCTCAGGGAATAGTTGGCCGAAACAGGGTTGCCTCCAAGATCCGACCAGAATTCGTAGAAGTACCCGTCGTGTACTCCAACGGGAGGGGGAGGAGAGCTCTGTCGGGCCTCCAGAATGCCATCCGTAGGATTATTCGTCGTCGGGGCCGCGATGACAATGGCGGCGGCGGCCGTGAGAGCTGTGACAAGGCCCGCAAGAGAGATCATGCTGAAATGGTGGTCGTCGAAAGTCGCTGAAGATCTGAAAAACAAAAGATGGAGAGTTGCTGGCTGTATTGGGGCAGGGGCTCTTTTGTTCGAGGTCCAGACTTTCAGTGTCCACAGCCACACTCTTTTATAACATCGCTTATAACTTATACCACGAACTTGACCTGTATGGAACGGGGGACGATGTGCCACCGCCGTGCAGCAATCATGTGCCCTATCCATTTGAAAATCCAGAAACAGACGGGTTGGGCAGGTTAGAAATTTCCTCAGACGGCTGGGCTTTCAAGTTTCCTCCTATCTTTTCGGTGCAACCACTTCCGGCACAACCAACTCCATGTCCCCAAAGGGCCAGGCCGCCAGACGTCGTATTCAACTTGAGCCCAATCACTTTCTGTCGGTTAATATCGAATAAGGATATTCATATTAGGCTCCAGAACTGCAGTCTGCAGCTGCCGAGACCCACAGAGGGGATGTCTGCCTTAAACTTACATGGATTTTTCCATAGTATTCTGCGTTGAGGCTTGAGAGCAGTGAGTTTATTGGGTCTTCGAAATGACGTCTGGTTATACAACGCTGGGAGCGCGCTGGGAATTGACCAATACTTCCCGACCATGTAGCTAGGAAGGCCTCCTGCGGCCAGGTGATTGTTAAATACATTATACAGAGCTCTGTGCATGCCATGGCCGGCCTTCTATGCGGGGCCCCAGATAAGAAAGAGTTAGTTTCGGCATATGAGACGAACTACGAACTGATCGGCGTACCCGATCCCCGCATTGGGAGGATGAACCGGGGAAGCGACTGGGATTTGTAATCTTCGCTTGGGGTTCTGTTCTGTTCCCCGGGGCAAGGGAGGAGGGTCGAGGTGGGAATCCTGGTGGATGTTGACTACATGTACTTATATTGGACATAAGGAGTCAACTCCCAAGGCAACAGCTCAGTTGTAAGTCAGTCTTTCTGGCCCAAACGAAGTTCGCATGGTCAAGCCTGTGTTTGCTTAGGCTTGCCTGGAGTGGGCGGTAGTCAAGTCAGACTTCGAGGACTGAGAGTCTGGAGATCAGAAGCAGACAAGGGCCGTAAGGTTGGTCACACATCTCCATACGATCATATTATATACGTCAGTGGCTTGATGTCTCCTGCTGAGCTCCATGGCACCGATTCTTTTCACGCAAATTGACCCCTGGCCGTCGATATCGGTAGGACAAGTTCGACATATTATCCATTACAGGAATAAAGACATGGACACAGCAGAAGTTCTAATCTGCCACTCAAATAGAATATTTAACCCCACTTGACTCGTGTGTTTTTCTCATAGTTGATCTCAATTGATAAGGACATAGAGTATGAGCTAGATGTCGGCACAGTTGAGGAGTTCAATGAGCCTTGAATTGAGCTTATCCCCGGAGAACCACGACTAGAAGATCGTAAGCAGATTACAAATAGGCAATATTATTCTTAGTTTGAATGTCATGGGTGATATTTATTACGATCAATCTTGTCCTCAACTGACTTACACGACAAATGGTGAGAGTTGAGCACAGGGCAAAATAGGGGTAATGTGTAAATAAGTGGCAGTTGTTGAAGAGTTCAAGTCCCTACATTAGGGAGAGAGCCAGAGTGCTCAAATCATGAGGGGTGAAAATGATAGACACAAAAGCCCGTCTTATTCTTATTCTTCGAATACAAGGGATCAAGATAGTTATTAAACAAGTTTCTATTTTGTTTGAGGTTGCACCTCATTCTCAGTCGTTAGGGATTTCAATAAACATTCATGTTCTCACTAGACTATGCAGAGATCTTTACCACATATCTACATAACCTCACTTCACTTTCATTACCCATATGCACTTGTGGAGCCAAAACGAAAACAAATACATTAGTATCCTGGTCAGTGTCATGAAAATCGTTGAGACTTGGTATCCTAACACGTGTGTACTTTCATCCTTTATTTCTGATAAAAACTATGAGCCTCCTGACCTCCCGAGAGAGGCAGCAGCAGCAGCAGCAGCAGCAGCAGCATTAACTCCGGCTCTTTTCCCCGAGAAAAGACAGTCCGCTAAAGCAAGTCCAGACACATACCGGTTGGAACTCAAACCGGCGGCGTTTTTACCCGCCGCATACAGACCCCGAATCTTCTCCCCGCTCTCATCCACCACCATACCGGAGGCGCCATCAACCTTAAGACCTCCCAGGGGAAAGGCCGGCACCATCATCAACCCGTCTGGTCTCAGGGATATGTCGATACCATAAAATGGCGGCTCCGAAATGACCGTCCTCCATCCGCGCTTCCCAACAGGATCCGGCTTTCCAGACCTAATGGCGTCGTTATAAGCTGCAACCGTCTCCCCCATCCTCCCGGGATCAACGTCCAGCTTCTTCGCAAGACCCTCGAGAGATGATGCCTTCGTGTGAGCCCAGTAGATCAAAAACCGGATAAGTGCCGTCCACGGCATCCGAGTCTGCTCGCCGACCTGGCTTTTCACCTTCCTCCACTGCGCCGAGTCCAAGATGAGGTAGCCCCGGCCGCCGAATCGTTCAATCATGACTTCACACGATGTTGCCCCGTACTGGTCTTCGGCCGCGATGCGCTCTCCTCCCGCCGAGACGACGATCCCTTCCACGAGGGCTTCGGGGGGGTACATCAACCGCCAGGCCGACATGCGGTCCATATGCGAGACGGCCCCGCCGAGGGATTGACCGAGGCGGATACCGCTGCCGTCGTCGCCGACGGTTCCTAGCTTGGCCACTCTGTCTGCCCAGGGCACGAACCTGCGCGTCCACTCCTCGTTCATGACGAACCCGCCGGCCGCCAAGATGACGACGCGCGATTCCAGCGTCCTCTCCTTGGCCTCTCGAGACCACATGGCCTCTGCGCGGCGGTCGTACCACTCGGCGAGCAGTCGCACCGAGATTTGGTGGTACTCCGAAGCCTTCCGACAGAGCTCCCCGTGGCGGGCGAGGGCGGTCGCGGCGGAAACCGGATCCATGGCTCGATAGCGCACCCCCTTCATCCTGCCCTCGCCGTCGACCAGGAGCTCCTCGACCCTGCTGGCCGGCTCAAACCTGACCCCCATGCGGAGGGCCGCGTCGAAGACGGCCTTCCACAATACGCCGCCCGTCATTCCCATGCCGCTTGTCCCCTGGCCCTTCGGCCGGTGCCCTCGAGGGGACGGCTTCGCAATGTCGGCAAAAGGATGGGCCTTCTCGTTTCCGGAGAAATAGAGGTAATACCGGTCGGTAGGGTAGCTGGTTCGGAAGGGACTCAACGACCCTTCGAACACGACCCCGTGGCGCTCTAGCCACTCCATCAGAGGGACGCTCTGGTCGCAGAACCTCCTCAACGTCAGCTCGTCCAGGGCATCCCCGACCTCTCGTCGTAGGTAGCGGAACATGTTCTCGGGTGTGTCGTCCCCGTACCCGGCCTCTTTCTGCTGCTTGGTCCCCCCTCCGGCGTAGATTACGCCGCCTGAGATGGCAGATGTGCCGCCGCCGTGCCCGCGGTCGAGGACAACTACCGAGGCGCCATTCTCGGCGGCGGCGATGGCGGCGCATATCCCGGCGAACCCTCCGCCGACGACGATGATGTCAGGGTTGGCGGTGACGCCGGATGATGCATATGGGGATGATTGCTGGGGGTCATCATGGGTGTCGTCCTCATTTGTGGTCCAGCTGCATGTGCGTTTCTTTGGTGGCGATGCCAGGAGGCGAAGACCGGTTATGATGGCGAGGAGCGTGCAGAGGAACATGAATATCCAGACCCAAGAGTCCCTGATAGAGCTGTCGTCGAATACTGCGTGCACATACAGCGTCTGAAGACGCCCAATGATTGTGTCGAGGCTCCCCATCTTGATTTCGTGGCTTGTGTGCTTGGTACATGTAGAGTAAGAACATTGAACCGTAAGATGCATGTGACGCAGAACACGCAGCTCACCAGTGACCAGTGATCATCCAGACCTGAGACCCAACACCAATCCCCGAGGGCCGAGGCGACAATGAAGAGCGCACAGATTCTTTCCGGGTTGGGGAGTTTTAACGACAACTTTTCCAATGTCTAGGCACTAATTCGGCCCTCTTGAGAATCGGAATAGGAGAAGAAGACCACCCGTGCAGCGTGCAGCGTGCTGCGTGCTCTCACGACCTTTGGGCCGGTGCAAAGTGTCACGATCTGACATGATGCGCTGTAGCCTGCAGACAGCAAGACCAGGACCACCGTAGCACCCAGTGGGTACAGGTATGGGCCCTACTTCTAATTCTGTGTCCTGTCCCATTCGGTGTGGAGGCTGGGATGACATGGACCATGGTCTTGAAGGATCACTTTGGTGGGAGCTGGTCTGCTTAGGTCTGATCCTTGGGGAGGATCATCGACCACTAAAACGCGCAGACCTGCTCTGAACTGTGCTCCCTACTGTATGATCGCTCTGCTTGCAGGGACCAGCCAGCCGAGATGGGGGGCTGAGTGTCCCACAAAGTAACCCAAGACATGCGCTTCTTCCACCTACACCCACACACACCCCTTACCCCCAATCTCCACCCCCTGAATGCCTGCACTCAGTTGACGCCGTCACACCCCTAGGTATGGCACAGCTCACACAGCACAGACGGTACTTTTAGAAGCTTGAATTCGGTTACCCGGAATCAACTCGGTCAGGTTTGTATGTTATTTTTATTTGTGTTTTGTTGGATCTTAGTTGAGCACAGCACAGCCCTGCGATCGCACTGGAGTCATCAACCCAGACTACCAGTGACCACATGCACCTGCGTATTGGACGGTCGAGCCTCAAAGCTAAAGTCAGAATCACTCAACTTCCTCATCAACCAAGGTCGAATTGCTGCCAGGATGGTCATGGTCGACAAGATAGACTCAACCATCCGAGCCGTGGAGGTGTGTTCTTTTCCCACATCCATACCTACCCCAGGATCTCGCATCATCATTTTGATACTGACATGACCCTCAAGAACTTCATGGGCTCAAGCAAAATGTCCACTATGAAGTCTATGCTCGGTCCGTTGTCTTCATGGTCAACGTCTTCGCAGCTCATTCTCGTACTTGTTGTGGTCGTGCCTCTCATCACGTACTTCACATCCGCTCTTCGATTCCGTCAAGTCCATGTCAGAACCGGCAAAGACGGGCAACATGTCGTTCCCGTTGTTCCCTACTGGATTCCTGGTATTCGGCATTTCTTCTCCTTCCTCAAAGATACCCAGGGGTTTCCGCTCGGCTTAGTGTAAGTCAAGAGTCCCGTATGGCCACCCCTTTTTTACTATGCTGATCACTTGTAGGAAACGATACGGATGGGAGAGACCGATTCGATTCCAAGTGGCCAACACGGGCTTCACAGTCGTGGGCAATCCCGATCACATCCAGACCATCTTCAAGAACCACCGGTACCTCTCCTCCAGGTCCATCACGGCGCAGTCAGCAAGGTATCTCCTGGACGTCCCCCCGAGCGTCATGCCTTTTTACCAAGCCGACGACTCGGGCATGGCCGGCCAGATCAGGGAAGGCAGCAAAGTGAAGCCGGAGAACCGCATCCTCTTCCACCAAACCCGCAGCGCCCAGAAATTCCTCGCCTCCCCTTTCCTCGAGCCCCTATCGCAACGCTTCGTGGACATGCTGCACCGCCACGTCGAGGCCCTAGAGATAGGCGACGACTGGGTCGAGCACCCCGACCTGTTCAAGTTCCTGCAGGTGACGGTCTCGCGCGCCAATATCGAGGCCATCATGGGTACGAAGATCACGGAGCTCAACCCGACCATGGTGGAGGATTTCTGGCGCGCCAAGAGGTACTCGCATCTTTACTTCAAGGGCTTCCCTCGATGGCTCGTTCCCAAGGCCTTTGCTGCCCGAGACCGGGTGCTCGAGTCCATACAGAAGTGGCACGCCTACGCTTTCGCGAACAGCGACCACACGAACACCGGGCCAAAGGACCCTGACTGGGAGCCCATCTTTGGTTCCAAGTACGTCAAAGCCCGGCTTCAGTATATGCTTGGCATGAAGCCGCTGGATGACCGTGTCCGCGCCTGCGAGGACTGGGGCTTGATGTTCGGGTAAGTTTATGTTCTGACCCGTACTACCAGACCATGCGGAATGCCCAGCCACATAAACTAACGAAGCAACTACAGCTCAAACGCAAACACCTTGCCCGCCGTATTCTGGTATCTCTACGAAGCTCTCAGGGACCCGGCCCTCTCGGCCCGCATGATGGCCGAAGCCGCCCCCTTTGTCACTTCCGACAAGGACACGTGCAACATCAACTTCCTCGACATGGCCGAGCAACCCCTGCTGCAGTCCGTATTCGCCGAAGTTCTCCGGACCCGTGTTTCTATCCTCGTCAGCCGCATGGTCGAATATGGCAATATCAACTTTCACGGCTACACGGCGCCGCGCGACGAGTACATCCTGATGCCCACCGATGCGTTGCACTACAGCCCAGAACCATGGGAGCGCGCAGGGCGGACTCTCAAAACGCCCCTGGAACAGTTCGATCCCGAACGGTTCCTGGTTCCGTCCGAGAAGGGAACGGGATCGCCCGAGTTCTCCCTCGACGGTCTCGCCGGCCTATGGATCCCCTTTGGTGGGGGTGATCGTATGTGTCCGGGCCGGCACCTCACCAAGATGGAGATGTTGATTACCTATGCCTATTTGTTCTCAAGATATGAGGTTGAGATGGACGATGGGGACGCTGGGAAGGTGAAGAATGACATGAGGTATGCGCCGTTTGGTGCCCTCCCTCCGGACCGTCCCGTTCGGTTCAAGATTAGACGCAAGGCATAGGTGTGAACTTTGGATCATAGTCTATGTAGACATGTATGTGACAAAAGTGGTCTTGAGTTGAATGTTATTCGAGTCAACATGGAGATATCAGATGTCTGAATTTTGGACCCCAACATCAACCATTCTCCAGGGACGAGTGTATATATTTTTTCATGTCTGCTTCACGACGATAACTACATGACTTGCTCAAGTCGAGGCCTTCCTCGGCGTCAGCCTCACCCTCAAATCCGCTCCCACCTTGGGGGACATGAGCCCCGGGACAGGCTTCTTCAAGTCCGCCTCCAGCATAGGCTGGTCTTCCCCATCGAGCTCGATATCAAACCTATTCAGCACCATGGCCACGAAAACAATGACGCCCCGCTTGGCAATATGCCGGCCGGGACACATGGTCGCGCCACCGCCAAAGGGGCGGAAGTTGTTGCCGCTAGCCAGCCGCGGGTTCTCCAGGAAGCGTTCATGGCGGAACTGGTCAATGTCCTCCCCGAAGACGCGCTGGTCCATGTGCAGCTGGCGGTAGGGGATGATGAGGCGCTTGTCTTTCTTGAGCGTCTTACCGCCGATGACGGTGTCGTCGGTGATGAAGCGCACCGAGGCCGCGAAGGCCGACATGCGCAGCATCTCGCTCCACATGGCGTCGACCTGCGGCAGCGAGCTGTGCAGATAGTCCAGGTCGACGGTGCCGTCTGGGCGGAACGCGGGTGCCGTCTCCTTTCGGGCAATGTCGATCAGTCCCGGGGTCTGGAGGAGGTAAGCGAGGAGCCAGTACGAGGCTTTGCGGCTGTTTGTGTTGATGCTGGAGTATTCTTCACGTTAGATTTCACGATTCTTCAGAACATTTGGTTCATGTTTCGATATGAGGGGCAGAAACCTACGCCCAGTAGATGGTCAGCGTGGCAATGGCCATATCCTCATCATTCATCCCGACAGCGCGCAGCTCGTCCTCCATAGCCTTGACGAACCAGGCATCTCCCACCCTCTCCTCCTTGGGGACCTGAAGGTACTTCCTGAAGCCCTGTAGGATTCTGTCTCGGGACGTTCTCATCTCCTTGGCCAGGAAAGACGGGTACTGATAGATCACCTGGTAGCTCAGTTCGTCAAACACGATAAAGGCATCCGTCAGCCCGGTGTCGATATCAGCCAACCTGGGTCCAAAGTAGGCGTGCTGGCCACCCCTGACAAAATAGTCAGAGCACCACTGCGTCAGGGGAACTACGATAGACCCGGCCGTCTTCTCCAAGGCGTAGTGGCACCCTTCATTCAACTTCTCGAGGTGGAGGTGCTCGTCGAAATACTCGTGGAAGCGGTCTTCGAGGAAGTCCAGGTGTTTTCCGGGGAACAGCTGATGGATGTGCATCTCGCGGAACAGAATCCCGAGGGACTTGCCGTGCGGGTTGGGGAAACCCGACTTGTCCTTGGGCAGAGGCGTGAACATGGCCTTGACGCTCAGCTCGGAGTTGCCGAGGATGCGCATCATGGCCTGCACGAACTCCTCGTACGAGAGCGTCTTGACGTTGCGGTAGGCTTCTGCCACGTCTTCCGCCCTGGTCAGGACGTACGTCTTCATTCCGGCGATGGTGAGCGCAAATGGCTCCCTGGTGTCGCCGAAATAGTTCCTATGGGCGCAGTCAACATGAGTTAGCCGACCCCGTCCCCTACGAAGACACGTGCAAGTAGAGTGAACAAAAGCGACTGCACTGGACTTAGACTCGGGGGGTCGACCCATGGACGTACCTCGCGCGAGTCAGGAGGGCATTGGAGTCTCCAAAGAATGAGAAGAGATGCCCTGCAATATTGGTTGATGTCAGCACGGGCTTGGGAATTGCATGTACGACATATTCCATTTCCCCCCTATTTTTTTCAGCATTCAAGATGGGTGCGACAACTTACCCAGAACTGCATGTGGCCTCTAGTCAGCACATCTACTTTCCCGAATCAAATCATCTTTCGAAAGCACACTCACGTGGTAGGGTATATGGCAGCTCCTTGGGCTCATCGCGATGGAACGACGGGAGAAGCGAGAATCTGAGAAACCACCAAGTCGCATGAGCTGTTGCGCAGAGAACGACTGCTGCTAGGAGGGAGGTGTGTCCATCGGTCACCTGGGAGATCGTTTCGTAGCTTGGACTCGCCGCAGCCAAGTTTGACAAAAAAGAAGAGGCTACCATGGCGATGGTCAAGGAAGGGCAGGGGGGAATAAGGGCTTCAGCGCGGTTGAGGTATTCTCCAAAGTGTGATGCCGCCTCTTGCGTATGGTATCGCCAGCCGAGGGACGGTTCTTCCGTATGCTATGCTCAGACTTCAGGTGCAGTAGAATCAAAGTGTCCATGTAAACAGTAAACTATCGTTATATGGACGGAATTCCGAATGTCCGCCCTACCTGCCTGCCGGAATTCCGAATATGGTGTAGTGAGAAGTGAGGAGGGGGGGTGTCTGGCTAAGATCAGTACATGTACAGACATGGAGGCTTACTAGTGTACGTGGTAATGGGATTGACCTCGAGTCCTCCATCGCGGCTATATCAAAGTCCCAGGGGCCTGGGGCGAATGGGACTCATGGGGGCTATCATCGCATGTGCATGGTCCCAGGTGGTTCCCTTACCCTTGGCCTGACTTGAGCCTTGACCCATCAGGAAATATTTCCGGAAACCCAAGGGAGCCGTACAAGATAGAAGCTTGGAGCTTACATGTGGGATACAGATTGCAGATTGCAGTACCACATGCAGTTACCACCGTGCCAGGCCAGGGGAGCGTTTACGTTGCAGACTAGGAATGTTCTCCTCCGTATTGACTCGGCCGTGCTATCCGCAGTCTGCCTATCACAATTCATGTTCCCTCTCTCCCCACAGGGACCAAGGTCGCCCGTTCTATCGGAGAGAGCACTGTAGGCAGGTTGGTAGCACAAGCAGGCATCATTCTTGGCGGTAGGCCAGGTCAGTCAGCACAGCACGGTCACAGCACCCTCGCTCGAGCCTCAGCCTACCGATCGGACATGCATCGTCATCGTCGGCAAATGGTGTCTTAGTCTCTCACCAACGAGAAGTGCCGGTTGGTTCATGTTGCCACCAGAGGAATGCACCGGGGTCCAGGGTGGTACAACTGTGACTTATAGTGCATTGTGGGGGCTGTAAGAACATGAACCAACAAGGAACGCCAACAAGGGGATCGATCACCTCTGGTTCCAGCCTACACTACACGTAATGCTTGGCGTGGCGCCTAGAATAGATAATATGCGGATACTGCCGACATCCCGGCGGGGCACACAGCCATACAGCCACCGTGTAAGTCAGGATTCACTGATGTGGTTACACCAGACACCACCATTTCGGACTTGCTTCGTACGAAGTGCTCCCTACATGTATTCTCAGACGCATGTGAAGAATGCGGGACTTTTGGTCTTTCTTGGGACTCGGCAGGCGGTGGCTTCGGGAGCAGCCCCGATTTGCATGGCCCACCCCCTGGGGGCCTCCCCAGTCTTGTTCTCTGGACGACCTGTCATTTTTCCATTTTCTCTTTGCTTTATTTCTTCGGGGTAAATCAGATAAGCCGCCCCTGTACGCTTGAGGCTACAGCATCGACCTCCGATCCTTCGCGGACCTTTGGAGTGTCCGAGTCTCCCACGCGCTTAAAGATGGCACCGTCTGCGGCTGGGGTCACCGTGTCACCATCCAAGCACAGTTGAGGTCACTGGAGCATAGCTAAATCTAGCAGTTGGTCAAGGGAAAAAAAAGCGCTATTCTATGTCTCATTGGCTTGAAGCTCTCTTGCGGAACAGCCCCACGGTTCCTTCGCGCGGCACTATGCTAGACCTCCAAATCATATGTCTCTGCGTCGTATCAGGCGTCTCACACTCCCATTCCGTCAGGATTTGTGTTACCAACAACTTCATTACAAGAGACGCGTAGAATCGTCCGGGACTTTGTTCAGATCGGAGTCAGCCCAAGCCACACATGCATCTTTCGGGGAAATGGCGTCTGGTCCCAAGGAGCCACTGGTCGCAGTGGGATCATTACCAGGCAGGGGGGAGGGCAAGGGGGAACCAGAGGGTGGGAACCGTGGGGTGAAAGGACCGGACCGAAGAGGGGGAACGCGCGTCTGCTTACCATGCTGTGTTCCCTAGCCCCCAAATGGGCCATTCTACCGTCGCCGTCGTGATGGTGGAGGGATCTTTGTCCGGGACTTTGTCCGTCGTTTGGCCCAGACGGAGTAGGCCGTTGGCGTTCGCAAACCGAAATCCATCGAACTTGTCGGGATCCGAGTATCTTTGCGCGTCCCGCATCATGGCGCGCTGTGGTATGCATACCCAATCGTCCTTTTCCACCCTCGACCCGTCTCGGAAGACGTAGGTCTGAAGTGCTTTTCGTCTGCAGCTGACTGGATTACATTCATCTGTAATCAGTACATGTATCGATCGACCACCTTTTTGAGAGAACATGAACGAAAAGCAACGGCTGGGGTTTCCACTTACTAGCATCAGCGTTGGAGCAGCGTATCGACTCCTTCACGAAGCTGTCGAGCAGGGTCAATTTCGACACGTCGAGCCTGGCGGTATGCACCGACCCCTCCGGCGCAAAGCTTTCAACCTCCTGTCTCAGGGGCTCCATGTATTCCCTATGAAGACAGAGATCCTCCACCACGAAAGTGGCAGTCTAAAATGGCACATATTAGTCAATAATGAGAGTGAACATGAACTCGGAGCACAAACTCCAGAGTCCAGTCATCCGGCACACGCCGTTGGGGGCGGGTGTAACGTGTTTACTCACCATAGCAAGTTGGTGAACAGAGCTGAACCATATCGCCATGATCTCTCCAATCATTCGAGAGGGCGACCACGGGTCTTTTCGCGGCGATGTGTCGATCAGCCACTGCATGCAGTCAGCCTAGAATAGGTGTGACATCCATGTCAGCAAGCAAACTCGAATATCGGAGTATAACGTCGGAAGTACAGGCTGAAAAAGGAGCCTGAGCATGTTCTAACTTCTACTCACCGGCACGTCTTGCTTCGCCGCATGCTGGTCTGCGGCACATCTCTTGGCAAGGCGTTCCTTGACAACGGGCTCTAAATACCGGAAGAGGATTCTCGAGGCCCGGTGTCTGCGGGTTGCTATCGCAGTTACGAGGCTAGAAATCGTCAATGTCAGCTGAGGGCAATGACGCTGCGATTGGAGTTGAGATTGCTTATGAACGGGATAGGCACACTCACGGCCGTAGAAACGCTGGTGAAACGCGTAGAAGCTCCGCTGTCTGAATGATGGTCTGGGGGAGCTCCAAAGCAGCTTCGGTGAACTCGCCATTGTTGCCTACCTCTCAGTCAATAACCGAACATGAAGTCCCTGGAGAATAGGGGCGAGACATACTGAGTTCCTCTCCAAAAAACACAAAACAGTTCACTCTGGTGACAATGCGTTTGATCATGGGGAACAGCTGGGCGCGTGCGAAGCCTATGGTAATCCTCGACATGTCAGTGAACTGCACACGTGCGCATACTTCTCGAAATTTCACTTGGCCACGAACTCACCGTCCGAACCCGTTGTTTTGAGCTCGTCCTCAAGAGCCAGCCTGATAATGCGATCCAGATCAGGCTGGAACTGCGGGAGATGAGACGTCAACAAACTCCGAAGAGCGCGGACAAACCCGGTTCCCTCGACACCTCGCTGGTCCTGCCACTCGAAGCCGTACATTGTAAACTTGGGTTGCAGCATCTGGGTCGGCCATTGTCAGTAAAGACACAGTTTCCTCAGCCGTCTGTCGCCCTGTCCGGAAAACAGTGCAACTTTGGGGTGCTAACCTCCTTGGCGACGGCATGCAGTGAGAGAGTCTGATGAGGAGCAGACATGAGCTCTTTGATGAGCTCGGTCGAGGTGATCATGAGGTGATCATTCGAGGGCGTCGGGATTGTGAACGGTTTCCCACCGGCCTGCAGCGGTTAAGTTAGGAAACAGCAATATGCCACGATGAGACAAAAGCTCGACTCTCGAGGGCACACATGGGGCTACTTGCTCTAGAATATTCATGGTCGATTATATGAGGTCCGGCAAGCAGATACCGCAAACCGTTGATGCGTCTCACAAAGCGATGTTGGATTCGCTTCCCTAGAGTCGAAAGCTACATAGACCCCAAAGGGGAGAAGTGAGCCTCTGGTATCTGACTGTAGATCTTGTCCGGCTGACGAGTGATGATATTGAAGGGTCCATGACTTACATTTCCCTTGCGAACTTCCTCAACAAGCGGCCTGAGAAGGGACAGGACGAAAAGACATAAAGTCCCGCTGATGAGAACGAAGAGGACGACCATGTTGACTTCAATGTTGACAGTTGAGAATAATGACCCGAACAGAAGGACCAGACGAGATAACAGAGAGGAGCTGAAACTAGGAGCTACTCAAGTTGACCAGGTATGCATGGATAGATGGAGCACTCAGCTTCTTACGTAGGCGGCTCAACCTCTATCGTTCTTTACAAGGAAGAGAAAACCGAGATGAACGGACCCGGGCACGAAAGCCTACGTTAGCTACATAATATTTAGGAATTACCCGCCAGCGAGCGCGTATAAGTAAGGCAGAAGGCATGGTACGTAGCTTCTTCAAGACGCATCCCGGCAGCCTGGATCAGAAATAGAACCAATCGGGACAGGAAATCACTCAAATCAGAAAAGGGCTCCATGGCATCACTAAACATAGGCACCGCGATACAGGCTATGTCAGAGGATGGAGGAGAAAATACGGGAATACGGGGCAAGGAAAGACAGAGCTCCGAGAGGAAAAGACACGTGCAAGCGAATGATACCATGTTTGACCATTCTACTGTGGTTCAAGTCCAGTCCACATGCACTTTCCAGAGCGAAACTGTATTTACAGGGATTTCTCCGCTTCTTGTCAGAAGTCCCGGATGCGTAGGCCGTAGATTAAGACTTCTATTTCCTGGGACACCTGCCATCGGACATCTATGGCGGATGGATGGATGCGTGGATGGATGAGTGGATAAGTGGGAGACCATCAAGCCAAGAGTGCACTGGTCTTCGGCAGTCCAGTCCGATCGTCAAGGCAGTGCTCTCTATCATGGAAAGGGCCGAGGGGGGGGGTCTGAGGGACCGTGGGGGCACTGGGGCGTAAGGCAGGGGCAGAGCAAGAGTAGCCGGAGAAATGGCACTGGGGGGTATATTCCCGGGTACTGGATTTGGACTTGGTATGGCAGTAGCCCCGACGCCCCGTAAGACGCATCGAACTTCTCAGAGCTTGTGGTTACCCGACGAGATAAGATCTTGTGTCTTCATGTTGTGTTCATGTTGCGTTCAATGTTCTTTCTGCTACCCATAAACTCCCTCGGGCCTCCGGCGCTAAGGGGTGAGGCGAGGTGGGTAACAGTGACAGAATAGGCACAGCCTAGGTAAGACTTGGTAGGTGGTAGCACAGGCCACAGCTATGGGGGTGTGGTGATACAATAGAAGTGCCGTCGGCGTGGCGTCACTGCCGTGTGACGACGGGGACCGGGGGAGATGTCAAGGTCTCAAGGACCCTGGACTCGACTCACTCGGGATCAGGCGAATCAGAACACGATACCATGCCGTCTCCTCTGTTTGGTCCGAAGGAATATGCAAGCAGTCCCAACGCTTTTCCATCTTAGGCGGTTACTTACCGTTGTATTTTATAATTGATCTCTTTGGAGGGTCGTGAAGGCTGTACGAACTACGGAGTAAGACAGAAGAAGGATCCTGAGTGAGCTTCCTTGATGGAAAGGTGCCCTCGGCCCTCCATCTCCCCTGCACAGCCTACTCCCACCCACCCACACCAGACACCCACACGCCAGACTTTACCACCCAATTACGATTACCATACTGCGTATGTATGAATGCCTTTACAGTTGAGGATAATCGCTGTCGCCATGTAATAAAACTTGAAAACTGATGTGGAAGAGAATATGGAGAAAGCAACATTGAAAGTACAGTAAAAATACAGCACAGCACAGAGCACAGGTAGACCTTCTCTTATACCTCCGTTTCCAAGGATCTGTCTCTTCCTTCTGGTGTCACTGGTTCCATTGCTACGCAGCCTACGCTGTGCTGATTCTGGGGATAGGCCCACGTTTCCCCCGCGGCTGGTCGCTGATGTAGGGTGCATGTGGCTAAATGTAGTATTTGGAGACCAAGACTCAAGTGATCCAAGCCGTCACTCGGGAGTCGAGACATTCCGTTCTCCGTATAAGGAGGATCTTTGTATAGTAGCGTGACACTGAAGACTCGAGACAAGTGCATGCCGTGGCCAGGATTGGATCCTAGATCATGCCATGCGTTTATCTTGTTTGGCTTATTGCTCTACATAAGCTCCAGTCTCCAATCGTGCATGTGGATAGTGGACTCGCCTTTCTTTTAATGTAGGGTCTCCCGGTTGTAGCTACCATACTCGCCCCCAACGACTTATACACTCTCGAGTCTCAACAGCCCATCCAGAATCCCCAACGTCGGCCACACCTGCAAAAGGGTCGTTGGACTCTTTGTGGGATTTCTGCCTGCCAATCCGTTCTGCACAAGGGATCTCAAGAGAACGACAGGCGATCATATATATCGACCAGACAGAAAAGAAAAGGGACGAAGCAAAAATGGACACGCTTCCGCCAGGCGTTGACCTCTGCGCCATCCCGGCCGCGGCGCCGCCGGAAGGCCACATTCCCAACTTTGCCAACCCGGTCGACCTCTCCGTCGAAACATTGGCTGTCGGTGCTGTCTTTACAGTCGTAGCGACGATATATTTCGTGGGACGATTGTACACGAACCGGAATAGGATGAAATGGGCAGACTGTAAGTTGGAACCTGCGCATGTGTGAACTTCAGATTCAAATAGTGACCCGCTGACATTCGATGCAAAGATTTAACAATAATTGGCTTCTGCATGAGCGCGGCATACACTGGTATTATCATGGCCTGTAAGTTTTGCGCTCCGATGCCTCGATCCCCTCCTTCGTCCGTCTTGTACTAATGCGCCTCTCCTCGCCAGTATATCCGTATGCTCGCCACCAGTATGACATGCCAGCATGCTGGTACACGACCGATCATATCTGGAAGCTCCTGTTTGCCCAAAACATGCTCCTAGGCCTGACGCAGTTCTTCGTGAAAGCGGCCATCCTGGTGGTGTTTTTCCAGCTTTTTGCCGTCAACAAGAAGATGCGCTGGGTGATCTACAGCGGCGTCATCTTCTCGGGCCTCATCTACCTGCCGCACCCGATCCTCGTTGCCATCTTCAATACCCCGCGAGCCGGCGAACGATGGGCCGACCTGGCCACCAACGGTCGGCCGCAGATGCTGACGTTCTATGCACCCATCCACGGCTTCGGCTCTGTCATTCTCGACATCTTCATCTTCCTCGTGCCGTTGCTCATTCTCGGGAAGTTGCATGTGCCCACGAAGAAGCGCCTGCAGCTCATGGCCGTCTTTGCCGTCGGTATTCTGTACGTCTGAGATTCTAACGAATAAAAGCAAATGCACGGTGCGATGGTTAGTTGATTGGACTAACGGGTGAATTTTTAGCGGCATCATATCCAGCATCTTCTCCTGCTACTGGCGAATGGATATGCTGGTCTCGTCAAATACCGACTACACCTGGCGCCAGGCCCAGCTCTTCATATGGATGTAAGTCTGCACTGCATATTGCATTGAGGAAGACGAAAGGCAACAAGAAAAGAAAAAAAAAAAGAAAAAGAAAAAGAAGAAAAGAAGAAAAAAAAAAGCGATTCCGGGAACAGTCCGCTAACTCTCCTCCTTTCTCAGCATGGTCGAGCACAACGCAGCACTCATTGCCGGCTCCATGCCCGCCGTGGCGGCCTTCGTACGCACAAACGTAGCAGGGTCGACCTTCGTCTCCTCGCTCCGGTCGCGCACCTTCCGTACAACCAAGGGCAGCAAGGGCAGCAAGGGCGAGACGAGCTTGCGCAGCCACGAGGTCAGCCTCAAGAGCGACCTTCACCGGAGTGGACACCGGTCGCGGTCCTACTACCACGAGCTCGACGACGTGCCAAACGACGCACAGGCTCTTGTGCGCACCGACATCACCGTCGCCCCCGGCATGGAGGAGGTGGCGTGGCCCATGTCAGCGCAAGGGTCCGGGGGGATTTTGCGAACGACTGACCTGTCGCAGACATCCTATCTGCCGACGGCGAAGTGATTACGGCGTTTGTCGGTTCATGTTTCATTTTATTTTCTATTTTTCGAGGGTAGTAGCCGACTATTCGGCGACATAAGGGAAACGGTCTTTGTAGCGCCATGTGAATTATCATTATATCATCAAAATTAGCTACATGTACGGTCCATAGGCGACCAGTGTATAAAAAAAGGGTTAACTATAAAATGCCAGAGCACCTTTAATGTATGTCTCTATATGTCTATGTATATCTATGTTCGTGCTTTTTTTCTTCAATGTTCTTTACCGACCACTAGGAATCGGAGTCGCTCGAAGAAAAAAAAGGGCCTGCGGAATCCGGCTTATTTCATGGTCAACAGACAAACGAACGGAAAGGACGTTCGTTGTTCGAGAATCCACAGGCATACCTAGGCATATGGACGACGATCCCATGTCGGAGAATACACAGGGCACGGACAAGTGATCGACTCGGCCCGCTTACTGATCAATAGCGTTCATGTTGGTGATGGCTGGGGCCTCCCAACATTGAATCGATCACACGGCTAATGTCTACATAAGAGCACATCAGCCATCTCTGGCCCTATAACGGTAACACCAACGTCCAAGTCTCTGAACACCACTACTCCGTAGTGCTTACTCCGTAATTGCTTCGTACAACAATCCGAATAGCACCACTTACCTATTCAGTCTTAGGGGTTGCCCCCCACCCCTCTCTCCGATCGTATCGGACTATAGGCCCTTGGCGTGCTTTATATTGTGGGTACGTTGTAAGTACATACTCGGAAATGGCGGCATGACAAGGGGGGTCGTTACTCGAATCGGCGCTAATCCTCCAGGATCAGGATTCGGTCGTATGATTTGTATCGGAAGAGGACGATGGGCCAACAAACCAAAGTACCAACCTGGATACGACGTAGATGTTGGATGGGTAGACGATGCAGGTGAGTGGATGGAAGGCGGGCGGATGGTGCCCAAGGTAGTAGATGGATATATGCGGCGAGACACGCACCTCCGTGTCTAGTCGGTGGTAACAGTTGCAGCATTAAGACATTGAGCTGTCTGGGTTTACGTTGTATCCGTCCTTTAGACTGTGGGTAAGGTACATGTAGTCACTGGTGGACGCGTACTCCGTAATCAGAGTAAGATTCCACGAATACCATCCATAGGTCTGGGTATTATTCAGAATGGTTATTCTGAAGGGGACGCCCGGTGTACACGTACGTTGTAAGTCTGTTGGGACATTCATACCTTACCTAGGTACCCACCCATAGGGGCCGTGCCACCTGTCCACCCCGTTCCCCATAGGCGCTAAGCTATATCGGGCACCACGAGAGACGCTAGACTCTATGCTTCGCTTCGTACCTTGGGTATCATAACTGCCTCTATTAGGCTATACTTATAGTAGATAGGCATCTAGTTATACTCCGTATTCTACTCGAATTAGAGCCAGAGGATCGGGTATACTAGAATAACTTACCTAACTCGACTCTACTCTACCGCCTTGGCGACCTACCAGTCCTAAACATTATGTATATAAACTAAAGAGTTACAGTAAGTGATTACTGGATTGGCAGATTAGACGCGAGCCGAGACAACCCCAACATGCCCCTTAACTCCGACCGAAGACCCCTGAAAGCCCCTGAAGTTAGCCCCTTAGCTGAAACAGGAAAGCAAACAATGTACAACTTGCTGTAGTACGGCCTAAAGTACCACCACATTTCAAACAACTTGAACATTTCTAACATTACCGTCCTTCTTCGTAGCTTCCCTTCATGTTCATTACGCGTCAATCCAGCTCAGGATTCCGTTCATGTGTACAAAGCTGGCAAAAACAAGCAGTCAGTGGCGTTAACGTGGCTGATCTCGCCTCGCGCCGCTTCGACTTAGTCTCGCCGCCCCGGCGACCCGACCCGTACATTTCTTCTAGTGGCTCCTCTATCCGTCAAGTACCTCCGCGCCCTCCGTCCTTCCGCTTGCTCTAGAACCCACAAACACCACACACACAGAGAGTTGAGAGTAAAGAGAGGCGGTGTGATCAATGGATCTCAAGACGGTCTTAGTAACAGGCTGCTCGGCCGGTGGCATCGGCGCCGCCATCGCCCTCGCCCTAGCCAAGCGCGGTCATCACGTCTTCGCCACGGCGCGGATGCCATCCAAGATCCCCAGCGAATTGTCGGACCTCGCCAACGTCACCGTGCTGTCGCTGGACGTCACCTCGCCCTCCTCCATTGCCGACGCCGTCAAAGCCGTCGCCGACCTGGGCCGCGGGCTGGACGTGCTGCTCAACAATGCCGGTGCGGGCTACGCCATGCCCGTGCTCGACGTGGACATCGACAGGGCTAAGCAGGTCTACGAGACGAATCTCTGGGGTCCTATTCGCACCATCCAGGCTTTTTCCGATCTGCTCATCGCCCACCGGGGTCGTGTTGTGAACTTGAGCACCTGTGGAGCTGTCGTCAATACCCCTTGGATAGGTGGGTTTTTCCTTTTTTTTCTTCCTTTTTTGCTCCTTTTTTTCCCCCTTCTCTCCTCTTCTTTTTGCCCTTGGACTTACCTCCCCAGCTAACCGCCAATATAGCCGCGTACACCTCCTCCAAGGCGGCGCTCAATCAATTCTCCGAGACGTTGCGCCTTGAACTCTCCCCCTTCGGCGTCAGCGTCGTCACAATCATGGCCGGCGTCGTCGACAGCCATTTCCACGCCAACGACTCCAACTTTGTCCTTCCCGAGGGTTCGCGCTACGCCCCGATCCAGGAGATCATTGCCGGTTGGGCCAGCGGCGCCTCCAAGCCCAAGGGATGTTCGGCCGTCCAGTTTGCCGATGCCCTCGTCCAAGAGATCACCGGTACGGGCAAGAATGGACTGGTCTTTCGGGGTCCGCATGCTGGCGGCATCAACTTTTTGTCGCGCTGGGCCCCGCGCTCTGCCACGGTAAGTCATGGGCTTCATTCCACCTTCGGACGCTCAACTATTTTGTCGGCAAGGCTTCTTTTTCACAAGCAAAAGCTGACCATGGGACCACTCTGTTAGGATGCCGCTATGAGTTATAACCAGGGACTCGGTGAGCTATCCAAGACTGTAGCCGGGAACGCGAAGAAGTAAGAAGCATGCAGAGTAATTCGAAAGCGGGATGGAAATATCTCAACTGCAGGACCTGAATATGGGACCCCGTGCATCGAGAATAGTCACTCGGTTAATTCAGGATCATTGTATTATCATGACTCTACTAATACTCATATTCACCTTAACAGAAGTGCCCACATGCAGCCATTAGAGGAATCTGATCGTACAAGGATAATGGAGACATTTGCAAGAGTCTAATCGCAAATCGTCCATACGTCTTAATCCCCAAGCTTGAACCCGCCCGGGACGTTCTTAGTGAAAAGCTTCAGCGGGTCATACCGAGCCCGAACCCGTCGCAAGCGAGCCACATTGGCAGAGCCATAGCTCGCGATGGGATCCTGCCAGGAAGCGGCATAGTTGAGGTAGATAAACGGGTCGTAAGCGTCCAGGTCCTGCGCATCGCTGATCAAGGAGTCAATGAGACTCCGCGCCGCCGCGTTCACAGTCGCGTCGTCGGCGGCGCTACCCCACGCAGCGTTAAGGACGGTGACCACGAGCGAGTCGGTCCGGTCGTCCAGGCCCAGCGCGTTGGAGTTGGCTCCCCCTTGTGCGTAGATAGCCGGCGGTAGAGGCTCGAGGGACAGGCTCCACGCCAGGTCCGGGATGCTCTGGACCGAGGCCACGCTGTCGGACCACCGCTGCCAGGTGGCGTTGAGCATGGGGACGGTGGCTTTGTGTGTGAGCGTGGCAGAAAGTTGGCTATAGGTTTCGTGGTTAGCGTTTGTATGTAAGGGGGAGTGCCGAGTGCAGATCCAAGGCAGAAGAAAAGAAAAAGAAAGAAAGAAAAAAAAAAGAAAGAAAGAAAAAAAAAAGAAAAAGGAGAGCGACTCACCGAAGACCGTATGGCTGCAGCGATGCGAGCTCATCAGCCAGCTCAGACATGGAAGCAAGGCGCATAGAGCTGAAAAGCGACGGGATGCTGGTGATGCCCTGCACAGAAGCGGGATTCACCACCGGCTTGGTATACTCGAGATTCGTAGCGACAGCCGGAGGCTGGCCCGGCTGCAAAACGAAGCTCGTAATAAGAGACGAATACTCATCATACGTAGCCGCATCGCTAAACTCAGCCAAGGCCTCAATGTGCGCATCGATGGTTTGGTCGGCGTCATAAAAGCTCATCCCTCCCCACAGCTGGCCCTGCTCAAAAGCCTGCAAGTCGATGCGGGTGACGACGCCAAAGTTGTTGGAGCCGCCACGCAGCGCCCAGTGCAGGTCCGGGTTCACATTGCTGTTGGCGTTGACGACCCTCCCGTCGGCCAGGACCACCTCGTAGTTCGTGACCGTGTCGGCGGTCCAGCCCTTGCGGGGCGAGAAGAACGAGATGCCGCCGCCGGTGGTGAGACCGCCGACGCCGACGCCGGCGTTACGCCCTCCCGCGACGGAAAGGCCGGCCGGCTCGAGGGCCTCGTAGACTTCGTCCCAGGTAGCGCCCGGTCCGACGGAGGTGACGCCGTTGCTGGCGACGGAGATGGTCTTGAGACCGCTCAGGTCGATGGTGACGCCGTTGGCGATGTTGGCGGCGTTTCCGATGGAGGCGTGGCCGCCGGACCGGACGGCAAAGTGGCATTGGGCCTTGTCGGCAGAGGGTAGGAGGAGGGAGGCGAGGGAGATGAGCTTGATGGCGTTGGCGACGTCGGTGGTCTGTGTTGGTTTAACGATGCATAGCGGCTGGACCGACGATGCTTGCTGGGCGTAGTAGGAGGACACCGAGTCGCTATAGGCTTGGGAGCCCCGCAGATGCACTTTGCCGTGAAGGGCCAGTGTTAAGCCGATGCACTATAATAGTTGAGGGCAATTGGATGGTCAGATGGCGATCTAGCAATGACCAGGGCTATCGGGCTGGTGGATTGGGGGCCTGGGGGGTATTGATGGTGGGTAGTGGGTGTGGTAGTGAGTAGTGGAGGAATTGGGGGTTTATCCTCGATTCCTCGCTGGCAACTCACGCAAAGCCCGCTATTCCCTAGGTTGACCATTGTGGTGGACTCAACGGTCTTCTATGGTAGCAGCAGAGAACGACGTGGTTTTGTTGGATGGAACACTGAGTAGGACTGTAGGACTGTGCGTGCTAGGAGTGGCGAGACCCCGACTCGGCCGACCAGGAGGTTCGTAGGCCGCGGATAAGGCACATGCACCGTAAACGGTAAGGGAACAAGCACGAGCACAGGGTAACACGCGAGAACATGAAGCTAAGAAGCTAGAACCGTAGCCCGTGAATGTTTGGATACAGCCGGATCAGTTGAATTTTATATTGCAACGTGGTGCCCCGGGCCCTGGCAGGTTCTGAACGTCTGATGAACCATGAACCATGAACCCTTGGAGGGTGCCAGGGTGGACCACGTTTCCGCCACGCAGCACGCTGCATCAGAGCATCAAGCGCAGAGGCAGGCACGTCATTCCGGGGTTCCGCAGCTTCCGCTCGCCTCTCAACGGGGTCCGTGAGTTCAATTCTATCGACTTGGCATCGCCGGGTGTGCTGCGGGTTATGCCAGGTCAGGCGAGAAGAGGCGAGGAGAGGCAACGTGGGCGTCGAGGGCGTCGAGGGCGTCGTGGGCGTCGTGGGCGTCGTGGGGAGCTGCGAGCAGGGTTCATGTTCGGAATCAGGAGAGGGCCACGAGATGTACTGGAGCTAGACTGTGCTTGGAGCTGGAGCTGGCACGGGAGCAGACCTGTCGAGCCTCAATTCCTAGTCCCCAGCCAATGTTAAAGTCCCTCGCATCTCAGCTTGTAGGTACATGTAATTATGCAGTAGAGATCCTATGTACTTGTTCCTCGGAGGGAACATATATACTCTCCGTCTCACCAGTAGCAGGGATAGTCGGCCCTTCTAGGCCTGATTCCGCCTCTCGTAGACCGGATGTAGTAGGAGGTAAGTAAGGGCTGGGGTAAAGGGAGTAAGATATCAGGCGGGGATGAAGATGGACTGTGCCGAATGATCATGCAAAGGCTCAAGCTTCATATTGGCCAGTATACGGTGCGCGCGTTAGGGAGCAATGCGCGCATCTTGTTAATAACATGAAATTAATTACGCATTAATCCCGGATCCCATTCAGTCAGATCGACCAGGCTGCGCACTACTCAAGCAGTACATGTAAGCTCAAGTGCTCTTTTGACGTGTTGGAACTTGGAAGCCAGGGACCAGTGTCTGCCTTGTGTTCACTGTTCACGGTCATGAACGTCCCTTGGGCGCCGGGGCGGGACAGTCTCCGTAATAGTGGCACGCTGGGCCACACGCAGAGAACTCTTCGCGATCGCGACTATTCTGGAGATTATTTCCCAGTCGTCCCGTGGGATATAAATTCCTCGGACTTTTGTTGCTTTTATTCGTTCTAATCTGATATTACCAAACATCTCTGTCTACTTTATATATATATATAAATCCCGCGGGAAGCGGAGAAAACATGAAAAGAACTGTGCTGGCAAACAAACATGGACAATCTGTGCCCAAAGGACATCCTTCAGGCTTTAATTAACTACATGTATCCACTGAAGAATCAAGATATCCCCGTAGCATTGACCCTCCAGCCCATAAATAGGTACCTACAAGCTGCGCCGGTCAGAGTCGCGTCAAGACATGCCCCCGTAAGACAGTCGAGGCCCGGGGTGTAGATATAGGCATCCATCTTCAGTGGACACCACTAATACCCAGGGACACCATATCGCCACATGCATCCACATGCAAGCAGAGGACCCAGGGACCAGGGGGTCTGCACGACCCGAATCGGCCCCCAAAATAGATTTTGTCTTCCTACCAAATCCTCCTACCCCTCTATCCCCTCTATCCCCTCCATCCCCTCCATCCCGAAGACCTGTATCGATGTCGAGGGCTTGCATGAGGCGCCTGTAGGAATATCTATATTCTATAGGTAGTCTACGGATATGTACCACTCTTCTCGTCTCCTCCGGACTTGACATTCTAGCTGTGCTCGCTCGTAAACCTCCAGCCTCCATTTGCCGCTCGCTTCCCCATCTCCTTCTGACTTTTCGCCCTCTCCGACGTCTCCGTCGTCTTCTTCAGTTGTCTGCTTTGACAGTTGAGGCCACATTAACACCACGATCCACAGTCTGCAAAGGGCGGCAAAATTGCAAATTGGAGGGACCTACAGACATAAAACTCACCGATGATGCAGTCATCTTATATCCTGAGCCGCTTGGGCCTCGTGGGTGTCGCGACCGCCCTAGTCGGCTCGTCTCATGCCGCTGTAGTCCAGGACACATCCGCCACGACCGCCACATCCTGCGTCTCCATATGTGTGAGTGTGCCCATGCCCACCCCTTTACTCTCCGTCCCCGTCCCCGTCCCCGCTCCCTCCAGTCCCCCAGCCGGCAGAAGCGGCGCCACCTCATCACAACCCCATCGCCCTCGCCTTACCAACATGAAGCTTTCAACCCCCAGACACTTCATTCTCACCTGAAGCAATGACTTGAGCCGCCCCTCCTGCCTCCTAACGTTTTATCGCTTCACTCCTGCTCACACTTGATGGCTTATGCCACCCAACTCGCAGTGCCAGTCCCTTGCAGCCATCTTACCGTCCAAAGTCGCCTTTCCCGACTCCCAGGCCTACGAGACCTCCGTGTCCTCCTACTGGGCCCGGCCAGAACAGGAGCTCTCCCCCGCCTGCATCGTAGTCGCCACCGAGGCCGAAGACGTCTCCATCGCCCTGAGCATCATCGTCCCCGGCGCATGCAAGTTCGCCGTCCGTAGCGGCGGCCATGGCTCTGCCCCTGCCGTTGCGAACATCGAGGACGGCGTCACCCTGGACCTGAGCGGCATCGCCTTCACAACGCCCAACGAAGACGGCTCTCAGGTCGCCATCGGTCCCGGCCAGGAGTGGTCCAACGTGTACGGCATTCTTGCTCCTTTCGGTGTCTCCGTCCCCGGGACCCGTGCCGGTGGTGTCGGTGTCGCGGGATCGACCTTGGGTGGTATGTTCATGTTGTGTCTGGTGTCTCTGTGTTCCAAACCCCAGCCCCCCCCTTTTTTTTTCTTTCTTTTTTTTCATAACTTTCACAACCCCCAGTGCCCTTTTCTGGCCCCGATTCCATCCTCATCCGTGCCTCGTGTGGCCGAGATCAGGATGATACATGCACCAAATGAAGAATGCACGTGACAACATGAACTGACCCTTCATACTAGGCGGACTGGGCTTTGTCGCCCCAAGCGCAGGCTTCGCAGCCGACAACGTCGCCTCGTTCCAAGTCGTGCTAGCCAACGCCAGCATCGTCACCGCCTCCCCGCACGAGAACGCGGACCTCTTCAAGGCCCTCAAGGGCGGCGGCAGCAACCTGGGCATCGTCACCAAGTTCGTCTTCGACACCGTGCCCCTCGGCCAGGTCTGGGGCGGCGACTCGGTGTATCCCAGCAGCTCGCTCAAGGGCGCCGTCAAGGCCTTCTCCGACTTTGTCGGGAGCCCGCACTACGACGACAAGGCCCAGACCCTCATGACCTTCTTCTTCATGCCCGAGTTCGGACCCCAGATCGTGAACCAGCAGATCTACGCCGCCCCGGTGCCGGACCCGGCCGCCTTTGCCGGCTTCGGCGCCATTGCGGGCCAGCTCTTCAACGACACGGCCATCACCACCGTCCACGCGCTTTCCGTCGGCGCGCAGGCTCGGTCGCCGGACGGCTTGCAACAACTCAACTTCGCCCTCACCCTCCGCAACAAGGCCGAGGCCATCGAGGACATCTGGCCCATCTTCGAAAACACCTTCCCCACCATCTCGAGCGTCCAGGGCATCTCGTGGGCCCTGACCCTCGTCTCCATCCCCCAGACCCTGGGCGAAAAGTCCGCCGCCAGGGGAGGCAACATCCTCGGCCTCGACATCCCCCCCGAGGGCCTCGTCCTCGCCTTGCTGTCCGGCACCTTTGAGCGCGCGGCCGACTACCCGGCCATGAGCCATGTCGCGAAGGATCTTCTAGCTGCGCTCATCGCGAAGGCGAAGCACCACGGGGCATACCATCCGTTCATTGACCTGAACCATGCCGGTCCGACACAGCACGTCTTTCACGGGTATGGACATGACAACCACAAGTTCCTGAAGGCTACGGCCAAGGCTTATGACCCAGCCGGTGTCTTCCAGAAGCTGATGCCTGGTGGGTTTAAATTATAATGAGCACAGTAAAAAGTGTATATATAGTAGCAAAGCAGGCCTGCAACTACATACCAATTTGATGTTAATAGAATACGAGCCAGCCACACTCACATCACGTACATGTGGCGATCAGAGACTCCGATACGTAAACGAAGGAAGTTGAGGCCATCATTTTTGTTCATATATTCGTTTTCCTAGTGTACATGTAGGCTCAGTTGTATCTCACAGTAAAGTGTCCATGTCCCAACTATACTACCTATATAAATCCATTCCGACTAGAACCGTGGGCGGCCGTAGTAGGACGGGAGCCCTCCTCGTCAATCCTAGAGAGGCCATCACTGAATCCCCGTGTGAAGTCTTGGTAGTCGTGGTTTAGGGGCACCTGGTCGTCAGCCGTCCTGGACACGCCAAACATCCCGCTGCTGTCGTTCCTGATTGGTATGCCTCCACTACCCCTCGTAGGCACAATCTCCCCTCCCGGGCCATAGGTGAAGGGGTGTGCAGGGAACGCTGATCGCAAGGTCGAACCGGGCACTGCTTTGGCCAGCGGGCAGTCGGCGGCATGGTGGAAGGGCGCATCTAACCCCCTACTCAGCGGACAATCCGGGGCGTGTTCGTAGGGGCCATGGGACGCATAGCCCTGATCATAGGCTTCTTGGCTAGGGGCGACGGGTGCGAAATCTGGGCCACCACCCATGGGATTACTTAACCAAAGTCACATAGTCAGCCAGCACTCTCTATTTCTTTGTTTTTCTTTTTCTTTTTTTTTCTCTCTTCTTTTCTTGGGTCCTTTCAAACATGAATCACAACCAGTTGCACAGGGAGTATCCTCGTACCTGATGTAATGCGTCGTCTTGGACAATCCTGGGCCCTCCCGCTTATTCTGCCGCCTCCGCCTCCAGAAGAAGACGACAGCGAGCACACCAAGGAGCACGGCGGCCCCGCTGACGGATCCGCCGATGATGGCACCAGTCTTGTTCACGCCGCCTGAAGTCGAGGCGTCGGGGGCTTCTGTCGACGGATCGGCCGACGGGGTCGCTGAATTCGATGGGTCGGTTGGCGAGGAGGAGGAGGAGGAGGAGGAGGAGGAGGCGGTCGAGCGGGATATAAAAGTGGTCGAAGCCGATGTGGTGGTAGAGATTAAACTTGATGTGTCGTCGCCTGACCGTGAGATGGTGCCAAGTATGGTGGCGCGGGAGAGGAAGCTCGGCGACGCGGTTAGGGGTGCGGAGACGCTGGGGATGGGAAGAGCGATCGATCGGCCGGAAGCGGTGGCGGCGACGGTGCCGCCGATGTTGGATGCAGAGCCGCAGCCGTACTGGAAGTTCCCGCCGGCGAAGACGTTACGGTAGCACACGTCGGACCCGGTACATGAGTAGATGTAAGGGTTCACCTCGGTCTGCGGCCCGCTGTTGGCGTCGACGCAGCCGGTGAAGATGCCGGCAGTGCATGGGCCATCGCCGTTCGGACAGCACCCGATGACGCCGAGGCCCTGAGCCACGACGCAGTGTGAACCGGCCGAGCAGGTGGCGGGCAAGTCTGGATCCCCGCTGATGTATCCGCAGATGGTATTCTCTTCTTGTCGCTTCAACCGCTCAAAGGGGGAGAGGGGAGCGGCGGTTGGAAGGGGAGGGTAGGGAAGGACGTCGAGCTCGCGGTAGGGGACGGTCGTGGTCTGTCGGGGGAGAGCATGGGCGTTCGCATGGGCGAGGAGGTTGGAGAGCACGAGGAGTGCAGTGGCGGGTGGGAGTGCCAGGAGAAGGCGAAGGTCGTTGCGGGCTAGCATGACGGCGACGGCGAGGGCGACGGTGACGGCGGGTTTCGGCGTGAATTCGCGGCCCAGGATTTGGGGTGGATGGTTGGAGGAGGAGAGACGCCAGTCTCGCACTGATTAGTATTGCCCCAGTGTTGCCCGTCTTGCACCAGTCTCGCGGTGGTGGCGCGTTGAAGCGAGTGGTTTTTGTTCAGCCGAGCAGGGCAAATTGGGCTGGGGCTTCCGCGCGATAGTAGAGACCAGTGTAGGTTTTAGCACAATTTTCAATGCAGTATGAGAGCCTGTGTACGTTGTAAGGCGAGTTGTCGAATGAGCAGAGAGGAGTTGAGGGAATTGAAGTTGTCGCGACGAAAATGAAAATAAAACGGAAATAAGATGAAGCGAGGCCAGATAACAGGGGAGCTGGGCGTCGAACATAGCACAGGCAACCCGCTGTCAAGGTCGCTGGGGTTTCCAGGCCAGGGGGGTTTGTCGCATAAGAAATGCCTTCTTCAGCGAACCTTGCTCCCAGTCTGCTTCTGCTAACAAATCACATGCAGCCTGTTATTTCTTCCGGGGAACGAGGACTTGCTGATCATTGGACTGGGTGTGAAGGGTGTGGAGGCGGAGGCTGGGCTGGGCTGGGCTGGGCGCCGGGACAACAACGGTTTTGCATGGCATAAGGTGTACGAGGTGCGAATAATTAGAAAGTACGAACAAAGACGAATAAAAGACGGAGCATCAAGATCAGTTCCGCCAGGGTCCAGGGTTGAGAGTCCTGTGCTGACGGTCCTCCCCTCCTGGACGGACTTTTGTCTGAATGCAGAGCCACCACGAGGTTGACTGACACGGTATGTGTTTGGGTCGAACGTCACGTTTGGCTGCTCTCGTGCTGTGAAATAACACCTTTCGAGTAAAAGTTCAAATTGTCTATCATGGGCCGGGCAAGATGCAAGATGGTGAACTCGAGGTGGATTGAAGAAGGCGGGAGTAATCCGTCCTTGGACAAAGGACCAGGTGAAGAATGAAAGGAACCCGGTGTGTGGCTGTGGCACAGGTTGGAACGGTCGGGTGGCTGGGCGGCTATGTGGCTGTGCTCAACGTCAAAGTTACCGAGTACGGAGAGACATGCTTTTTTTAGAATACGCTAGTGGAGATAAACTTTATTACCTTTTTGACGGTTGGACCATGCTACACTCAATTGCAACAGAGGCGCCATCATCGATCACCAGAGCTGATTTATTGACGAAAGGAATAATTTCTTGGGTTGTCCTTTAGAACCTCTAATCACTTTCTCTAGCGGGCTCGTCTCTCAGCTAGTCTTCTTCCAGGTACGCAGAGCTACTCCATACACAATACTAAAGTACACAGAGGTTTAGGGACAATACAAGGTAAACTGCTTCGACTCTTTTATACAATAGTATAGTGAAATCACAAGAATCTATGCGCAATCAGACGTCGTACAAAAGTGCGAAAGGACTCGACCTTTGGAATGTCCCTAACCTACCTAGGTGCCTTCCACTTTTACGGGCTCGATATCAAAACGTCCGGGCGCCGTAATCCTTCCCTTGTTTTTCATTTGGCGTTTCAGCACCCTAACTAAATTTGACCCCACTTTCCCGAGTCCCACTGATAACGCTTATCCTCCGTAACTTCCAGTAGTAGCTCCACCCTCCGTCCGCGTGATCGACCCCTGAAAGAAGTAAACATGCGATGCTGGATCGAGGTTAAACTGTAATTACATGTAGTCTCGTTGGATCTTCACTTCAACCCGGCCATTACTTAATTGATTACGGATATTTGTCTCCCTCCCACTTCGCAATCACACCCTGCCGTTGAGTTACACCTTCACAAGCCGCCACCAGTCTGGATCCGTCATCCCTCTCAGTACGGCCAATGCCCGTTCGTGTCCGGTCCCGGGCTGCGGCCCCGGCCCGTGATCCCAGTCCGATGACCTTAAACCCCGACGCCTACGACTTGCCCATGATTGCCTCCGAGGACTCCTTTCGCGAGGTGGTCAAGAAGATTTCCATGTGAGTCCCTAATGCCGTCCGCAAAACGAAGTTGAGTCCAATGGCAGTGACTGGCAGCACTAACGCCGTGGGCTCGTCCTTTGCGTCACCCGCCTCAGCTATCTCACCGACGTAATCCAGCTGCCCAGTACCTTTGAACAGCTGAGGACCACCTCGGCTGGTGACAGCTTACGGGTTCTAGTGGACCACCTCAACTCGACCTGCACCAACCCCGCCATTGTAAACGCACTGCTGTTAGTATTGCTCGACTTTGACCCCCTTCAGCCGATGCGTATATCGACAGTAGGTCGTGGCAACCTTCCCTATTGACATCTCACCCCCCCCCCCCGTCCACAGCGCACTCAAATGGCACTACGCTGCGGATCATGACGAGTACAGCCAAGGCCTGGCCGAGACCCGCTCCAATGCCTGCGAGATCGTCGCCTGGAGGTTCCTCACCCGCCTCTCCGAGCGGGAAGCCGTCGACTACTGCCTCTACGAGATCCCCAACCCCAAGGAGGCCGAAGACGAGCCCAGCGCCGGCGACGAGGAATCCACCGAGCGGTCACCCCTCCTGCCGTCGTCGCCCGGCTGGTCCGGCTCCCGACGGTCCATGTCCGGACCGCCACCTCCCGGCAGCAGCATGAAGCGATACCAGCTCCTGTCCTCCCTGTCCAGGCTTACCATGAGCCTCCACGTGGACGCCGACGACGACGAGGACGACGTCGACCCCACGGCGCCCTTCATCTCCCTCAACGCCCTGGAGATCGCCGCCGTCGCCGGCGCCAAGCGCTTCCTGGCCCAGCACATCGTCCAGAAGATCGTCACCGGCATCTGGAACGGCGACATCATCTTCTGGGACACCCTCTCCGTCAAGGCCGAGAAGAAGCCGCGCTTCTACAACGCCCGCACCGCTGACCCCTTCTCTCGCCTGAGGGTGCCCCGCTACCTCAAGGCCTGGGAGGTCTTCTTCTTCTCCGTCTTCCTGTGCCTGTACTACGCCGTCCTGCTGGGCGAGAAGGACCCCACGAAGATTTCCGGCACCGAAATCGCCCTCTTTATATGGCTCGCTGCCTTCTGCTACGACGAGTTGAGTGAGTGGATCGATGCCGGTTCCATCTTCTATGCCGCCGACATTTGGAACTTGTTCGACATGATCATGATGGGGATTGGTGTTGCCTTTGCCGTTCTCCGTAAGTAGCCAGCCTGGATTTGCCACTCTCCTCTCTACCCTTCTCTCCAGCCTGCTTCTCCCCCGTGCCTCCTCAACAACTGACCAGACACAAGGCATCGTCGGACTCGCGAGAAATGACGCTACCATCGGCGCCCTCGCTTTCGACGTCTTCTCCCTGGAAGCCCTCTTCATGGTCCCACGCATCTGCTCCATCCTCAGCCTGTCGCCCTACTGGGGCACTCTGATCCCCTGCCTCAAAGAGATGGGCAAGGATTTCATCAAGTTCATGGTCCTCGTCGTCATCATCTACCTCGGCTTCCTGACCACCTTCTCCCTCGTCGGCAGGGAGAACTACGCCCTCCCGCACATGGCCATGAACCTGACCAAGATCTTCTTCGGCTCCAGCTCCGTCGGCTTCGAGATCATGCACGACATCGACCCCATCTTCGGCCCCCCGCTCATGATCATCTTCGTCACCCTCTCCTCCATCCTGCTCATGGGTTCGCTCACCGGTATGCTCTCCAACTCCTTCTCGCGCGTCATCACCCACGCCCGCGAGGAGTACCTGTACATCTACAGCATCTACGTCCTCGAGGCGTCGACAAGCAACCGCCTCACCCATTTTTACCCGCCCTTCAACCTCCTCGCCCTGGTCATCTTCCGGCCCCTCCGCCTCTTCCTCCCCTCCGACGACAAGTTCCGCGCCGGCCGCATCGTCCTCCTGCGCGCTACCCATCTTCCCATCGTCGGCATCATCGAACTCTACGAGCTGATCCGCCGTCGCATCCGCCCCGACGGATCCTCCGTCTTCAAAGGTCCACGCCCGTCGCATTCGCATTCCCACCCCGCTAGACAGAGGCCCCGTCCAGCTGTGGAGCGGCCCCCGTCGTCCTACCCGGTCGGGCTCTCCCCATCCAAACCTACTGCCGCAGGACGAGACGATGACGTTATGGAAGGTGCTAGGTCCTTGGCCACGCGGGTGGCCGAACTGGCGGACAAAGTTGACAACCTCACGGCTTTAGTCGAGAGGTTACAGCCGCCGACGACGGCAACATCTTTCCAAGAATAAAATCACGGACATCAAGGACTCGTAGCCTAGTGCGGTCCGTGACGGCATATTTTGTCGGTACCTACATAGGCAGCTTATCGTTCCGCATCTGGGCATTTGAGTACGCGAGGCGCAGTCAGATATCCCCTTAGCCATGGTTTCCCCCTTTTCTACCTTATATCTTCTATATATTACCAGGTATATACGAATCTCCGTATTTCGTATTGTCTGGTTCGGCGGTTTATAAGGTAGGTAATAATGAGCTGACTGATTACCTAATTGAATGCTCACTCCGCACGTTGAACGCTCAACCGTGACGTTTGCCAAGCCCGTATTACATAACCAAACGTCCAATTGTTTGTTCCATCCAACGGCTTGGACCCAGTTCCTGAGAAACGTGCTTCCAGCTTATATTAAGGTAGGTAGAAAACGCGCCGTTATATAAGTACCCGGTACCTTCCGATGTCGGCCCGGAGCTTATCAGCATGAAATTTCGCAAACCTCAATCTTGACCTCTTCCATCAGCTTGCACACCAATTCTCGAGTTCACACCAACTAATCGGAGACAATTGAGTAGCCTCAATGGTTGCGTTTGCGTCAGCCCGGCTCCTCGTCACCCATATCCCAAAGCCAAAGTCATGACTCTGGCTCTGCCGCCCATGAGCCGTCATCTCAGCCTCCCCTGAAAGCCCGCCTTACAACAACCCAAGGCCAACAACATTCGGCGAATCGACCTCGTTCTGCTCGAACACCACAGCCGGCCATTCAGTCAGTCAGTCCCAAGCTCCGACCCGTCGCTATGAGGGACGGCTCTGGCAGGAGACAACTGCCCCCGGCGGCGGCAGATTCGTCCGAACCCTTGGCAGCAGCCATATCTCCGGGCATCCAAATTCGGGAGCAAGCAGGAGAAAGATGGAACACGAAAAATCTCGGCCTGCGCCTAGGTGCCGATGTCGTGGGCGCAGCGAGCTCTGCCTCTCTAGTGGCTCCCGTCATCTCTGTCATTGACCGGTAAGCGGCATCTCCGGCTTTTGCTTTTTCTTTTTTTTTTTCTTTCTTCAAGAGTCGTACCTCTCCTAGCTCCCTTCTCTACACAATGCTGACAGCTTCAAAAAACAGCTCCATCATGGAAAACGCCTCCGGTCGCAAAAGCGTCGCCGACTCCATCAAATCCTCGTTCCGCGACTTCCTCCGCCGCCCTCAAACTTTCCTCTTCTCCAAGCCCACCGCCCTCATCTTCCTCCTCTACGGGGGAACCTATCTCACCGCCAACACCATCGACACCTTGTCCTCCACCGTCTCGAACAAGCCCGCCACAACAGTAACAGCCGGCACCGCCAAGTTCGCGGCATCCTCAGCGGCAAACATCGGCTTGTGCATATACAAAGACCAAGTCTTCGTCCGCATGTTCGGGCCCCCCGGTCTCGTGCCCCGCCCCGTCCCGATGGCGTCGTACATCTTGTTTGCGCTACGTGATTGCATCACCGTCTTCGCGGGCTTCAACGTGTCGCCGGTGTTGGGTCCCTGGCTCAACGAGCACATGAGAGGCGAGCTCAGACGACGGGTGGACGGTGTGACGGTCGCCCAGTTCGTAGCGCCGGCGGCCATACAGACGATCAGCACGCCTCTGCACCTGCTTGGTTTGGACTTGTACAACAGGTCCAGCGGGGATTCACGCGGCTCGGTGTCTCTACGAGATCGATGGGTTGCAGTAAGGAAAAACTGGGCCGTCAGTGTGGCGGCACGTATCGGGCGTATTGTCCCGGCCTATGGCGTCGGTGGCGTGGTCAACATGAAGGTCAGAAGATATCTGATGGAGAAGCTGACTTAGAGTTGTAATGGTTTTGATTGCTCTGGTATTGTCACTGTATTTATAAAGCGTGGGCTGGGTACAGGATGGTTTGGAACGCGACACGCCTCTCTGGATTGGGAAAGGATATCATGCATCAGTTGATAGATCGGAACGTCGACATAGAAGGTACGCAGCATAGAGGTTACGAGCAGAGAACCCAGACATAAATGTATAATGAGGCACCGGATGGTGCAACCAACAATACACTTAATGCATAGATGGGCGTTTCCGGAGGTCAAAGGAATCCCGTTTCTTCCAGTGCCTTAAGGATCCTCTCTGGCTCTGCTAATACCTTTCTTCGCGGCTTGCGAGTAGCGGCACCTGGATCGAGGAAGTTCTCCCAAAACTTTAGGCCTTCGATGCCCTCCTCTCGGCAGAGAATCCCGCGCTCTTCGGCCATCTCGAGCTCTTCTTCGGCCACGCCGATGCTCCAGCCAAATCGCTCCGCTGCATCCCGGGCTGTCACGCCACGGCCGAACCGGTGCCAGTTCCAGGGCACTTCTTTGTCCGGAGGAAACTCTCGGAGGTCGGCGAGCCAGGAACGTATGGACTTGATCGTGGTCTCGTCGGTGCGGTCGCTGCTCTGGACCACCATGACGCCACTCTTGAATGTCCTCAGCCGGACCGGGAGCTTGAGCGGTTCCCACATCCGAGCGGCCTTTTCGAAATCGTTCGGGCTCACCAGCTCGACGCCGCCGCGAGCGCGGTTGAACATGGCCCAGAGGTCGACGAAATTGATGACACCCCCGGCCTTCCTGAGCACACCTCTGGCGTCGTCGGTCAAGAATTCGGCGAGGTTGCGGGCCAGTTCGGAGAGATACAACCTCTCTGAGCTGCTGCCTCCCACGATGTCCTTCGTCGTCACTAATCCGAGCTGACTCGCCGATTCCGCCAGGACGGTATTGGCTTCAGAGGCTGCCGCACCGCTGCCGCCATTCCCTTGCCGCGCAAATCTCTCGGCTAACGCCACAATCTCCTTGGCCGACGCCATGAGGGCATCAAGATCCTCAAAGGCACTTCCAATCATGACCTCGTTATTCTTGCGTATGTCCAGCCCTCGCTGCTCCAGCCCGGCAATACCCACCCCTTTCTTTCGCCCTGTGCCTTCTCCCAGAGGTGAGCGAACAACGGCGCCGTTCTCGTCAATGGTCCTGGCACTCTTGGGTACAGGGGGGGCGCCTTGCAGTAGCCATTTGCGTTGGATCATAGATCCCTTTAGACGCTCGTAGAATATCTTCTCCCCGCCACCTCGAAACGAGACTTTGATGCTCTCAGCCGTGTCCAGCCCACGGGACTGGTTCCGCACGGGTCCCGGTGACTCGGTCCTGATAGACCCGCCCTGACCTCTCAGTTGGGCGCTGTTCTGCGAGAGCAATGAAGCACCGCAGATCTCGCAGGATAGAAGAGATGGGTGGTTGAGGAAAGTACATCGGGGACACTGAAACCGAGAAGTCGAGTCTGATGACGGATCGGGGATACTAGCAGTACCAGACGAAATGAGTGGCGGAGTAGGCGCATGTGAACCTTCTGTCGGGAAACTGGAACGAATGGAGTTTGTGGACGGTACGGGACTTGCGGGTGCTGGTGGCCTGCTTGTCGCGTTGGATATAGCCGCCTTGAGTACGTGGGCTAATGTCGGCTTGATACCGCAGGCCAGACAGGGTGGCAGAGGGGTATGGAGGTTAGCGGTTGTAGGATCGAAGTTCGAAGGTACAGCATTCGAAAAGCTGCATATAGTGCAGACCCAAGTCGCATTTGCGACAAGTGCGGGCTCCGGCGATGACCGGTAAGGACCATCAGCATAACCCGGAGAAGAGGCGTGACCACGGGCGGAATTCGGGGATGAGATGGCAGAGGCTCTGGTATAGAGAGACGACTTTTTCAGTGGCTTCGGCACAAGGGTGACCTTGGGCGATGATTTCAAGAAACCAGCATAAAACTCGTACCGATCGACATCCCTGAGGTCAAGGGCAACCGAATGTTTTCGAGGTTCTTCCTTGTCAACGTAGCAGATCCGGTGGGAGGTGAGATAAACTTGGCCATTCTGCTGATTCGGCAACTTGTACTTGCTATGCAACAGGTCAGCATCTGGAATCTGCACACGTAGAAGGGGAAAATGGACAAAATCCAGAAGAGAGAGCCATACCCCTCGTACAGGCCCACGTTATCCTGAACAAAAAGCAAGGCCTCGTCAGGGAGGTACGCGGGCCGGAGAGCAGTAGTGAGATCAAGATGTTTTAGAAACATCCGTCATGCCAGGAGAGCGCGCCCCCAGATGATAGATTCTAAAGGCTGAAAGGCGAAGAGTTCGAGCAATATTGAAGAGGGCGACCTTAGCACGGCCAAGACGTAGTACGTCACCGATGGATGGCGGGGGGTATCTGCTGTCGTCTCAAGGCCTGGGCATGTTGAAGAATCACGAAGGGTATTCTTGTTGGGCGAGGCGTGGGGGAATCAATAGGTCGCTGCCAATGTTGAGGAAGAGGCAGGGGACAGTAAGAGAATATCTATGCTGAGGAGTCGCAAGTTTGTCAGGTCGCAAGCTGAAATCACCTCGTCCGCACCACGTGAATATCTCTAGGTACTTCGTAAGGTACCTACACTAATTAAGGTAACATGGAGTTGCGTCTCCTTATCCCCGCCAAGGAAGTCTCGACTTCTGTATGGTCACTGACTCGACCAACAATCGTGTGCCATACAAGTGATAGCTTATGTAATTGTATTCTCACGTGATATATCATCCATATACCAACTTTTGTGGGCTTCAGGCTTTGGCAACCACCCGAGAAGCCCGCACCTCTTTCAATTTCCTCTCTCTTATAATCACCACACTGCACTTTCTTCTCTCTTTTAACCTTATCTTGACTGTGCGCGCATCACCCTCCATCAAACAAACTGCATCACTCTCAGTGCTGCGCGCGGCTGTGTTCTACTAATCTTTCATTCAAAGTAGCAACCTTGTCTCGTGTGCGCTTTGTTTGCCACAATGATGCCCTCTAGTTGGCCGGTGTCACCAACGCCAGGCTCTGTTGCAAACCATGTCTACTCTGCCGGTATGCCTCATGCCTCTAGCCGGCTCGCCTCCCCTCCCCCCCCGGATTCTCGACTCCTCTCTTCTCCATCTGCTCACGATTCACTTTCAGCTCCAGCCTACACCCCCGTCCAAGTTCGACAGGGCTTCGGCCAGTATCCTCATGTCCCGTCTTCTACAAACTCCCTCGGCCCCTTTGCTCCTGCCCCGATCCCCGCCCAAGTGAACCAAAATGCCAATGTGCCGCCTAACCCAACGCCCATGGATGGTACTCCTTCCGCTCCGCCGCCGAAAGGCAAAGTCTCCTTCTCCGATGCCGTCCGCAACTATGTCCGGCGTGCTTTCCTACCGGCCAATCTGGACCCTACGATCCGGAGGCAAGATATTGAGGCAAAGCTTAAGGAAACCATCTCCTATGCCGCCGACAACGGACTCCTCGACTCAACCGACTGGGACGCAATGCCCCTGCCCGTTGAGCTGATCAAAAAAGATCTCCTTGCCCGACTGAATATGCCTCACCCTCACCCTGGTCCCATTTCGCCTGTCGGGTCAAACGGCTCAGCGTCCAAAAAGCGAAAGTCTTCGGATCGAGCAGAAGTCGCGGCGGTTCCTTGGCGGTCTACTAACGCCCGGACGTCGTCCTTGGAAGATCGTATCACCCACCCGCCAGCCGACAATCGCCCTGCCGTGGACGAGCCTCTTCCCAAATCTAGTAAGTTCCAGAAGCAAATGGAGAAGCGACAACGGCGATGGGGTAATTACCAATCGGCACCTCGGTCGCCCACGCCGCCGCCAACGATGGGACCAGTCGTCGGCACCTGTGAAGTGTTGGAAAAGCGGTATCTGCGGTTGACGTCCGCCCCCGTCCCTTCGCAAGTTCGCCCTGAGCATGTGCTCCATAAGACGGTCGAATTGCTCAAGAAGAAGTGGAGGAAGGAGAACAACTACTCGTACATTTGCGACCAGCTAAAGTCTGTACGCCAAGATCTCACGGTACAGCGAATCAAGAACAACTTCACGGTCAGCGTGTACGAACTGCACGCCCGCATTGCCTTGGAGAAGGGGGACCTCGGTGAGTATAATCAGTGCCAGACCCAGCTGCGGAGCCTGTACGGGCTGGGCTTGGCTGGGAACCCTATTGAGTTCAAGGCATACCGGATTCTCTACTTCATCCACACGGCCAACCGTACCGGACTGAGTGACGCGTTGGCAGATCTAACCCCAGCAGAGAAACGAGAGTTGCCGATCAAGCACGCTTTACATGTCCGGACCGCCCTCGCGCTAGGCAACTACCACAGATTCTTTCGACTTTACCTAGATACACCCAACATGGGCGCTTACTTGATGGACATGTTTGTCGTTCGAGAACGCCTTGCTGCTTTGTGCAACATCTGCAAAGCGTAAGTCACTTTTGACACTTGTCGTTTCTTCCCCAGTCGTCGCTCTTCCCCTTCGTCGCTATGGAGACTAACGACCGACTCGCAGTTACAAACCAGATGTGAAATTGAGATTTATCACTGAAGAGCTCGGGTTCGAGTCGGACCACGATGCCGCCCAGTTTATAGTCGACTACAACGGCCAGCATCTGCTCGAGGAGCGGGGAGAACACATTGCTCTGCTGACTGGTAAAGCTGGTGCTCTCTTCGAGTCTGCTCGCGCTGCGGCTTTCCGTAGAGTCGACATCAAGGGCCAGATTTGACCTGACGGCCATCCCCCATGCACGAGCAGCTCTCGACGTCACTTCTTTCATCCTTTGCTCTTCTCATTACGACTTTGCCGAACTCGGGTTCGTTGTTGTCCGGCTCTCCAAAAACCGAGAGATTTGGGAATCGGAACACAACATCGTAGCTTTCTTCTCCCTTCAAGTTGTCCCTTTTTCGTCTTCTTTTTTTTTTTCCACCGGCATCATGCAACAAGGCGTCATCATCATGAGACTTGGAATGACCTGTGATTTCGTATTTCAGGCTCGACATATCGCATTTCGGAGCCTGTCGCTCATCCAGAGCTTGCGGGCGGTGCTCCCGTTTTGCTTTGTCGTCACGGTATCAAGTTTTTGAGTTTTTGGCTCTCCGGCGTATGCATAATCGAGTCGCAGCAACCTACAGACACCAACATGAGATCTGTCTCTGGAGACTCGAGATACTCTTCTGGGTTCAGATGGGCGAGTTAGGAGAATTCTCTTTTTTCTTTCTTCTTTTTTTGATACCCCAGTCTTTCATGTTCAGCAGTCCGACGGTTGGCAGGGTGTCATTACACTCTTTACATTCTCAGGTTCAGAAAATGCGCAGCTCTTTTTAAAGGCTGCAGGACATATGGGAATGTTTCGTTGCTGCGTCGCTTTGCATAATGGACTACCGGCGCCAAGAGGGCTTTGATTTGCTTAGCAGAACCAGTCGTTTATTATTAGCAACATTGATGAAATCCGAAAACATCACACAGACTTGACTCACGGCCCAATTGAGACGTCACTAAATGTTACTAGGTAAATCTGCCAACACTTGACTAGCGGTGGAAAACATGGGAAACATCGAACAAAGGGAGTTTCATGGGGAGCTGACGGTATAAGCCATGTTCTTTTGTCGATCATACACCGGTGGCAGTCAAATGAAGCTCAGTTCCCGTTTCCTGGGGTCATCACGACGCGGCAGCTGTCCTTCCGAAGGATGGGGGTCTCGAGTTCAAACCCAGCACGTCAGACGACCATTCATTACCTTACTGTTTTTCCGCGCTCTCGTCTATTGGGTAGTCTTATGTCTCACGTAGTCCAAATGCAGTGAGTGGTTCTCGAGTTGACTGGCTTCTAGAAAGTGCTGCGACGCAAAGACAAGACACCACACGTTCCTGTATGGCCCTGGACAATTTTGCCGTCGCAGAACAAGCTTAATACAGGCGAAAATATCCAAGAAACTCTCAATGTAGATAACAAAGGCCTAGCTCGGCCAAGCCTCAAGAATGACTGAACTGATATGTAAATAAAGCCTCCGACAGTTGCGTCGCTGACGGACATTTGCCAACGGAGTGGCAATATACCTCGCGGCGGCTCCGGACGGGAACGAAGTCGCTCGCCCCGCTCTTCCAAACATCGTGACTCCCGTTCTCTGGCTACTCCTTACTCCCTAAGACGGATAACGTCGTACTTTGTACATTTCCGGGCACAACCTACCTACCTTACCTTATAGCCATGGGATGAAATCGTCCAAAAAGACCTCCGACTTGAGCTACCTTGACCTGTACCTTAGGCATCATCGAGTGTCTTTTGTGGCTCGCCAAGGTAGATGGTGTCCCTCCGGATGTACCTATCCTGATGCGAGCTACGCGGAAAATGTATCGAGTACGACGGAAGTACGGATAAGAGAAGCAGGTACAGTACATACTGTACCTTTACAACATGGAGGCCATGTTGACAATGTGGATCACAAGGGCGGACAACTCCGCTCAAGTTCAGGGGCGGCGACAAGGAGAAAAGGGACAATAATCACAGGATATGGGACGAGGGACGTTGGGGGGACCGGAACACGAGAAAGGAGACGGCTACCTCACGTAGTAAATCTACAGGTACCTTACTCCGTGATGACTCCCTGGATTAATCGATATGATATCAATTCACCTGTGCCTTAGGGCTCAGGCTCAGCGTACCGGTAGGCGCGTGTGGCTTTTTGTTGATAGCCAAACACGCAGGCCGTTCGCCGTACTGGAGTACACTGACGGGCGTCTAAAAACCGTGTGGTACGAAGGCCGAAGTACTCAGTACGTACCGGAAGCCGTTGCGTGACCTACCCGCCCCTGGGCTCCCCCTCCTTCTGTCCAACCTGCATTTTGCATTCCCCCCCCCCCCATTCTTCCCCCCGACGTTCAGTTTCTTACGGATACTTGACCCATATCAAAGTCGGCATTCATGGCCACGCCGCAACAACGACGGTGCTGAGTCTCAGTGACCATTCGCGACCCCAACAAGCGACGCGCCCAGACCGAGCGACCAATCCTCTGAGGGATTTGTGCATACTCCAAGAGCACAGCCTGACCTGACTCCCTCCCTCTCTCTCTCTTGCCCCTCGTTTCCCGGCCACTCCCAAGACCGCCTTCGATTCCACCACCGAATATTGCGACACTATATTTGGAAGCCTGGAGCGAAGTTAGGACGCAGGAGGAAATATTAACGACCAATCGGAGAGTCATCATCAGCGCGAAGGACGTGTTCGTCTCCGACGCCGAGGCAGGAGCACCGGACGCAAATCGACGTGCGCACATTGAGTTGAGGAGAGGTAATCACGAGTCGAGGTGACGACGCGACAAACTCGCCATTTCGAGACGAACTCCCTACAGGCGACAGAAGGAAGACCTCTCGAGACGAATTATAGTGCAGACCGGCAGACCGAAACGATCTTGTTCGAGGTCTAACGACGTAGACCCTGTTTACCGATAAGTATTCCACTCTCCATCTCGGCAGATATCAGACGACCGGGAAGATTTTGCACACGTCGAGGATCCGTGGCAGTTGCATATCGAAAAGAGCATTCCTGCCCGCTGTTACGCTCAAGACAACGCTCTCCGAGATCGCATTGGATCCATTCGCCGTATCACGCTGGGTCATCCCTGACGCGAAACCATATTACAACCCAGAACACAAGACACGAGTCACGAAGGTCCGAAGGAGCATCATTGAACCTAGGTCCCGTGACTGGGTTACATGCAGTATTCTTGCGGTGTCACCAAGGTTTCTCGATTCCTTTAGGCCTGATACATTAATCGCGATATAAGAGCAAATCAATACAACTGAAGAGTAAGAGTCAAGAAATAGGGCTTTTTGCGGTGGATTTACTTTGTCACGCAAAATGAAGGTTCGTGGTCGCCTTTGCTTCTTTGCTTCCTCCTATTTATTCTCCCCGGCACCTCTCCCTTCCCTCTTGACTTGTTGTTACGCATTACATATCGAAAGAAATATCTGGGACCTGCTGCTGCCGCTGCTGCCGCCCGCTTTAACTCCTATAGGGGGTTCTCACACACATGCACATACAGTCACTATCCCACCACCAGTGTGCTGTACCTAGCTGTTCAGGAGATAAAGAAGGAAGCAATACACTAGTGTATCGGCTTCCTCCTATACCCTGACTGCCACTTGCGCGCACTGGGCTTACTTCAAAATCAACCTCAACCCTCATAACAATTTACTCCTGGCTTACTCTATGTCTATACGGTGCTGACTATGCCTTTCTTTCTAAAGGCCCTCCGACGATCCATCAAAGGCGAGAAGGACAAGCCTCAGGTCTCCATTGCCCCGAAATCCGCAGTGGCGATTGTACCCCCCAAAAAGGTGCGCATACTTACTACCCCGGCCCAACCCGGCCATGATTCTAACTTGGCGTTGCGTTTTTCCCCTGCTAGGTCATCCGGGCGCTCTACGACTACGAAGCACAGTCAGAACAGGAGCTCAGCTTTTCTCGTGGTGACTTCTTCCACGTCATTGGGAGAGAAACTGATCCTGATTGGTACGAGGCCTGCAACCCAGCCTTGCCCGACGCCCGTGGTCTCGTTCCGGTCGCCTTCTTCCAGGCTCTAGGCCGCACCGAAAGAGACAGCGCCCAGTCCGACGGCGGTCACGTTCCCGTGGCAGCGGCAGCGGCAGCGGCTTCCAAGAATCCCGATCATGATTCCGGCTACGCTGAAGGTCCCGTTCCCCAACGGCCCGGTTCTGGCGCAATCCACCGAATGTCTCGATCCGGAAAGTCGGGTGCCATGGTGTACGGGATTGTCATGTACGACTTCCAGGCGGAGCGGGGTGATGAGCTCGAAGCCAAGGCCGGCGAGGCCATCATTGTCATCGCGCAATCGAACCCGGAATGGTTCGTCGCCAAACCCATTGGTCGCCTCGGTGGCCCCGGTCTGATCCCTGTCTCCTTCGTCGAGATCCGTGATATGGCCACCGATAAAGCCGTACCGAACCCGGCCGACGCAGTCAAGAAAGCGGGTGTTCCCAAAGTGGAGGAATGGAAGAAGATGGCCGCCGAATACAAGAATAGCAGCATCACACTGGGCAAGTTCGAGGGCGGCAGCAGCACCGGCCAGAATGTCGAGCAGGGCATGGAGCGCCTGAGTCTCCAGCAGCAGGCCCGGAGAAGTAGCCAGAACGGCGTCAACCAAGTAAGTAGTGGGGCTCGCCGGAACGTGTTTTACGGAATATCGTGAACTGGGACATGAAACCCATCTGACCATTCGCTATTACCTCCAGGCCACCCAACAACAGATCCGCAGCTCCCAGCAAGGGGTCGTCGCGCAGAATCCGCACCCTCCCAAGTCGGTCTCGCAAATGTACGCCCCCGTCTCTGCTCGTATCCCGCGGTACTGCTTCGCCGAGGACAAGTACTGGTTTGTCATCGAGGCCACATTGGAAGATGGTCGGCATTGGGAGCTATCTCGCTACTACGAAGACTTCTACGACTTCCAAATCGCTCTCCTAACCGAGTTCCCCGCCGAGGCCGGCAACACGGGCACGCAGAAGCGCACGCTCCCCTACATGCCCGGCCCAGTCAACTATGTCACCGACGCCATCACCGAAGGCAGGCTGCACAACCTCGACGCATACGTCAAGAACCTGCTCGCGCAACCGCCGTACATCTCTCGGTGCATGCTGGTGAAGCAGTTCTTCGCCCCGCGCGAAGGCGATTACGAGATCGACCCGAACTCCATGGGCGACGACTACCGACTCTCGGTGGCTTCCCAGCCGTCGTCCACGGACTCCCCCGCCGACGGCGCGTCACGACAGTCTTCGAGAAACAACCTCAACGGTGCCGGTTATTCTGGTCTCTCGGCAGCGCCGCAACGGCCGGGTCTCAGCCAAGCCACTTCGGCCATGTCCGCCATGTCTCGGCAAGCCTCTTCACTGTCTCAGCCCTCCCAGACCTCCATCTCCCCCGGCGTCAACCAGGCGGTCTCGGCAATGAAGGTCAAGCTGTGCTTCAACGGTGATCTGATCGCCATCCGGGTGCCGACCGATATCCAATTCCAGCAGCTGTACGACAAGGTCCGGGAGCGACTGAAGATCCCCGCCGACGAGACCATCGAACTCTTCTACAAGGATGAACGCACCGGCGACAAGCCCAACCTCCTAAGCAACAATGACCTTGATATCGCTCTGCAGAGGAATGAAAAGCTCATGCTCTACGTTGAGCAGGTCTGATTCATGATCCTGGTTAGGGTCTTCTTCTCTCTCAGGATGCGGCGCATTCTTTGGCATCATGTCTTGCATGTGTGTGTGCGTGTGTGTGTGTGTGTGTATTGGGAAAGCAAAAGCACATGACGTTCAGGCCGTCCTTCGGAATCTCGTTTCCTTGCTTCTTTCCGATTCCCTCCCCCGAATCGCATTGGCAGGCGCCTGTGATGGTGTCACGGTTATCATCTTGCCCGCTCGTCTGCCAAGGCACTTCTCACTTGTCCCTTATACCGCCGTCTGGTCTTTTATATCTAGACCATGCACGAGGGCCATACCAAACAGGATTTGCCATTTTCTCTCTCCCCTTTTCCCCTTTTCCCCTTGCGCTGGCTTTAGCGCGGCCACCTTTGCTTTTTTTTTTTTTTTTTTTTGCTTTCCCCTCTTCCCTTCCTTCTTGCAATGGATGACGGATGAGACAGACCGCTTATGATACTCATGTGTACTGTGGAAAATCTTTCTTTTTCTTTTTCCTTTTTCGTTTACTTCTTCTTTCTTTTTGTTTTGGACGTCCTTTTCTACCTTTCAGTCGACCACTTGTTAAAGATCTCCAGGGTAAAGAGGAGCATGCTTTGTTGCCGGCATGGGGCATCGACTAGGAGCGGCGTTTATATGGTTGTTGTTTGGCTTGGACATAGTTCAGTTCACCAGTTCCCCCCCAACACGCGGTCAAGCCCCCTATGGATTTTGGTGGTGGGGCGATTTGGCTCCTGTTTTGCTGCATCACGCCAGGCTGAGGCTGCATGCTCGAACCGGGGCCAGAATGGAACATCGTTTTTGAGGAGGAGGGCGATAAGCCCACAGGGGGGGGGGGGGGGGGGGGCTTGGAGAGGGCTTTAAGGTACGGGTGGGTTTGGGGGATGGAGTGCAGGGATGATATGATATACCATCAGTAAACGTGTTCCGAGATGCAATGCTATAAAGGAGATGAAAACTAGATGGTTCACCGATTTCAATGTCCAGTGAACACGTCGTGGTGGTGCAGATGGCCTCATTCCAATCAATGCCTGCCTCGCTGCTGTGGAATATTCGCTGGACTTCGCAAAGAAATCCACATAAGCCGCGCCCAAGGCGTATAGATCACCGGTGTAAACGGGAACAGGAACCCAGAGTGCAAATGCCGACCACGTCCAGTCTGCCGAATTAACGTTTGCTTTGGCTCTTGGGTGTTATTTACGGACGAAACGCCTCAATTGATTCATGTGCATGGGCAAGTTGTGCCCCCTCCCCTTTTCCTGTTTCATTACGTGTATCAATATACCACAACTTCTTATACAAGGTGCTCGTTCCGTATCCTCCGCTTAAGCATAGCAGCGCCCTCGTCCAGGAAGGGAACGGGAGAAGATCCTCATGTCCAACCCAAGCTGTGTCAAACGGCACGTGCCTTCAAACCCATCCTGCCCAATGCCTCCGATGCCGTTATGTGGATGAAACGCCAGTCCTCGCTTATAGTGTGTATTAAAGAGGTAAAGTTAGTCCCTCCACAAAACGAATGAACTCGGCCACTTCTCTTTCTTTCTGGGTGTCTGTGTCTGTCTGTGTGTCTGTGTGTGCGTGTTGTCTCCCGTTGGAATGTGTGCAAACAAACGGACGTTCTCCCGGATGCACCTGTCCATTTAGTCTGCGAAAATATTCGCACAGTCTCCAACAACACGTATCCTAAACGACCACATGGGTCGACATGTGTTCCACGGCCTCTCGAATGCTGCGAAGCATCCGCTGGTTGACGCAAAAGGGGCATCGCACCGGCCGCTCATGGTGAGAAATAGGTTCATCGGACTTTATAGGGGTCAACGAGAGATCATCGCCGTGGCCGCCGTGGATACCAGCTATACTGCCGGGGACAGGGGTGAAGCGGGGGTGGCCAGCCGATGGCCGATGATGCATGGCCGGGGTGGCGAGAGCGGCGGCAGCGGTGCCCTGGGCGCGCTCTCGCTGTTCGCGTTCCTCGCGGGCCGCCGCGGCGCTCGCCTCGGCATCGGCCTCCTCCTGCTGCAGCTGGCGCAGGGCGTTCTGCAGAACGACCTCCGGGTCGTCCTCGCCCGTGCCGTACATGTGCGTGTCGCCGCCGGGAGGAGGAGCCGCTGCAACTAGGTTGGGGTCGGTCGGGTGGGTATTCTGGGGGGGTGGTGAGTGTGGAGAGTGTTGCGGGTGTTGCGGGTGCGGCGGTTGCGGCGTTATGGTGGGAGGTGGCTGCACCTGCGGCGAGCTGGTATTGGAGAGGGACATGGCGTTCGGCTGCTGGGCGCGACGGAGGATCTCGTCGCGGACGAGGGCGCAGATTTGGAGTGTAGCCTCCACGCCGACGACCCGCACGACGGCTTCCTTGATGGCGGCGGGTGATGTGTCGGCGGAGATGGCCATGAAGCGGGGGACGCATTCGGCCAGGTAGTTGATGTCCTCTCCGGGGCTTATAGACGGATCGCCAAGCCGGCGCTGGCGTCGGACGAGCAGCCCATACCGCTTCTTGAAACGGTGGATCCAGCCGGGGGAGAACTCGGGAGGTTGCTCTTCCTTGTAGCGGGGGAGCTGGGAGAAGATGGACTTGGCTTTCTCGGCGAGTTCATCGTTCGTGGGCTGCCGGCCCGAAGCCTGGACCTGCTGATACCAGAGGAGAACCAGCTTCTCGACATCAGGCCAGTTACCGAAGCGAAGACGAGAGCCGGAGAGTTGTGGGTTATCGCCGTCGAGGCGGGAGTACTTGGGGGACAGCGAGTGCGAGACGGTGGATTGGGAGATGTGTTGACCGTACTGCGAATAAAACCACTCGATACACAGCTTATGGCTGGGGCGGTTGGGTTGCAAATTGGCCCAACGGCGGAGAGCGCGTCGCTGGTCCAGTGTCAAGGAATGCCGCTCCTTGGCTGGCGGCGTGGAGATGGCCGCGGTAGGTGGCGCGACGCCGGACGCAGTCGTTGTATCGACGGTCTGTTGCTTGTCGTGAGCATCATGACCAGGGTGGCCTTCGTGAACTCCGTTGCCGTCGTCGCCTTCGTGTTCTTCGTGGATTTCTTGGATTTCGTGAACTGCATGTCCTTCGTCACCTTCATGACCTTCGTGACTGTCATGGCCTTCTTGACCTTCGTGTTCTTCGTGTTCTTCGTGTTCTTCGTGTTCGTGAGCTTCGTGGCCTACTTGCCCTACTTCGCCTACATGACCTCCCTGACCGTCCGCCGTGACAGGGTGTTGCTGCAAAGCAGGTTGGTCGGTCATAGTGCGGGGACGCGTCGCCACCTCTTTCTTTTGTATGTATCGCGAAGGGGCTTGGACAATGGTGTAGGGCGCGATTCAATTGTGGGAAATGATCGTTGTATCCGTGTGTGAAGGAGTCGCGATGCGATGTTGTGGATGTGGAGATGGCCGATTTGCAGTTAAGGAGAAAAAGCGAGGGAGCAGAAAATTCAGTGGGCGGGTTTCCGGGTTGGGGGGAAGGTTTGGGGCATGCGAGGTTACCGTACGATATGGTATAAGCTACTGTGTGGGGATACCCTTCAATCGCGACTAACCAACGTACGAAGTAATCGGATATTTATACGGATAGGCGCTGCATGCACTGTGTACCATTTCGCTATGGAGGCTGCATAACTTCATGTTAATAATCCTCGTTTGGTCCCATGGGACTATGTACCATGTACCTGTACCTACCTTACTGGCCGAATTTAAGATCACTCGCCCGAAAGCAAGACAAGAACTACAACTGCGCGTGTCTGGATATTACCATGTCGTAGAGTGTCCCCATCGTGTACCAAAAGTTCAAGTTAAAATACTTTTATGAGCAATATATGCCAAGTTTGGCAAGAAATTGGGGAAAATCGCGCGAACCGTCTCACCTGTCTGATACTTCGCCTTCTGGTTGTTTTGTTTACAACGAGAAAATGGTGGTTGGTGGGGGTTCCAGAATAGACAGCTTCCAATGCGGTTTGAGGCAGGTTTGTCCCGGCTTTTTCAAAGGTCGGGGCTTTCCGTTCTGATTGTCCTGACTGGCAACAAATTCGAGAGGGTCGAAGACGCCAACCCGTCAAGCATGTGCATCGGCATGGCATCAATGAAAGAATATACCTCAGCATGATTGCCAGATCAAGAATCGAGTGATGATTGAAGAGACAATAGACCGGGGCCGTTGTAGACCATTGGAACAACCACTGGCGCAATACCGCGAGATCACACCGCATGGACGAACGACACCACTCGCTGTGCTTTCGGCAAACGCTTCCGGTCCCACAGCGCGAATCTCAAAATATAGACGAGAGAGTACGTTGTTATTTCGAGCGTATGTGCGCCGTCTAGTGTGTCAATCGTATCTCTGATGTCGGAACACCAACCCAACCCAACTCTATATGTACACAGGTCTTAACGACCGCTCATACGGGTATCGTCGCGCCGGAAACTCTAATGCTTCGCATCCTTCTTCCCTTGCTCCGCGTCGTCGAGGAACTTCCTGTTGCGAGTAGTCAGCGAATGAAACCCCTCGTTGGGCGAAGCAATGGCCCAGTGACGGGATCAAATCACGCACTTAATAAAGTCGGCCTCGTCGGAGCTGGAGGCATTGATGGGCGGGGCCGTCGCGGAAGCCTTGCTGCCGCCGCCGCTGGTGGCAGTGTAGACGCCGCCGAAGAGGGCAGCGAGGACGCCCATGGCCAACTGCAGTGTCTTGGTAAGCCCATGTGGATGTCGGGGTAAGGAGGCCAGGGGACGGCACGTACGTAATGGGAGCCGACCTGGCGGCCAGCGATAGTGTACATCTGAACCATGTTGGCGTATGGAAGAAAATCGGCGGATTGTCTGGGTTGAAGTGTGTGGCGGAGGGTGAATTGGAGGTACGAGGCTCGTCCGTCCGAGTAGTTGCGATGCTGAAGCTCCAGAATTCGTTTGGTGCCGGGATCCGTATAGGGATGGTTAGTGCCTAAATTTCAAGGCAGAGAGTGGCTCAGCCGAATCATGCCGGGTAATGCGTTGGCCCGGATGTGTACAAGCACTGTTTATTAGTATATCGCATAATTCAAAACGTATTAAAAAATAGAAGAAAAAAAAGAAAAAGAAAAAAGAAGAAAAAGGAAGCACAAGGCCATCTTCCCACTTTTCCCACGTCTAATAATAATTATCATTCTACTTCGTACGATCTTATCGCATTTCTTGTCCTGTTCAGTACGATGGCATTTTCGGATGCGTGCGTCAGAACAGGGCGCGAGCTTCGCCCCCTTATAGATCCCGATTACACGCGACCGCTTACACTAACTCTGGTTCTCGAGGTATCCTTCTGGGTCTCGTTGGTATTCCAGCCAGGTCACATGGAAGATCCATGATACAGGCCATCGAGAGACATAGGGTCGTAGAGGCCCTCCCTGTCATTATCATACGAGGCTGACGAGACGACTGGCGATCTAACGACATTATCATTCATCACACCCAGTGAGAGGGACAGTTTCATATCACCAGGTGACCTTTCAATGGTGGTATCAAAAAATATCTATGATTATTCAATAGCGTCTTCGAGGACGGATAAGAAGACCTAACTTTTCAATCTTCGCGGACACAGTACGTGGCAGCTTTTCCCGCTTACAGGTTAGAATAACGCTTAAAGGCACTGATGAGGCCACCAGTCGAAGAATCGTGGCCCTCGCCGTTGCCTGGCTCGTCCAGCTCCTTCTGGATCTTCTTGGCCAGAACCTTGCCCAACTCGACGCCCCACTGGTCAAACGAGTTGATGTCCCAGATGGCGCCCTCGGTGAAGGTAAGGTGCTCGTAGTAGACAATGAGCGCGCCGAGCTCGGCGGGACCGATGTGGCCACCGACCAGAATTGAGGTGGTCGGGCGGTTGCCGAGGAATACCTTGTGCGGCACGAGCTCCTCCGCCGTGCCCTCCGTGCGAACCTGGTCGGCCGTCTTGCCGACCATGAGGGCCTCGGCCTGCGCCAGATAGTTGGATGCCAGCATCTTCTGCTGCAAGTTGTTCGAGATGGGGTTGTGGGACTTGGCGGCTAGGATGAAGTCGGATGGGATGAGCTTGGTGCCCTGATGCACCAACTGGAAGAATGAGTGCTGGGCGTTGGTGCAGGGTTCGCCGAACAAGATGGGACCTTTGATCGCGTGTTAAAACTCACGCGGAGAAGAAGAAGGGGATAGCCAGAGGAACGGTAGGGATTGGCAGGGTTCCAGCTGGAGGTCATGGGGAGCTAGAATGATGGCCTCTTACCGGTGGTGTATTTGGCTGGGGAACCATCCGAGGTGATGCTCTTGCCGTTAGACTCCATGGAGAGCTGCTGGAGGTAGGCAGGGAAACGATGGAGGTATTGGTCAAAGCTAATACGAGGTTCCGGTCAGCCTTCAAATTCCCCATGTGTGCCAAGGACAGGGAAGTCGGGAAGGACAATGAAGAACAAGGATAGGGATACACATACGGAGCGACGAGATGAGTCTGGGCCTGGAAAAAGTCGGAGTACCAGACGCTCAAGAGACCACCGAGAACGGGGATGTTCTCGCGGAGAGGAGCTTCGCGGAAATGCTTGTCCATGGCATGGGCACCCGAGAGGAGCTGATGGAAGTTGTCGAAGCCGACAAACAGGGCCACACTGAGACCGATGGCGCTCCAAACGGAGTAGCGGCCGCCGACCCAGCTCTCAAAACCGAACATGTTGGCCGTGTCGATGCCGAACTTGGCCACCTCGGACTCGTTGGTGGAGAGGGCAACGAAGTGCTTGGCAATCTCGCCCTTGCCGCCGGTCTTCTCGAGGAACCAGGACTTGGCGGTATTGGCGTTGGTGGTGGTCTCGGCCGTGGTGAAGGTCTTGGAGGCGATGAGGAACAGAGTGGTCTCCGGATCGGACGCCGCCAGGGCCTCGGCCATGTGGGTGCCGTCGATGTTGGAGACGAAGTGGAGGGTCATGTCGGGGGCACCGTAATGGCGAAGGGCCTCGGTGACCATGACAGGGCCAAGATCGGAACCGCCGATACCGACGTTGACAATGTTGGTCAGCTTCTTGCCCGTATACCCAGTCCACTCGCCGGAGCGGATCTGCTCGGAGAAAGCCTTCATATGTTCAAGGACGGTATTGACGCCGTTGGGGCCGTTCATGACGTCAACGCCATCAACCTTCATGTCCCAGCCGCCGACATTGCGTAGGGCGGTGTGATAGACGGCACGATGCTCAGTGAAGTTGATCTTTTCGCCAGCGAACATGGCATCGCGCTTCTTCTCGACCCCGGCCTGCTCGGCAAGCTTGACCAGCAGGTCAAGGGTCTCCTCGGTGAGGAAGTTCTTGGAGAAGTCGAACAGAATATCGGCAGAGACGGGATCAGAGAAAGTGCGGGTAAATTTAGAGAAGCGCTCCGGATCGGCGGCAAAGGCCTCCTTGAGGACGAAGTTTTTGCCGACACTGTCGCGGTGAGCCTGGAGCTCAGCCCAGGCGGGCAGCGTGTTCGCGGGAGCCATTATGAGAGGACGACTAAATAAGGGTCAATTGATGAAGATACGATAATCGATGAACAGGTGCGAAAGGAGCAACAGAGAGCAGGAACTCGTCGGATGTCTGGAGGGGCAACTGTTTGGTTTGTTAGCACCTCAGTCTGGACAGTCCGAATGGTGGCGTTATCAGCCTGTATTTATGTAGAAATAGAGATTGGATTCCCGGATGGGGGGATAGAGGGTTGCGTACTAATACCTATCCAATTCGTGCCAGCTGGGAAGATGGATGGGGAGGATCCGTGTTGTTCAAAACTTTCTGCAGGGATTTGAGAAAATGACGCCGAAGATGCCGTGAGGGAAAATGGACTTGAAATAGTTCTTCGAAGAGGTTCGAAGAGGGGCAGCAGCTTAGAAAAATACTAATAAGCACCACGATCTTCATACGCCATCAGCTTACCTACTGTAGCTACAGCAGCGTTTTGGGTGCGGGGTAATCATGGAGGGGGCTCTTTTTTGCATTACCTAGGTACCTTACCTAGGTAACATAACAAGGTTTCCGTTATGGGTAAGGTACGACTTGGGTGGGGTACTGTATTCCGCACCTAAGGTACCTTACTTCGGGTAGTATCTAAGGCAGGTACCTTAGGTAAGGTAACTACCTTATCTTCCGTACGTGGTACAGAAAGCATGCACGAATCTTTCGCATTATTGCTGCTGATTTTTCTTCTTCTTTTTATTTGTTTCCAGGTTTATCAGGCTTGCCGGACTGGGAACTCAGCGAGAGAACAACCCAGCGATGCTTACCTCTGTACGCGTATTTAAGGTCAGAGACATAAGGTACCTAATGCGGGTATCTGTATGTACTCAGTACCTTGACGCCGCCGGGTAAATTCAGAAAATACGTCGTCCAGATGACATCGAGCGGGTAGTCCGGGTTTCTTATCGACTTATCTGATCATGCATTTTGGACCGGCTTCTGGACGAGGCCGATGAAGTCCATCCAGTTCTTGTAGTCGCGACACAAGCACGGAGGCAAACATTTCAAACAGTCTTTTACATATGATGTGGTGGAAAAAGTTCAACGTCAAAGAGCCGGCCACGACGGACGATACCGCGCAGGAACGTCCGCGCTCGGGGGCGTCTCACGCTGAGGATGATAAGAAAACCTTCGACCTGAACAAGGCCTCAAAGTCCGAGAAACTGCCCGCTTCTCTACAGAAAATAGTGGACGGCCAGGACAAGGAAGACAACTTTTACAATGAGCTTGTCGACGGATAGTACGTGCTGGATACCTCGAGACGTTCTGTGCTTCGCTTCCATAACCGCTAAGAAAATGTCGCAGCGTTCCCGAGTCAACCGAATCCAACGTCCGCTATGCCGCCTACGCGACGCGTGTTCGCACTATCCTGATGTCTGCGCACCGTTATGTAGCCTACACATCCGACATTGGCGAGTCCTTCCGCCCCGTTGCGCATCCCAACCTTGTCCGCACCGCATATGGCATCTCCTGGCTTTATATCCTCGGCGACGTCAGTCACGAGGGTTACAAGGCCTACTGGCATAACCAGCGGATCCTCAACCCGTCACTCCAGCTCACGGAGCATCAAGAGAAATTCGTTAGCCAGCAACCAGTCGAGTCGACGGAGGCGCTGCAGATTCAGCCGGGCAAAGTCTCCCCGCTGGAGGACTACCGCACCGTCATGGTGCAGCGGGGCATCTTCCAGACCCTCGCAAGCATGGGATTGCCCGCTTTCACGATTCATAGTACGGTCAAGTACTCCGGGAAAGCAATGAAGAATGTGAAAAATGCGAGGCTCCGGGCGTGGGGACCCATCGGGCTCGGCCTAGCCGTGGTGCCCGTGTTGCCGTTCCTGTTTGACCAGCCCGTCGAGGATGCGGTGGAGTGGCTGTTCTACAAGGGTTTCGAAGCTTATGGGGGCAAGGGTTATGTGGAGAATGCGCCGACAACTAGGCGGGAAGATCTCTTGTCAAAGAAGGGAGGGACGGAGAATGAGCTATAGATGTCTGAGGCATGATTGTATGGGATAGAGCTGCCCACATAATGCGGGGCGTTGTGTATATATAGCGCATATAGATAGATACGTACGTAGACATTGTCCGCTATGCAAGACATAGGAAAAAGCATCATGCCAATCATCCTCGTCATCCTCGTCCGCGCTTCCATTCAGAGATCGATCAAGTCTGGGGGTGGTCCTACGCCCCGGAGTAGGATAATGGTGTTCCCACTCACCAACGCCGTTCCAACCTTCTCGTTGAACTCGAGCAGCCGACCACCTTCCACGTGGAAGACCCGTAGCTTGTCCCTCTCTTCTGACGACCGGTTGTTGATGTTCTCGACCTGCAAGCGCTTCGCCGCCTCGTCCAACACTCTCCCTATGACCCAGTCCTTGGAGAAGAAGAACTCGCCCTTGGGGAACTTGGCCTTCGCTGTCTCTGCCTCCGCCTCGACGTAGACATATACCCTCTTCTCAATCGGCAGCTTGTCGTCGCCCTTGGCGGTCTTCTTTAGCGTATTGACGGCGATCAGGCGTTGTGTGGCTGACGTTGGCTTGGGCTTCGGTAGGGCTCGACCGGCCTGTTCCTTCTTCGCGGATCCCCACGCGCGTAGCTTGTCAAACGCGCTCTTTGTTCTTGACGCGACGATGTCGACCTGACCGGGAGGTCGCGCACCTATCGGGACGAGGTTCTTGCAGTCGTGATCCTCCTTCAGCCTGTGCTTGAGGCAGTAGTCGCGGTTACAGCTGGCGCAGTGGACGCCGGGGACGAGGGAAGTGCCGATGGTAGTTTTGCAAGAAGGAGAGGCGCACGGCTTCTGAGATACCGTGTCGCGAAGCTGGCGACCTTGGCCGACGGACGGTTTGGCGAGTTCAGCCTGGCGACGTCGCTGGGCCCAGGCGCCCGCATTGGCGCAATTATGAGCGCCCTCGGTCCGGTGGTCGAGGCAGAAAGTCTTTCTGCAGGACTGGCAGAAAAATGGTAGGAAGTCGAGCTGGTTGCAGTAATCGAACTCGCAGTGCTTCCCCAAGAGGCTGGCGTCAAATCCGTCTTTCGATTCCTCCATGTTCACATAGCTCGTCTCGTTCCGGTCCACGTTGGACGCCATGGCGACAAGAGCTCCTCGAGTGTATGCCGCTAATTGACACTTTTATATATTCGCGATCACCGCCACGTTTGGTATGATATCGCCTTCGCTGGGCGTCAAGTCCACGTAAAAGAAGCTACTTCCTGGCTCTTAATCAGAACCGTTTCTTCGTTCAAGGTTGAGAAATCGGGGCTGACGAAAGCTTCGAAAGACCTGGAACCTGCTAGCAAATCGGAGAGGAGATCCCCAGACCTGTGGGGTGTGCGTAGCGGGTGATGCGTGTCGCCGCCGCAAGTCCGGATATTTCCACTAACTTAATTAGTGTACGTTGTACCTAAATTTCTATTTCTAACGTACCTAGGTACATAATAAGTGCTTGTGCCGCTGCCAGAGATGCTAGATTTGGACGCCAGCGGCTACAGGTCTCAGTCCCCCGAAGCAGGCCCGTGAAGTACCCACTAATTACTGGAGCTACTTGTACCCCCTCCTCTCCCCTCACGCGGGTAGCAAATGGCAGTCCTTGGGTGAGCGCTCAGTGGCTTCGACTGCTATGTATTTTGCTACCCACGTGCCCCTCAAGGTACTCGAGGACGACAGACGAGACCATCAGCCGGCCAGTCGTGATTAACAATGGTGACCGTGGCAATATCGGCTGTCAGAGATTGAATAAACCAAGTCTTCAATCAAGATGAAATATGAATGTAGGTATGTATGTATCGTCATGCCTAACTATCTAACCAAGAAGACATTGATTGGGAACGGGCAAAAGAAACAAAAAAGACTGAAAATCTCGATGCATTAACCAGTTTACCTGTTCTAAGGGCAGAGGCAGAGGCAGAGGCAGAGGCAATGGACCTGCTGCAACTACCGGACGATATCAGTCCATTTCATGAAGCTTCCGGCGTGACGCTGATCGCGATTGATTTCGAAAATGGAATAAAAGTCAATCCGAGTGCACCATCTCACTTCTAAGTGGGCCTTGCAATATTGGATATCGATGATATCAATTCTATCCAAACAGACCAAGCGGCCAACCAAGCGGCCAACCAAGCGACTAACCAGACGACAAGCCAAGCGACAAACAAAGCGATTTCGGACATATAATATTGTCACCGGATATCCTGAATACAGACAAGGGGCTTCACGAAGATTCCTTTCTGGAGAAACAGTCAGTCTTGCTCACAACGATGATATAGCGGCATATATCGAGTCCTTGATTCCTCGGACTAAACGAGTTGTCCTGGTTGGACACGACATTCGACACGATTTGCAAGTATTAGACTCGTTTTAGGTCGACTATTCCGGGTTTCAGATACTGGACACCCTTAGCATTGCAAGCCAGATGTATCCTCGCGCATCTCTCACTCTTCGTCGCCTCCCTTCTCAAACTGGGCTGCCCTTACGGGCGACTTCATTGCGCGGGCAATGACGCTAATTTTACCCTGAGGGCTTTGCTTCTTCTAGTAGTTTAGACGCCTATAGACTAGTCAGGACTCTGCCCGGAGAAGCTGGCCGTCATGAAAACCATCGCCTTGTCTACACTCCCGGGCGCTGAACCAGTCCAGCCTAGTGTGACAGCAGTCTGGAAGGGGAAAAACAACAGACGGAAGAATTCTCGGAAGCATCAGTCAAAAACCTGGAGTAAAGAGACGCAAGAGAAGATTCGCGCCGAGCGTGCAGCAAAAAGGCTTGCTCTCGCATGACGCAGAGATGTTTTTGCCACTGTCTTTTGATAGCGAAGACAATCTGCAAATTAATTCGAACAAGCAGACAGAATGCTGTGGCAGTGGCCGTTGTATGGGCACCGAGATCGCAGTCACGCGTGGGAGATTGGGAATCATCTGTTAGTTGATATTTTATTACCCTGTTAGGGGCTCCGAGTCCTTGGTTCTATTGCTTGGGGGCCGTTCTGGCTGAGTAATGGGGGGTCCTCCACTTATCACTATCAAGTAAATAATTCTAAATGTATGCGTTAATAACGACTCGCTTTTCCCTCTTCACCCCGGACACTAGTGATATTTCTCCCTTCTTCCCCCTCTACTGTAAGATACCTAGGTACCTTATATTTTCCAGCGTGGAAGATACATCAGCCTGGATATATATAGAGATGGCGGATTATGTAATATAGAAATTTGGAGGAATCAGAAAGCTGCTTCCATGGCAGCGGCATACAAATTCCAGCTTTTCTCCACGAACTAATTATCCTGATTCCAACCATCCGTACCAGTCAGGTATGCTGAAACTGCCGCCGTATCAACGATGAGATCTCTCGCCGCGAGTATCACTGTTGCATGATGGCCTTGGATGTCTTCCTTCCACAAGATATTGTCGGCCCAGAAGAAGCGTCGAGAGAGTGTGTGGGAGACGTCCATTTGGAAACACTTTATATTTTCACTATCTAGATTTTAAATGGCACCAAAGAGCGAAACAGCAGGAAGCCCAGAAAATGTCCCTCCACAGTAACGCTCCTCGGCAGGATTGTCCGGGAAGTTGCACAGCTGGTTACATTGAAAATAGAGGCCAGTATTCGGATAGAAATTAGCCTCAAGGATGTCGCCGCACGTACAAATGGAGTCGCCGTCGGCGTTGTTAGCCAGACTAAAGTAAAGGCTCCGGCCTGACGGTTGGCTTCCACAAAGATCGGCGCAGTCATCAATAGAGGTCGTGAGGATCTGCTGCGTGGTAAAAGGGTCTAGCCCGAAATTGCCATCATTTTCGGCGATGTAGCAGCCCAGATAGCCGTACTGGTCCGTAAAGCCCGCTGTACCAGGGGGGCCTTCGGGACCTTGAGGACCAATTGGGCCTTGAGCGCCGGTTTCACCTGCTGGACCTTGAGCACCATCTTGACCTGCGGCACCTTCAGGACCTTCGGGACCTTGAGGACCAATTGGGCCTTGAGCGCCGGTTTCACCTGCAGGACC